TGTCTTCTAAAAGTTGGATAGTTGTTTATTTCCTTGACATCTGATGGGAGGGTGTTCCACACAGCAGGCGCCACTACCGAGAAGGCCCTCTGCCTGGTTCCCTGTAACCTCACTTCTCTCAGTGAGGGAACCGCCAGAAGACCCTCAAAGCTGGACCTCAGTGCGGGATGATGGGGATGGAGATGCTCCTTCAGGTATTCAGGGCCGAGGTCATTTAAGGCTTTAAAGGTCAGCACCAATACTTTGAATCAGCACATAAAACGAAACAAAAGAAGCGCGATACATCTCTTACAAACAAAAAAACAATAGAATACATCACAAATTCACAAACATGTTCCAACCATCAACTTGCAACGCTTCAAATGTTGCTGTTTCCATCCAGTTCTGAGACACTCGTTTTTAAGATCTGGCATACTTTAAATGTGTTTCCTCATGCCATCGACATTCTCGGCAAAGGCAATGAGAAGGCATGGTTATCTTGAAACACACTGCACAAGAGCAGAACGGTATGCGGAGGCCTGATCAGGGATAGGAATCTGTCCCTAGATCACTGAAATCTTTGTTCTCTCCCTTTGCTCATTTGTACTCTGGCAGATTCCTATTACAACGACACATTATTCTCCTCTCCCAGTAGAACTCTCTCCATAATTCCAGCTGCAACAGGAGAGAAGAGACATTATATAACAGAGAACTCATTCATGAATGGTTTGTCAGTGGAATCCCGTTGTCTTAATGCAAAACAATTCAACAGTAATAATAATAATATATTATTATTTATACCCCGCCCATCTGGCTGAATTTCCCCAGCCACTCTGGGCGGCTCCCAATCAAGTGTTAAAAACAATACAGCGTTAAATATTAAAAACTTCCCTAAACAGGGCTGCCTTCAGATGTCTTTTAAATATAGGATAGCTGCTTATTTCCTTCACATCTGGTGGGAGGGCGTTCCACAGGGCAGGTGCCACTACCGAGAAGGCCCTCTGTCTGGTTCCCTGTAACCTCACTTCTCGCAATGAGGGAACCACCAGAAGGCCCTCGGCGCTGGATCTCAGTGTCTGGGCTGAACGATGGGGATGGAGACGCTCCTTCAGGTATACAGGACCGAGGCCGTTTAGGGCTTTAAAGGTCAGCACCAACACTTTGAATTGTGCTCGGAAACGTACTGGGAGCCAATGCAGATCTCTCAGGACCGGTGTTATGTGGTCCTGGCGGCCACTCCCAGTCACCAGTCTAGCTGCCACATTCTGGATTAATTGCAGTTTCCGGGTCACCTTCAAAGGTAGCCCCATGTAGAGTGCATTGCAGTAGTCCAAGCGGGAGATAACTAGAGCATGCACCACTCTGGTGAGACAGTCCGCGGGCAGGTAGGGTCTTAGCCTGCGTACCAGGTGGAGCTGGTAGACAGCTGTCACGACAGTAAGCTGTCACTAAAGAAGTGTTGAAAAGGTAGAGCTTTGTGCCAATGGCCACTTGAAATTCTCCACCCTATTTGTGGACAGAGGAATTGGGGGACCACTTCAGCAAATCTCTCCATGGGGAGGAGGGTGTGGCTTGGCATTAACAATAACAATAGCACAGGTTTTTTGTTGTGGTTGCCACAGAGAAGCTACTGTGTGGCAGCCTGGCAACCATTCACATCCTCCGCAATGCCACAGAACTAATTTTGTTCCAGGGTATTGGTGGAGAATAGTCAGAGAAAATTCAGCAGTTGCCTTCCTTTTCTAGGAGAGGAAAAAAAGGGGGGGGTCAGAATTTTTCTCAGAACAAAAATGTCTTCTGAGAAATGTTGACCTTGAAAGAAAAGACAAGACTGGGAGAACCGAGATGTAAATGGGAAAGACCCATTGCTGTATCAACGGAGTATTATATAATAGTATTTCTCAGTGCATGTTAATTGAGGTAGTGTAGGGGGCAGGACACTAAAAGATCAATAGAGGCTATGATGCTGACCTCTGCAGAAGGAATTTAATTCAATTTTCAAAAAGTCACCTAAGCAAAAACAACACCATTGTAGATATAGGATAATGACACTTGACTCTGCAGATAGATTTGACAAATGGCATCAGCTAACGCTGGGCGGCGTCCGTATTATCTGAATAAAGAGCAGCCATGATGTTTCCAGAACACAAAGATTACTTGCAAAGACACAGAGGCTCTGTCTTCTCCCTTTCCAAAAGAAGAAATCCATTACTGCTGAAGCATGACTGGTGGAACTGCTGTCTGTCTAGGGTGAAAACAAGTCAGAGGGAAAACAGCCAATGAATTGCTTCTGAAAGAGCGTAGTCACTTTTCTGCTCAAAGAATAGCAGCAGCAGCTGCTGCCATGAGTCTGGCATTCTGTTCACTAGGACAATGCATTTTATCTCTTTAGCTTTTTGCAAAAGATTTGTGACAAACTCTAGTGCTCAGGGGTGCCAACTTGAATAAAATATGGGGGGATGGGGTTACGTAAGCCCCGCCCCACATAATCAATCACATGATGAGCAGAGCTGTCAACTTTTCCCTTTTTTAAAGGGAGATTCCCTTATTCCGAATAGAATTCCTCGCAAGAAAAGGGAAAAGTTGACAGCTATGATGATGAGGCACACACACACACCATTTGAATGGCAATGCCAATCAACTTTGGGGGGGACCTACCCCCTCAAATATTTTATGGGGGGCGAAGACCCCCTCAGCCCCTAGGAGCTGGCTCCTATGTTAGAGCCTTGAATAGAAACTGCAGCCAATGACATGGCTAGTTGGTTTAAGCCAGTCTTCACCAATCCGGTATCTACAACTCTCCCAGTCACTACAGCCAGTTGTGACTGATGGAGCTAAACTAGGCAGAGGGCCTTCTCGGTAATTATTCTTATTCTTATTCTTATTCTTATTATTTATACCCCACCCATCTGGCTGGGTTTCCCTAGTCACTCTGGGTGCCTCCCAATAGAATATTAAAAACATGATAAAACATCAAACATTAAAAGCTTCCCTAAACAGGAATGTCTTCAGATGTCTTCTAAAGGTCAGGTACAGTCATACCTCGGGTTAAATATGCTTCAATCTGAGCGTTTTCAGGTTGTGTTCCGCGGCGACCCGGAAGTAACGGAATGGGTTACTTCCGGGTTTCGCCGCTCACGCATACTCAAAATGACATTACACGCATGCACAGAATCGGCAAATCGCAACCAGCACACACACAGACGCACATTGCGTTCTGCTCAGGATGTGAACGGGGCTCCGGAACGGATCCTGTTCACATCCAGAGATACCACTGTAGTTGTTTATTTCCTTGACATCTGGTGGGAGGGTGTTCCACAGGGGAGGCGCCACTACTGAGAAGGCCCTCTGCCTGGTTCCCTATAACCTCACTTCTCGCAGTGAGGGAACCGCCAGAAGGCCCTCGGCGTTGGACCTCAGTGTCCAGGCTGAACAATGGAAGTGGAGATGCTCCTTCAGGTATACTGACCCAAGGCCGTTTAGGGCTTTAAAGGTCAGCACCAACACTTTGAACTGTGCTCAGAAACATACTGGGAGCCAATGTAGGTCTTTCTGGACTGGTGTTATATGGTCTCAGCGGCCACTCCCAGTCACCAGTCTAGCTGCCACATTCTGGATTAGTTGTAGTGGTGCCCTCCCTTCCAAAAGATGTTCCAGAACTCACCAGGATGTAGCTCTGGCACCTCTCAGGTGGGTGCCATTGCCATTATAAGAGAACAAGGGAGGCATTCGTGGCGAGCTCAGCCACCTTTTTTTCAAGAAAAATAGCACTGGCTACTGGCCCATATGAACCAGGCCTAAGAAAGAAATGCTAGAAGGAACATGTTTTGTAAATGAAGTAAGGGAGAACAGAACTCTACAAAACTGATTATGAAGTATTTGATTGTCGCTAGGTATCATTGAAAATCATTAGGTGATGATGTAGCTAATGTAGTAATTGTGTGACTGGCTAGGCAGACAGTGTCTTTAACTGCGATACAGATATATGAACTACAGTGGTACCTCGGGTTAAGTACTTAATTCGTTCTGGAGGTCCATTCTTAACCTGAAACTGTTCTTAACCTGAAGCACCACTTTAGCTAATGGGGCCTCCTGCTGCTGCTGCACTGCCGGAGCATGATTTCTGTTCTCATCCTGAAGCAAAGTTCTTAACCTGAAGCATTATTTCTGGGTTAGCGGAGTCTGTAACCTGAAGCGTATGTAACCCGAGGTACCACAGTAAAGTGGAAAGGGAGTCAGGTATACATTTTGTCCTATGTTCCAGCACCACGGAATGGGACGCTAGAACCTATGACCTTTCTAAATAGATAAAAGACTGAGGACTCAGCTACATTGGCAAAGAAAAGCGCTTTATGTGCATTGATTATGCATTCTAACACTGCAACACCAGATGGCGCCGTGGAGTTCCGTTTTTCGCTTACCCGATTTCTCATGCAAAGTTTTGCAACGCGTTTAACTGAAATGCTTCCTTGGTGTGTCTAGATCCAGCCTGGGTTTTGCACTACCCAAAACTGGTCATCCTATTTGTATGTGCCATTTTGTCAGAGCACCAGATGGGAGAAACTGATTGTGTTCATATCTCTCCCTCTTCCTTAAAAGCAAGAACCATCAAATGCTGGAAAGTGACATGTTAGTGTATCAGTGATGAGCACGCATCTACTAATCAGTCATGCCATCAAACAATACTAGGTTTTGTTTTACCAGGCTACTGTAGATGCCTACCAGGCTTATGCATCTACTCAGTTAGATCTATTAGAGTTGTCAGATGTCACAGAAAGGAAAGCAGAAAGGCCGTGACTTATCTTTGAAGATACAGCAGTTCTTTCACCTCTGAAAGTAAGTTGGTGGAATGATGTAGCGGCTTGTATAACACTGATTTATTTATATTCCTCCCGTCTTTGAACGTGAGTCATCAGAAAGCAGTTAATCACAAGCTAGGGGGTCTCATCTTATCTCCAAGAAAGTGGCATAACATACTTACTGCAGCACACAAAAGCCACATAAACTTGCAAAAACAGTCTGAGGTTGAAATCAATTTAGTTTATTCTGTTTAATTAGTTTGACATCTCTGCTTCACACTTCCCCTTAAGCAAGAAACTATGACAACAGATTAAAGCCAAGGTCCCATTTTCCAACAAATCAAAATTCGCATAATATATCGTTTTTACATCAAGAGAAGACTTTGGTCCTGGTGTAAACAAGCAAACTAGAGAAAGTTGCTTAAATGTGTATTTCATACAATTGTTTATGCTTAAACATGTAATATATATATGAACACAAATTACAAGGTCTCATGGTACTCTAGAATGCATGGTTGTTGTTTTTTTAAAAAATTCAATATACTCCCAAATTAGATTTCCTGTTTTGCCATTAAACACGGAAATAAAATTTTATTTTGGCATATACATGATTCATGGTATTCCTCTGATTAAATTATTGGAAGAAACCAAGATGCTGATCAAAAGCACATGCTTACTAGATGACACATATGACCAAATTAACTCTTTGCATTCTTGTAGCAATAATAAATCATTGTATTGTTCAAGCCACCTTATCTGCAGGAATAGGATTTACCTTAGCTCAAGTGGGAAATTTGCCAGTTCAGTGGTTCCTCTAAACAGCTGCCACTGGCAGGGTTTTAAATTTAGACATGACAAATGCTCTCCTCTGAGTGTGGCCCAGCTGCTGCTCAGAGGCACAGTCTGAGAATGCACCAGGTAGTCTTAGGATGATGGAATCAGAGCGCTAGATTGAACCAGAAGTCTGTTTAGTCTGATCCCTGCCACAAAGCAAGTCCATCACCGCCACTGCCCTCCACAGATCAGACAGGTAACATTTTACAATCATTGTTCCCCTCACCTCCCTTCTAATAAGCAAAGTATGACCTGTAGATCTGAAACATGTTGAGATCTATGAGCCTCTCTTGGATATTAAAGTAGAAGTGAGGAAGAAGCAATAATTGCTTGCATTTCTTTGAGAAATCTGAACCAGCTCAGAATGTACCATATAACTACATGGGTGCTAAGCATGGGTGTTAAAAAGGTGAGCCACACTTTTGACATCAAAAAAGTCTTTACAACATATGCTAAAACATTTTTGTTTAGGCAAGCCTCTCCAGACATGTAGAATGTTGACATGGATCTTAAGCAGATTTTAATTGTTTTTTGAATATTTTAACTACAGTTGTTTTTAACTTTTCTTTACTGATATTACAACCAAGCAAGCTGCAATTTTGTGAAGTAAATAAATAAATAGATCACAGTCATCCTAGTTGCCAGGAGATCGGTGACTGTTGATATTCATGTGTGATGAATATTGTCAAAAGATACACCAGTGAATTTTGACAGTCACCTACATGCAACATTCATGTGCACATATATTTGAAAAGTGGGCAAATGCATCTCTTGTTCACGAAATTAATTTGAGTGTTGGGACTCACATGTGAACGTCAACATTTCCCAAATTTTGACTATCTGCAGCAGATATACAGTGGTACCTCGGGTTACATACGCTTCAGGTTACAGACTCCGCTAACGCAGAAATAGTATCTCGGGTTAAGAACTTTGCTTCAGGATGAGAACAGAAATCGTGCTCCAGCGGCGCGGTGGCAGCAGGAGGCCCCATTAGCTAAAGTGGTGCTTCATGTTAAGAACAGTTTCAGGTTAAGAACGGACCTCCAGAACGAATTAAGTACTTTACCCGAGGTACCACTGTAGTATCACTCATTCTCATAGACATCTTCGGGGGTGAGCGCCGGCAGAAATGGAGTCCAGATGGAGCCGCTGATAAACATGGTTTGCAGAAATATTAAAAAATAACGATGTGAGAATACATAATGTAGGGGAAACAACAGCAGCCCCGTGAGGTTTGAGCGTGTCCAGGAGCCACAGAATGTTGAGTTTTGTTTGATTTTTTAAAAGGAAAAAGAAGAAGAGAAGAGAAGATATCCCACTTTAACACTACCCGAAGGAGTCTCAAAGCGGCTAACATTCTCCTTTCCCTTCCTCCCCCACAACAAACACTCTGTGAGGTGAGTGAGGCTGAGACACTTCAGAGAAGTGTGACTAGCCCAAGGTCACCCAGCAGCTGCATGTGGAGGAGCGGGGAAGCGAACCCGGTTCCCCAGATTACGAGACTACTGCTCCTAACCACTACACCACACTGGCTCTTATTTCCATAAACATAATGCTCAGAGTAATTGTTTAAAAGCCTTCTGTTAGCCGAGCTCTCACAATGACTAGTGGTCAACGATATGGATATGTGTTGGGGGAGATTTAAATGGTTGTGTCTTTTTTTTAAGAAACTCAATTTAACATTGTGTTGAAGAATCGGGGGGGGGGGGGGAGAAAACAAGGGGAAGAAATGGGATGCCCTGCTTGAGTTCCTTCCTGATTATAGCATCCTCTAAGAACGGTCTGGCAGGAACTCTTCAATAGGAGCATTACAGCTGAGAGGTGAGGATATTTGGCAACATTTTGTTACTGGCCCCACTTCTCCTCTTACATGAGAAACAAATATATTGATTTTGTCTCCTTACCTCCCAGGTACCTTTTTCCTATTTCCTGCTAGGGACTGTAACAAATAATCACACGCAATGCTAACATCTGTGGAGCGGCTAGACACAGAAGCACAGCAGAGCTGAGAATACTGCAGCCTAATGATGCAGAGAATAACCTATTATTTTCCGGCAGCAGGCTGCTACTAGCAGGTTTTCTGGCGCAAGGCCTGGGTGGAATTCACTTACCTTTCTAAACCGCAAACCTACATCTCACATTTGTGTAGCACGCAACTTCTCCTTTCGTGATAACTGGGGATTATTTTTGAAACAAACCCAAGGTCTGCAAAACCACCCCAGTCTCAGTGCATAATCTTTCACCTGGCACAGCATGTCACGTCAGTTTGCATAACTATTTCCCTTCACCGCAGAACATGCAAAGATATATCTCTCATATCTAGTCCTGCCACTGAGATTCTGTCATATGGTGTGCTTAGCATATTCTGTTAAGAAAAGCATTTCCTTTCATTTAGAGAAAATGCAAGACATTCAAGTTTGATTTGTGAAGGTCACAATGTCAGCCTTTGTCAGGCATATCTGAGTGTGATGACCTTCTCAGAACAATAGCGGTTATATTTGTTTTTATTTATTCCACTTCAGTTTGGCAGGCAATAGTTTGTGTTTTAATGGTATAACTGCCAAACACTGTAGAATCAAGAAGCCCTGCAGAATGAAAATTCTGTAACAGCACTTCTTTTAAAAACCTTACCAGAGCCCTCCATGCTTAAATTAGAAATGTTTTATTTTACACCTCTGACATTGTGAATCAGCTTTTCTTTGCCTGTTAACCATTGTGCAAATTGTCAGAGCTAGTGTCAAAATAAGTCAGAAAGCAAAATGCTGCTGATGTTTCTCCCCCGGAGGAAACTATAGCTTGATCTTCCTTCTTTTTCTTATCTTCTGGGGAAAAGAGGGCTTGATTTCACACCGATGTAGATTTGTCAATGTGTGGCAATCTGGGTGTTATCTAACAACTCTGTGGTTGAAAAGTCTGGGTGAAACAAAGTGCTGAAGAAAGACATTTCCATAAACATAACGCTCAGAGTAATTGTTTAAAAGCCTTCTATTAGCCGAGCTCTCACAATGACTAGTGGTCAACACTATGGATATGTGTTGGGGGAGATTTAAATGGTTGTGTCTTTTTTTTTTAGAAACTCAATTTAACATTGTGTTAAAGAATCGAAATTACAAATAAACTCGCAAACAAGGTTGACTTTAAAATGGTCATAAAAGTAATTTAATTTTTGCTCATTTGTTTTGTTGGGGTTTCTGAACCCATTTCAATAGGTTTACTCTGAGTAAAACTCAGATGAATATCATCCAATGGGTCTACTCTGAGTAAAACTCAGTTGAACGCTGCCCATTAAGTTCCATGAATGATACATGGCAAGAAATACAGTTAAATTGTTGAGGAAGAGGGGATAATTGACCAAATAAGTTTTAAAAACAAATATTAAAAGCAAACTCAGGTGTTGTATGCAGCTACAAGAAAACAGATGTCAGTGGTCCAATCAGCAAGAAATAATGTGTAGAAGATCAATAAAGTATTTATATTATCACCCATTGCCCCCCTCCTCAACTTACGAACGTTGTTAAACAAATTTGATCCATCACTACAGACTTATGCATTTATAAGAGGCAGGATAAGTATTGGGTAAATTAGTTAACTCAACCACAAGCTTAGTCAAACCACAAAAATTAGTGTAAGCTTATTAAACCCAATTTCAGAACATAACGCAAACATAGTTTCTCTGAGAAGAACCTGTGGTTCAGCATCTGTTCAGTTATACTGTATGGTAACTATAAATAATTACCCTAGACTAGTTCCAACTGCAAGTGCTGAACCAAACATATGCAGAGGACTCAACGGAGTAGCATGCGAAGCTACCAATCATAAGTGTTCAAAATAGTTGGCTAATGTAATAAGAGGTGACAGCCATTTAGCTTCAGGCATACTTGGATTAAGCTGGTTATCCAGACCCATTTCAATTTGGCTGCAGATGTGGTTTTGGTCACTTTGGTTGATTAGCTGTATTGGAAGGAGAACAAGGAGAGTGCGACCCTGATAATTTTCCTTTACCAGCAGCTTTTGATGCTTTCCTTCTGAACAGGCTCCATGGGAGAAGTGAGAGGCGCTGTTACAGTTGCACTTCTGCATACAGGACCACTTTCAGAGAGCAGACATTTGAATTAGGGGTTTAAGGTTGGCTGTGATGTGTCCTAGAGGAAAAAGGAACAGAAACAACAAAATAGGTTAATAGAAAGATATTTAGCTCTTCCAGAAGCAGAGTGTCTCTGCAAATGTGGTAGGCAGGAACTTTGTGATTTTGGGATTTATGCCAGAAGACAATTGTTAGAGACCTTACAACTTAACAGGCTCGGTTCTATGCCGCCAACGGTTCAGGACCTGCTCTCGGACAGGAATAATCAAATTACTTTAATAGTGGCTAAATTATTGAGTGCTGTCCATGTGGAAAGACTGGGCCATTATAGAGAGATTTAGTGGTTCTTGATTGGTCGGTGATGTGGTAGTGTTATACTGTATTATTTATGCAAATTGTTATGCCAAATTCATATTTTCCACAATCTGTATATGGTGTTCGTTTTATAATGTGTGGTTTGCTATGACTAATAAAGGATTGATTGATTGATTGATTGATTGATTGAACAAAATAGGGTAAGTTCACCACAAGGTGCTTTTGATAACAAAGCCAAAGGGGGAGGGGGGAAGAGAAACAGAAAAGAATGAAGAAAAATTATTCAACAGTATAGAAAGTCTTTTGCTTCTAAAATTCTTCAGATGTTCTGTCTGTCTAAGGAAGAACCTCAAATATCACTTTAAGCAAATGATGGTGGCAACTCTCAAACAAGGATCTAGTTGCATGCATCTGACTCGACCTCAATGCCCCTCAAGGCATGTTTCCACATACATAACCATGCCAAAGTAATGTGCAGGGCTTTTTTTCAGCCAGAACTCATTGGAACTGGGTTCCAGCACCTCTTTTGTGTGTTCCTGCCCCTCTGAAGTGCTGAGGTGCCATTTGGGGCTGCGTGTTGGAGGCAGGCAGCACGGCAAAGAAGAGAAGTCCTTGCCCTAAAAAAAGCAAAACTCAACAGCTATGGCTGGTTGCTCCCCCTAAACAAAGCTCAACAACTTACCTCTTTTTCTAGGGAAAAAAAAGCTCTGGTAACATGTGAAGTAAATCAACTATTGCTGAAGCTATGTGAAGTACTGTACCAGCTACACAGAAATTATTTTCAGTAGCAGCTATGTTACTGTGGTCTGAGTACAAGCTTTCGAGTTCCCATGTTCACCACTAGTTGTGTGCATGTGTACGTTTGTGAGTGATCTCTTCCCCTACCTTGTTTTTTATTTGCTTTGTTTGCCCATGATTAAGAGCTCTGAAGAACTCAAAAGCTTGCAGTTTTTCCCCATCTTGGCTGACCAAATAAAGGTATTGTCCTAACGTTTTGTTTGCTTGCTTGCTGAATTTCTCTCATGGGCCAAAACAGCTGGTTTTCCTTTTCATGTGATTTGGAAAGTGTTGATTTTAGGCATTCAGCTTCGGAATCCTGATCTGAAGGAAGACTATCTTGTATCACCTGAAGATGAGATGTTATCCTCTAATGGAACATTCCATAAAACTGCTAAGTAAGTGTGGTTTATATTGACATTTCTACCTAGCACTCCACCTAAATTTAATCTCTGTCTGTGTTGCCACAAGGGTTACTTGGTTTCTCTGTTTTCATTTTGTCAATCTCCAAAGAAACCTGGGCGTTTCTCCTAAAGGTGGAAGACACTCCTGGGCAATGACTGGTTTCTATATTTGCATTGAAAGGACAACAGCCATTGTGTGTTTTTACGTTTCAGCTTACTAAAATAGCACCCAATACAGCCTCATTTAAAAGTCTGCTTCATTTCTCACTCTATCTTAAAACTGATGAGAGGCACACAGAGATGGCTTTACTACCTGCAATATTTTATTTTCTCCCCTGACATAGGCACAGTATTGCTTTAATGCGGATTTAAAAATTTAACATAGGTCAAATATCCTTCTACGATTTCTACTTTTTATTTCCTTGGGGGGGGCAGCTGCCCGCCCCGCCCCCCGCCTAAACCCATGACAGATGGTTATGGTCTCAAAAGTGGACAGGACCTGTGCTCAGTCGGCAGAGCACGAGACGCTTAAATCTCAGGGTCGTGGGTTCGAATCCTAAGTTGGACAGATGCTTCCTGCACTGAAATCCACAACCACCCCCTTTCCTTTCCTCTCCTCCTCCTCCTCCTATTGTCAAGCGAAGGGGTCCGCCTCAAGTCGCGGCTCGCTCCATTCTTACCCAGTTTGGGGGGGGGCGATCAGAGAGAGGCTGGCACGAAAGGCGCGAACGAGGCAAGCCGCCCCCCACCCCGTTTCGATCTGCCGGGAATGGAAAGCAGGCCTTCATCCGTGGATGAAGCGGCGCCTGACGCGGGCCTGGTGTTGTCAGGAGGGGGGGGGGATGAACAAAAGCTACCCCACGCGGAACGCCAGTTGGTACGTTCCAGGGCGGCTGTGGGGGGCGGGGAGGAGCAGCAGCATCGAGAGAGTGAGCGTCGCGCGCCCGCTGTCAGTTGGCCCGAGCGGCGGGCGCGAGAGGGGTGTTGTGGCGCATGTTCGCGGAGCTCTCGCGACTGCAGGCGTCGCTCTGGTGTCACAAGAGATCTCCTCCCCCCTACCCCCAATATCTCCCGTTTTTTAATTCCCCCCAAACGGTGGTGTTTTGTTTTGGTTTTCCCCCCTCTCGCTTCTTTTTTTTTTTTTTTGCGCAAGGCGAAAAGAGGGAACCGTGAGGGAGCTTTTGTGAGGGAGAAGAAGGAAGACCCGAGTCGGAGGCAGGCAGGCGGGCAGGGTTGTTGGCTCGCTCGCCCTGAGAGGACGGCTGAGGCGCGATGCCCGTCGTGCAGAAAACCGTGTCCGAGCTGCGCTTCAGGGCGGAGGGTGAGTGGGGCTGCTCCGGCGGCTTTTTCTGCGTGTGAGGAGGGAAGCGGGAGGGAGGGAGTCCTCGTTGCCCCGACCCTTGGCTGCTACCTTGTCATTTTACAGACCCAAACATCCCGAGTACATTCAACAAGGGAGCATTTCGTGCTAATGGGGAAGGGATTCCTAGGCAGCCCCTCGTCCCACGCCCCCCTTTTTGCTGCTCGTTTCTTCCGTTTTCGGAGGAAGGCGCTCTCTGTGTTTCCCCGCCTTCCCCAGAAGCGCCCCTCACGGTGGCGCCTGGGCGAGCAAGCAGGTAGCAAAAGACGTAACCCCCCTCCCCAACACTGCCTCACCTGCTCCCTTCTGGTTTTACCCACATATATTTCACCCCATTCCTGTCAGTAGAAGAAATGTTAAAGAAAGGGAGCAAGGGGTGCCAACTTGAATAAAATATAGGGGGTGGGGGCAAAGGTAAGCTACGCCCCACATAATCAATCTCACTCACACACCATTTGAATGACAATGTCCACCAACTTTGAGGGGGCCCAACCCCACTTCAAATGTTTTATTGGGGGAAGGGCTGAAGGGACCCCGGCCCCTAGGAGTTGGCTCCTATGAAAGGGAAAGGAAAGAGCCTTTTCTATCTAGCACCCCAACCCACACCCACACAAACCAGTTTAATTCTAGAACTACAGCCACATCACCTTGCCAACAAAGGTCCGTATAGTTAAAGCTATGGTTTTCCCAGTAGTGATGTATGGAAGTGAGAGCTGGACCATCAAGAAGGCTGATCGCCAAAGAATCAATGCTTTTGAATTATGGTGCTGGAGGAGACTCTTGAGAGTCCCATGGACTGCAAGAAGATCAAACTGATCCATTCTGAAGGAAATCAGCCCTGAGTGCTCACTGGAAGGACAGATCCTGAAGCTGAGGCTCCAATACTTTGGCCACCTCATGAGAAGATAAGACTCCATGGAAAAGACCCTGATGTTGGGAAAGATGGAGGGCACAAGGAGAAGGGGACGACAGAGGACGAGATGGTTGGACAGTGTTCTCGAAGCTACCAGCATGAGTTTGACCAAACTGCGGGAGGCAGTGGAAGACAGGAGTGCCTGGCGTGCTCTGGTCCATGGGGTCACTAAGAGTTAGACGCGACTAAACGACTAAACAACAACAACAACACAGCCACTCCGCGTAGAATCATAGCATCACAGTATTGTAGAGTTGGAAGGGAGCCCTGAGGGTCATCTAGCCCAACCTCCTGCAATGGGGGGGGGGTGGAACCCACGGCCCTGAGATTAAGAGTTTTATACTCTACCAGCTGAGATGCTGTCCCGTTTCCAACTGTGCTAGCAGCTTGCACTCTCCTTTGTTCGAGGTATACAGTCTGGACCATCCTCCCCATTTCCGAGTCTGTTCCTCTGCATCTCGCTTGCATTCATCTGACTGTTGTTTGACTGTCCTCCCCTCTCACACACACCCCAAAAAATCCAGAAAATAGTCAGCATACCTGACACAATGGAAGCATAGACAGTGGATATTCCACAGCTTTTGTTGTTTGCTGTATGTTTTGTGATCATCAGGCTGAGGGAGGAGAGAATTGCTATTTCATGTTCCTACTGTGGCAGGGATAGAAATAATAAAATCACTCTCATCAATACACTTAGGAGCCAACTCTAGGGACTGAAGTCCCTTTGCCCCCTCCCCCAATCAATGTTTTAGGGGGCAGCCCACTCACCCCCAAATTAATGGGCATTGCCATTCAAATGATGTGTGCGTGCTGTGTCATGTGATTGATTATGTGGTGTGGGACTTACCTGCCCCTTCAATATTTTATTCAAGTTGGCACCCCTGTCATTACGCAACCTTACAGTCAACTGTTGATGGTCTTATACATGGTCCATGAAATCCACAGACAAAGATGACATTTGTACATATTCCGGGATTTCCACGCAATGCAGGGGAAAATGCATTAGTGTTTTGTTTTTTTAAAAAAAGGGGGAAAACCCAAAGAGAACTGGGTGTTCTCATTGCCCTTCAGGGGCTGCATAATGTTGGTGGCAGTTGAGCAACGGGGCGGGGGGGGGGGTTGGCCTGCTCAAACCCTTAATAGTTTCCTGTAATATCCTGAAGCAGGGTGAGTTTTGGAATGTATATCTCACAAAGAGCATCACTCAGCCATGATTCCCTCTCCTTAACAGTATGAGTTTTTAAAGACACTGATCCTTTTGAAGTTAATAGAGTACAAGGAGGCTGATTTTATAGACTTGGAGGCAGAACTCCTAACTGTTTAAAGTGTCTTGTAAAAATAGGGATGTGTGCACTGAGGTTACACCTCTCAACCCCAACTCTCCTTCACCAGCTCTTTAGTACAGCAGAGGAAGGCGGGGAGGAAAAACACCTGCTTCCGTTCAGTTAGCTTTGGGGTGGATGTGGAGCTTTCTGCTCATCTATTCCTAAACCTCAGTCAGTACTATAGGGCAGTTGCATTACAGCACCAAACTGCTGAAGCTCAGGGCTAGATGCAAAGGAAGCTACTCATCTTGCCCTGAAGCTCAGAAGTCTCATACCATTGCACTATGGGGATGATTTCTCAATAATTTAACCTATCCCATAGTTCCTCATTGGCCCATAAATTGGACATCCTACTTTATAGGATTTAGATTCGCATTTTACCCATAAGTTCCATAATAATAGCAACTAAAGTTATTTCAAAATGTTCAAATCATGTCTCCTCTCTAATTCAGCATGCAATCTAGTCTACTTTTTGTAATTTTTGAAGATGATTTTAAGGTTTCATTCATTTGCTTATTTATTTTTATTTATCTAATATGTAGCAAGAGAGACAAAACTTCACACATTAAGTCTCAGTGTTTGGTAATAAAAATAATAAACTGAAACCTGTAAATGAAAGTAAATTTTTTGTTTGCTTGGATTTTTGCTTTGTTTGTACTCTTGCATGCAGTTACAGACACAAAAATAAAAGGGAGCCCTGGCAGTCATTCATTCAATGATGTGTTTACATCTTTAGTATAGCATTACTCATAGCTCCACGACTTTTGTATCGTATTTCCATATCTTGAATGCTTACACAATATTGGCATGAAGGCTTATGTCATGCTCTGTTTCAGTACAAGTTGTCTCACATTTTTGCATAGAAGAATTGTATACTTGTTAGCACTAATCAGATAAAAGCAGGCACAAGCAGTATTGCTTAACTTTTCATATTGGGAACGATGTGAATCAGTTTATAAAATGGATGGGGAAATATGAAGTAAGAAACTTGGCTGAAAATTTTGGACATTAATATTTGAAGATCTGTTGGGATTCATGAGCCACTTGATAAGATGAATAATGAACCAGTGTACTGGAGTAATAGTACAATAGAGGAGCATTGGTTTACTGGACTTAATGTAAAAACTAACACATTATTTGGCAGTTATATGAATATCAAAACAATTTCCGCAGTAGCTATAATAATTGCTTTATATTACTAAATGTAGTTAGTATCCCATGTTAGTTTATATGGACTTAACAGATAAAGGGTAAGATATAGAAGAAATAATAATAATAATAATGCCAGTGGGAGCTATTTTAGAAAAGCTGATGTGAATTTTAATATGCATGTTTTAATGTACTGTAAATTTCTCCTGATGTTATAGTTTTATCTTTATGTTAACCCCTTTGATATTTTTTTTTACAATCAAGCAGTGTATAATTTTTTTGAAATACAGTGGTACCTCTGGATGCGAACGGGATCCGTTCCAGAGCCCTGTTCGCATCCTGAAGCGAACGCAACCTGTGCGGGTCGCGATTTGCCGCTTCCACGCATGCGTGTAACATCATTTTGAGCGCATGCGCAAGCGGCAAAATTCGGAAGTTATGTGTTCCGTTACTTCCGGGTCACCACGGAGCGCAACCCAAAAACGCTCAACCCAAAGCTACTTCAACCCGAGGTATGACTGTAATAATAACACTGGAAGATATAAATTTGAATGAATGACTGCCAGCTTTCCCTTTCATTTTTGCAAGCATGACTGGATGACATATTTAGAAACCGTATTCACAAATAATATATTGCCTTGACTTGGCCATTCAGCAGTGAAAGGAAGCTAAGGTCCCAATTAAACAATAACAATTTTAATTTCTCAGTTTTAAGAATTCTATTTTGGAAGCAAAAAATAAAATTAGGTATTTATTATTATATTTATATCCTGTCCTTCCTCCCCAAGGATCCTATTTCTTTCCTTGTAATTATTTCACTCTCCAGCAATGAGGCCCACAAAGTCTGCTTTCTCCTGAACTTATCAATCACTTGAATTAGTCATGCTCATTGGAAGGAATGGGAAATAAAAGTGTGCTCTCAAATGGAATAGAATAATTTTCTGCCATCCACATCAAAGGAGGATCACAGAAGTTACTCAGGCAGATTGTTTTCAGCCAAGAGAGCATGACTGAGCATAATTCCTGTAGTAGAAGTTTAGGGTGGGACAAGAAATAATCTGAAAGTGTTTCTTTCCATAAATGGTATATCTTGTCCCTAGTCTTTGAATTTTCACAGATATCAGTTATGCAGCTAACCCCTGGTAAAAACAAGGTGCTATGTGAGTGAGCCATGAGATGCTAGAACTTTCTGCTCTTGTTCTGAAAGCTAACTTCCTTGTTTGTTACAGTAAAACTGTTTCTAAAACAAAATTCAAGCCAGTAAGGTTTGTGGGGTGCGGGTGGGTGTGGGTGTGCTTTAGGAGTCATTGGAGACAGAGATAATAATAAGGGAAATGATTTTGTAACATTTCCAAACTTTTATTGCCTCCCAAGCCACAAACCTCTGTTGCATATAGTCAGAAGTGTTCTTCCAAAAATCTTCAAACCAACCAGACTCTTCTGTCTTTATATTATGGCCTAAGAACACTGCATCAAACAGTTTTGAGGAAACAAAATCTATTTTCAGTAAGATGGATTGGCTAAAACAAATATCAATATATTAACAGTAAAGGGTGGGTTAAATTTGCTTTTTTCAAATGTTGTTTTTGAGTGCCTGCCAAAACACAGAACTTTAGTTTTGCAATAATTTATAATTTGACAGTTGTAAGCAGTATTCCTAAAACCTTTTCAATATTCTTTTTTCTAACTAAAGTAACAGAATAATGCCATATTATCAACATATAGAACAATCAGTACTTTATAAATCTGAATTGGGGAATGTATGTGTGAAATCAGGATTGCAGAATAATTTGACTACATTATTAATGTAAATGTTGAAAAGTAAGGGCGGGCAGACGTTATATAACATCTCTAGTGGTTTTTATGTTCTTTATACTCAGAGATATTTAAAAAAACACTTTAAAAAACAAAAGGGTTTTATTCTTATGACTATGGAAATAAACTTTGACTTAAAACATAGAGTATGTCTGGTAAAATCTCAGAATCTATAGGAAGAGTAATCAGGAGTTTAATATTCAGATGGTTCAGTTTCAGTATTTTGCACAGCTTTATGTTCCCTGCAGGGCTAATGATTGGCCTTGGAATTCCTAATCCTGTTACAGTGATAAAACTAAGAAAGATTGGACCTTGTCAGTGCATGAATGACAAAACTATGAAACCACCTTATATGTTCTTTTGAGTTTTTCAAACGAAGCAGTGAAGCAAATAACATAGCTACCTGATATCAGCCTCATATCCTTTTCCATTCAGTAATTGGTGAAAACGAAAAGCTTATATATATTTGGGATAGAAATTGAACTGTTTCCTTAAAACTTAACTGTTTCCCTAGCGATAGAGCTAGGAACGCTCTCACCACTTTCTCGTGTTAATATGTAATGATGCTAGTCAGCAGAAAATGTTCAGAGTAGTTTCCTGCAAGCTCACAATTGTAATTTTAATTTGTAACTTGAAAGCTGACTTGTGTGATTTTGTCATTTCATATGTATGTCTGTAAAAAATGGCTGATCTTTATTTTTCTATTCAGCTCCCTGAATAAAGTTGACCAGTCTTTATTTTAACACATAGTCTCTGTCTTTATGCCTATTTGCATGTAAACACTTGCGTAAGGAAGGCCTGGGTGTGAGTTGGACAGTCTGAGGATCCCTGGGTTATAAGAGATCATATTCCTATACTCCTTTTCCAACAAAACCACCTCTATGTTGAGTTGTGGTTTTCATTTGTTAGGGAGAATAGTATTTAAATGATGAAATAATAGAACATTTTTATCTCTTATAATTTTGTATGCCCTGTAATGTTCACTCCTGTACTAAGGTCTCCACAATCCTGCCATTGTGAAGATGTAAGTTAAATATACTAGGATGTGTTTCTTGTTCTTCATAATTTTTTCTTCATCCAAGACCCATACATTCAAGAAACACAACATTTTTAACAACAATGGCTTTTGCAAGACCATATGGAATAATATATTCTCAACTAAAATAATATTTGATTGTTACAAATAAACTATGTGTGTTTTATAGACTCAGACGTGCTGTAACTTTTTCACCAAGTAAGACCAGAAACATCTGGCTTTGAATGAGTCTTGAGACAGTCAGGTCTGGAGGCTACACATGGTTAATATTAAGTATTTCATTTGTTTGCATGAAAGCGTGTTCAATATAGCTAGCTAGCAAAGGGATGCAAATCCATACTCTAACAATTTATATTGAACCTCATTGGTTGCAGTTAACTTAAGTGTACCTAATACTAGCTGCATTAAGATGTTATTCCAAACCACTGTTTGGTGTTATATGAATGAACAGTGACAAGTCTTGGGTTTCCTCCTCCCCCCCCCCTTCCTCTTTTCCTCCTATGGTGTGATTTTCTGAAGAACTTAACATTTCTCAGGAAACCGACAGTTTGCTCTTGCATGGAAAGATATCAAACCATGGTTTGTTTATAAAATAGGGTTTGATCTTGTTTTGCTGGCAAATTATGGTGTGAGCAGATCATAATTTCCTACATGTGCATGTATGCTTTGGCATTATGCCTGAATGCAGCTATTGTGTTAGATTGTTACTAAAACATTAGGGAAACCAAGACTCTGTATGATATATTATTTATTGACAATGTCTTGTGAAGTTATATAAATAAAGGTTTAAAAAGTTTTATTGGTGGCTAAGCCAAACAATGTTAACAAGAATATTTTGCACAGAGAATTTACCTACATTTGAACTGAATCCCCAAAAGTTATGTGTTCAATATTGTCTCCCTTTTTTCAAATTTGAGGAAGTCTGGTGTTGGGAAAGCTTTAATGATTATTTCTAGTTGTACCAATGCCAACACAGAACTTGTACCACCTTAAAGACCAACATATTAATGTGGTTTAAACGGTTGGAACCTATTTCATCAGATACACGAAGTGATTGTGAATTAGCAGAACGGTAGTAACAACTGAAACAGGGAACAAAGTAATTTCCAAGATACAGGTAAATATGGAGGCAAATAAAATAGTCTACAGCAATGATGGTAACTGCTAACATGAGTGTCAGTGTGATCTAGGAATATAAAATAGAATTTATTTTATATTGCTATATAGTTTCACAGGTTAGGGAAAATATTCCAACATGGCTACATAGCAGAATCAAGGGGTAACAAAGTTTCCAAATAAAAAGGGTACAAAATCCAGAAAAACAAATGTAAATTGACAATAAGGAAATGAGCAAATTTCTGAAAATATAAAAGTTACTAAACATTTAAATACTTAAAAACAAAAATCCAGGAGGCTTACTGAATGGTGCAGATGAAAGGGGGTGCTGAAGGAAAATAGGAGTGAAACTAAATGATTTTCCTGAAAATATGCCAAAATCTAAAAATATTTTTTCAGAGAGTACTGCTGAAGGACTACACCAAAGAGAAGTGACAAATGGTGAAATTTTAGAACCAATTAACAATTTTAAAAACCAACAAGTCACCAGAGCACAATTGGATTCACGAAGAATGTAAAGTTGCTTATCTATTGACTGGAGTGTGTAATATTGCTGACTTTACCCTTCCTGTTGGGTCTGTCAGCTGCTTTTATCCATAACAGCTAACCTGAGCCTCCTAGCAAATGCTGGAAATGAACAATAGAATATAACTACCATTTTCATTTCCTGCTTGTTAGCTTTTTTGGGTACTTGGCTGAGTTGGAAACAGAATGATGGACCTTGAATTATGTTCTTATGTACGTTTTCTTATCTAGAGTACTAGTGAATCATGAGACTTTTTATGCTGTTTAATAGCTAATAGGTAGGTGTGTCATAAGAACGTAAGAGCAGCCCTGTTAGATCAGACTGTAGGCCCATCTAATTCACTGTTCTGTTTCCACTCAGACGCCTACAGGAAGCCCACAAGCAGAACATAAGCACAATGACACTCTCCTGCTTGTACTTCTTCAGTTCCTTCCTTCCTGAAAATGTCCATTCCTGTATGAGTATCTGCCCTACATTTTCTGCAGTGAAGACTGATGTAATCTCTCTAATCTCCTTTAGAACAATTTTCACACCCTTTGGATTCAACAGTTCAACTGCTTCCTTATCCAGTTTCCTGCATCTGATGTATTATGATTTTTTTTTTATTGTTGGTCTTTAGCAATATGCTCTTCATTCATATATATATATATATATATATATATATATATATATGCCTTCATCATTGCCTTCTTGCATTTCTTTAACACAAATTTGCGTTCCTTTTTGTTTTTCTCAATTGGGCAATCATTTAGGCTTGTTAAGCAAGGAGATGAGATGGGAACCTCCTTGACTTGATGGGACCTATCATGATCTGTGATGTACATTTTAGCAGAGCATCTAATATGGTTTTGAGTAACTGCAGGTGTTCTAGAGAGATTTAAATAAATAATATCTAAATAAGTATGTTCAATTTCCTTTTCAGCTTCCTTTTCACCAATCCCCTTACTTCTTCCCACTTTACTATAAGTTAAATTTGATACCACTGTAGTCACTGTTTCTAATTTGTGCCATTTAGGATTAAGTCCGGGGTCAGTATCCCTGTGGTCAGTTCCATGAGCAACAAATCCAGGGTTTAGTCATTTAAGACACATATGGGGAACCTGTGCCCTGTTGCTGGACTACAACTCACATCACCCCCTAGCACTGGATATGCTGATGGAAGTTGGGAGTTCTGCAACATCTGAAGAGCCACAGGTTTTCCACCCTTGATTTTGAGTCCCTAGAAATTTTACCTCTTTGTCATGACTCGAATATGCATTTATTCAAATCTGTGTGAAGGTAATTGAAATCTCCCATTACTCTCAAAACCTCCTTTGAATGCCTCGTTGTCTTCATTCTTCATCTCAAGATCACTACTTTTATATGTGCAGAAAGCTCATTTTAATATAAACCTGTTGTCAAAAATGTTATGGTTCAGCAACAGATATCTTACATAAGGTTGCTGATTGGCTGCAGTCTAACAGCGCATGTGCAGCGTGCCTGGAACCCTCTACAAAAAAAATAGTAATCATGCTGATGAGTTGGCAGAATTAAATCCAACTCCCTCTCCCAACAGCTGATAGATAAGGCTACTGGTTTTTAAAGAGGGTTCTGTGTGTGCTGATAATTGCATTGGAAAGTAGAAACCCAAGTACATTGCCTATTAGCACACACTGTTCTTGTTGCTGCTAGGGATACATACATGCATGGAAAAAAGGTTCCCTATACGTCTGGCAACTAAGTGGATCAGCGCTTATATATTTTACATTTGAAGCTGTGATAAATTATAAATAATATGTCATGATATCTTCAAAATATTACCATTTCAAACATTAACCTGGATAGAGAAAGAATTTCTACAGATACGTAAAGAAACTGATCTAGCTACAGTTAACAACTACTGTACTTTTCTTTCCTCGTCTAATTTTGTACAGAATTAAGACAGATAATACTTTATTTTAGTAATTTTATTCTGATTACTATAACTTACTTGTTAGAGGCTTACAAGGCCTTTATGTGCATAGAGTCAGTCAAAGAATGCAATTTGTAATGTGAGGAACAATGAGGAAAAATTAATGCAGAAAAGCTTTGTAAATAGTATTGTATTGCAGAGGCCAAATGTATATTTTTCTGTTGCAGAAGCTAAACCTGCAACTGAGCCTCAATAACTTTATCAACATAATCTACCCCATATTTTCAAGAAACATGCTTAAAACAGAATATAAATGATTAGAATGAACAATACTCACGTTTCAAAGGAGAATTAAAATGACTTAAATAAGTTTACATTTTTTTAAATGAGACTACTCTTGTAGAACTGATACTTGGCAGAACCCTACATATATTAATAACAGAAAGATGCAATGTGTATTAGTTTCATTGAAACAAATGTTACTTTTACAAGACTATGGCTTTGTGATTTGTGACCAAACAAGCTATATATACAGTGTCTCTACATTGTTTAAAAAACAGACCATGGAATAATAACAATATTGAACTTTACTCTTCACCACCCCACCACCCCTTCCCTTATTTGGATTTACTCATTAGAATTACGAAATATTTCTAGTATTTCTTAAGTCCTTATATGACAATGGCAGTATCTTTAAAGGAGAAAATCTTCAAATGTTTACTCAGTTAGATAAGCCCTCTTAACTGTCTCTTGATGCCAAACATTTCATTCTGTATAATTGTTCAGTTGATAAAGAATGACAATGAACCAAACCACTGCTTAATTTCTTAGGGGAGAGGTTTGGTATACTTGGTATACTGATACCAAGAATTTCCTGGAAGGCTTGTCCTTGAAATCTTTCTGCTAAAACAGCATTTTGGGACTAACTTTGAGAGGGAATAGTACTTTATTATTGGAATTCTTACATAAATCTGCAAGGCCCACGTGCCCTTAGTTCAAATTGGGGTTTTAATTCCCTGCTACAGCTGTAGGTGAATTCCATTTCCCTCCTGTATTTTTTAGTGGATTGGGGAGATTCCTTCTTTTGATCCTGTTTTAGACATAGAGTTAAAACCAGTGCATAAGGGTGTTGAAAAGGTCCAAAAGAACCCTAGACTTTCCTGAGGCTTTTTAGCTGGTGCATGCTCAGAAACTGAGGTCTGTGTACCTGTTGCCTCTATGCTGGTGTGGAAGATGTCCTCCAAACCCAATAAATGACCATAGGATGGTGGGGGCAGTAGGAATGGACCGTGAAGCACTCTCAGAAACCTCTGTGTGAAGCTGAAGAAGGGGAAGTGGTGTGCAAAGTGGGGCTTTAATTAATTGAGGGGGGACAGGAGAAAGTGTGTGTGAGAGAGAAAAGTGTGGGAAGAGGATCATGATGAGTACCAGCAACCTTTTTTCTAGAGGGGGAAAAAGTACTGCTCGATATCATTGGCATCATTGAGGTTATGTGAGGGTGACTCACTTATGTAACTGGTTTTCCTATACCAAATCTGATCTATGGATCCGTCTAGGTGAGTGTTTGTATTTTCCATTGAAAATAACGGAATGTGTTTCCCATTGATAATAATGGAAGTTGTAGTCTGTGGTAGCACTTTAAAAGCTAAAGAATGAGGCAGGCCATAAGAAGGGATATGAATACCAGAATTTCTCCATTTGATAAAATCTTCTTCATTCTTTTTCCAACCATTGCCAGCCAGATGCGTCTGGATGCTGACAAGTAGGGAGTGAGAGCTTAAATAATGCTCTCAGAACTTGATTTGTGAGCTTTTAATGATTAAGTATAAATGATGCAGTAATCTGAAATGTGGGAGGGGAAATCATTGAGATGCCCCAAATAAAAATTAGGGGAGTCTTTGGGTTATGTCTTGGGAATGGCAAGGCAAGAATCTGGGTGAAGCTGAAACTAGAGGTGGGCTGGGTTTGAATGGGGGGGGGCTGTTTTAAAGTTGTATCGCACTTCAGAAACATACTGTCAACCAGTGCTGTTTATGCAAGAGCCACATCACATGCTCTGACATGCTCCACCAACATCTGAGCAGCCACATCTTGTTCCAGTTAACATTTCTGGACCCTTTTAAAATGCAGATCACATTAGACTAATAAAATACATTACATTACAGTACTGTAGTCTAGTCTGGATGTCACTAGTACATGGGTAACCAATGGCCTAGTCACACTTCCGTTTGTCTCGTGATTTCAAGTCATGGGTCCAAGAGGTTCTTTTGTCCTGCCGCTTTTCCTAGGAAAACCCATTGTTTACTGCTGAATCTGAGCAGACATTAATCTGCAAACACCCTGATTGATGTTTGTTCAGATTCTGCAGTGGCTTTGCAACAGGACAAAAAAAAAACCCCTACCACCTCTCAACCCGTGACTTGAAAGTAAATGACAAATGGAAATGTGCATGAGTCCCCAGTTTAGATCTCCCTTCTCTAGATAGGGTTGCAATATGGTAAAATGCACTCCTCGGTAATGCTTTCACAGATAGTGCCAAGACTGGTAGCACACATCCATCCAGATACATCAGGTTTCTTCCCCATAGTGCTATCGGCTTGTCTGGATTATCATAAGCTTGTTTTCTCTCACCCAAAACAAAACTACCTTCAGATACCAATTCATTAAGTCCAAAGCTTCCTGGGATATAAGGCAGAGCTGCATGTCATTTGCATGTAAATAAATGGTGGTGCAACCCAAACCTCTGGATTAGTTCTCCCAGTGGTTTTTATGTAGGTCATTGTGCTATAAATATGTTTAATTGTATATTAAGTGGCTAATATTTTACAGGCTATGAGAAGACAGATGATGTTTCAGAGAAGACCTCACTAGCTGATCAGGAAGAAGTGAGAACTATATTTATCAATCAACCACAATTCTCTAAATTTTGTAACAATCACGTAAGGTATTTATAACTAACTCTTATAACCTCTTTATAATTTGCAGTTGTTAATTTTGTTTTTATTAAGTTGCAATTTTATATTGTCACGATTTATGTACAGTTTTAAAGAAATGGGAGTGTTAAGAAAAATCTGGCAGGACATGTTACCTACTCTTAGAAAAAGTTAATTCACTCTGAATGGGGACTTGTAAAAAGAGATTCATGTTAGCAGTTAAATCAGTTAACTGGAAGTTAATAATAATTGATGCCTGAAAGAAGAACATTCCTAATGTTTTCCAAACAAAGCTACAATAAATTCTAGAGTGTTTGAGATTGATGTTGCTATTTTTTGTTTTTAGTACCCAGGCACCAGTGCTAAACTGAAATGGTTATTATTCATTATAAAAATATTGGATGGGATCAAACCCTAACAGTAGCTTTATACAGTAGCTACAAATGCAGTGGAGATGGTCAGAACTCTGTTGTGGAAGGAAATGGTGTGCTGCTTTTCCTAACTGCAGCTGCTTCCAAAGCCAGTGGTGTATTAGTGAAACTGGTCAGATTCATTCATTCATTCATTCATTCAAGAATAAGGTTATAAAAATAAATCATTTTCCTAGGAAGGCTTGCTGAAATAACCAAGCCTCAAGTTGGTACTTAAAACTTATTGTAGGGGGTGCCAGCTTCGTATCATTAGGCATGCAACTCTCTGGAAGAAGCAAAGACCTGTCTCACTTATGCAGCAGTTTGGAGAAGGTTAGAAACAGCACGGGATTCTCCCACTATTTCTTATGTACTTCAAACATCGACATATGAGACAAGACTGTGTCTTTGAGTTCTTTAGTAAGCACAGAGGACTTGGAAGAAAGATTCACTTTGGAAAAGGGAAGGAAAGGCTGATGGGACACTTGCTCCTGGCATGCTGGCAAGTTATATTGTGGACACCTGTTCAAAGGAGAGAGGACAATATCCCATTTTTTTCCATCCAACAAAAGTGTAGTATCTAATGTGTTAACGCCATCTACTGGATATTGAAGGAAATAAAATGAAAGATTTTAAAACAAACATGGAGAGAAAGTACAATAGACTTTCTTATGCAAAATTACCTCAGATGAGAGCTTGGGACATTGCAGAGTAGCATTATCTGAAGCAACAACACCTTGAGGCTTCAGTATAAACACATAAGCCCTAGAACAATTTGCACTACATGTGCGCAAGTTGTTATGACATTAATATCACATGATTAAACAACTGTGTGTAGTTTATTTTGAAATACATTCTGGATTTCTTCCTCCATATATACATAAAAACATGAGGCTATCATCACACAGCTCCCACGGAAGGATTTGAGATGTTGCATCATGATCCTGGATTTGCATGAAGTCAGGGCACAGGAGGGAAGCAGAAGAGAAGGTAGACTGCACAAATGTGGCAATAGGAGTGAGAAGGGACAAGCACAGAGGGGGAAAGTGCTGGTTTAAAACAACACAACAGTTTGAGTAGGGATGGAGGAAACTGCGAGAAAAACAGTGGTTTTAAATTACTGCAGAGGTTTGCATAGAATACTTTGGAATATTTGATGGCTCTGCATCCTTGATCTCTCTCACATGAGGCAACTGAGGAATGGAGGAGGCAGAAATTTGGATACAGCAAGCATGGGGTGGCAGTTTAAAATAGAAGTTTGAGTAAAATGAGAAGGGGGTTAGGAAAGGCCCTGTTTAAAGGCCTTTTGGTGTCAGCTTGTTTGTTATAGCAGAAATGGGTACAACCAGGGCCAGCCTGCACATGAAGGGGGCTGAAGCAGCCACCTATGGTGGCAGGATCCTACAAGGCGGTGCGAGAGTTCCTCAAGGTTTTGCAGGAGTTCTGCAAAATCTCCTCGAAAGCCTCCATAGCCACACAACCCCAGTAACCAAGGCTTTGCAGCGGGGGCACCTTCCCACTTTGCCCCAGGCAGTGAAATGGGACAGACCTCCCCTGGGTACATATCCTTGCTAAAACTTGCAAAGGTGGCTGCAGAATAGGAGAGAGGAGGAGCCATGGAAATGGAGGTGGCATGTGCGTAAGGGAGAGTTGAGAAAAGAGAGGAGGAAAGTGGAGTGGGGGGGGAGGGATTGAATGTGAAAACGGTGCAAAAGTGGTTACAAAAAAGCAGGGAGTAGAAGGCATGGGAACGTAGTTGAAGATGAAAGCAGAGGCATGAAAGGGTCTGACAAATAGGAGGGGATTGTGGCATCATAATTGGGCAGAAGGTGAAAAGAGTGCTAAGTCGTTGCTATGTTCAGAAGGATGCAGGAGGTTACCATGGGAGTGGTCTGTGTGCAAAAGGGGGTTGAACAACAGGAGGGCAATAAGGAGGTGGGAACGTGTTGCAAAGTAGGTCTGCAGAACAGCAGGGAGAAGTGGCTTCAGAAATGGGTTGGGAAGTTGAAAAGTGAACTTGGTAGTTGTATGGGGTGAGAAGGGCAAACTCTAGGAGGTTAAAGTGGAGGAATGGTGGTGTGGTTCGTGAGTAGAATGAGCAGGGGCACAACCTCTAGTATGCAAATATTTTTGTGTTTTGTATTTGATATATGGCTTAGTGGAGCATTTTTAATTTAAATTTTTTAGAAGTATACACCATGTAGGTTTTTTTTAAAGTGTCCATGACATTCACACCAAAACTTACGCATGTATATGGCACTGAAAATGGCTGTGTCCTGGGCTCATTTTGAGTTTTCTTGGATACAGTTTGAAGCACTGTGAGAAACTGCAAAATAGTTTTAAGCAGTGACCACAAAAGGAAAAATAAATAATTGTAGATTGTGAGCATTGACTGTTCCATAATACTGCCTCCACAGTATTGAAAGGTATCTTATGGATTAGTGCATTCTGAATACAGGGTGCTGTGTGATTTTTATCTCTATCTCTTAACTACATACAGTTTTAATCTCTGTTTCTTAGCACTGCAAAATACAACTTAATCACATTCCTGCCGAGGTTCCTCTATTCCCAGTTCAGAAGAGCTGCTAATGCCTTTTTTCTTTTCATTGCATTGCTTCAGGTAAGCTAGACGAGGTAAATATATATTTAATAATATTCAATTGTTATATGTCAAAAGTAAAATTGCTTTGAATGTCCCTGAAATGCCAGGTCCTCATCTATTCGATTTGAGTGGTGTGGTACTACTTCATGGAAAATGTCTTTGAAATGCATTGTTTTAACACTGGAGAATTGTCGTGTTTATAAACAGTGATGCTTTTACAAATGCATAATGTCTGTGTTCACATGTAATGCTGAGCCAACTATCTAGGTGAGCTGCAGAAAACTTGAGCATAGGATTGGGCTCATATGCTCTCCCACTCCCCTCTTCTCCCACAAATTTACTGTCACTTCCAAAGAATGTTGGCTTGTTATGTCATATGGACAAGGAATCCTGGCTCACAACAAATTGTTATGTTTAAAAACCTGGTGCATATGACAGAACAAGCTGACACTCTCTGAAAGTGAAACTGATCTTTGCCAAAGTCCTTCTTCTGCCACATGGGAAGAGGAAAGGGGAGCGGGAAGCATACAAGCCCAGCTCTTTGCTTTGGCTCACTGCAGCTTATCTACATAACACTAAACCATGGTTTTATGTTCTTACTGATGCAGTCACATTGTAATAGAAGCTTACTGTACACTCACTTTAACAGTTGTATTTTTCACACTTGACCCAAAATTAAGAATTACTAGGAGAAAAGGAAATTTATGTGTCTACTCATCATACTGTTTAGGGACTTTGCCATAGTAACCGATTCTAGAAACTGATTCTCACTGCAGTTGCTTCTTCTGCAAGGAGTTGCACTAAAAGTAATAGGGTACCTGGGGATAGAGGGGAATAAGACAGTGTCTGGGCAGCGGCGGAGCAAGCCGATCAGGCGCCTGGGGCAGCGCATGTGTCCTGCGCCCGGGGGTGGGGCCGACCGCCCCACGGGGCGGAGCGAGCCGGCACAGGACACTCTGCAGGGCCCCCTAAGGAGTCTGCCTGCCTCCTCCCACTCAGCTGCCCTACAACTGAGGGGGAGGTGGCGGGCGGACCGTTTGGGGTAGCGCAGAGCCTGCAGGTGCCCAAGCCACCGCATCACTCCCTGGAGAGACGCGTGGCTCGGTCACTCTGCAGGCCGCGCGATGAGTGCCACCCGGCATTTTGTCACCCCCTTCAGTGGTTACACCTGGGGCAGACCGCCCCCAGCGCCCCCACCGCACCCCCCCTTCCTCCTCCCCTGTGTCTGGGAAAGTAGGCTGGCAAACTGCTCCTCAGATATGGGTTGTTGGGAGAGCAGAAGAGTAGGGTGACAGGAGTATTTGGAAGCAGTAGTGTGGCAGGAATGTAACATATGACAGTGATGGGCAATTGGATAGTAAAGGTAAAGGGACCCCTGACCATTAGGTCCAGTTGTGGCCGACTCTGGGGTTGCGGTGCTCATCTCGCTTTATTGGCCGAGGGAGCCAGCGTGTGGCCAGCATGACTAAGCCGCTTCTGGCGAACCACAGCAGCGAACGGAAACGCCGTTTACCTTCCCGCCGGAGCGGTTCCTATTTATCTACTTGCACTTTGACGTGCTTTCGAACTGCTAGGTGGGCAGGATCAGGGACTGAGCAACGGGAGCTCACCCCGTCGCGGGGATTCGAACAGCCGACCTTCTGATTGGCAGGTCCTAGGCTCTGTGGTTTAACCCACAGCGCCACCCGCGTCCCCTAGTTGGATAGTACTTGACATCAATTCTATTCCATGCTTCCGGGTGGTTCTTGAGCCAGCTTTTCAAGGTACGAAGAAGCAGGAGACAAGAAATACCCAAGAACAATATGGGAGATTCTAAGCAATGCAGGGGCAAAGTTGGTTTTATCCCAAGGTTTGGGAATCTAGCAAGATTTGTATGAGAAAGAAGCTTAGGTGATAGGAGATACCGTATTGGCCTGAATATAAGCCTCACTTTTCCCCCAAATTCTGACTAAAAAGTGTGGCTTATATTCATGACCTTACGGTATGCAGCCAGGAGCGCGGGGCAAACAGCACCAGGAGCCTGGCAAAGCAGCACCCACCCCGTGAGTCGTCTCCCGTCCTCTCCCCCAAGGCCGGGAAGGGGAGAATGAGGAAGGGGAAAGGCCAACGGCAACGCAGCGCAGCCCCCCAGCCATCCTGTATGCAGCCAGGAGCAGCGAGGAATGGATGGGCTTATATTCGGGTATTTTTTTTTCCCCTCCAGTTTTAAAGGTGCAGCTTATATTCGGGTGCAGCTTCTATTTGGGCCAATATGGTAGCAAGTGGAAAAAGCTGAGTAGTGAGCAGTTAGGAACAATAGCAACAGTATCCCAGGGTTTCCCATTTAAAAGTGAAATGCCTGTTGCTTCATTCAAACTTTCAGCATGTATTTGAGAATTGTCATTTTACATTTAAAAGTGGGTTTTTGTATTAAACTGTAGGTTTTGTATGGTTATTTATTTCTGCTTATAACAACTAAACAGTTTTTTTTGCAATGAAGTCTACATTTCCGTCCTCTCTTTTTCTTTAGCAAATTCCAGATGTTTCTCCAACTGGACGTTATACAACATTGGTTCCGCTCTTATTTATTTTAATTGTAGCAGCTGTAAAAGAAATAATAGAAGATATTGTAAGTATTTTTTCCAAATAGCATCAAATCCTTGTATTTATCTTCAAATAATGTATATTCTTTAAATTACGTTGGGTTGAATCCAAAGGTACCCTTGTGCAGAAGGTTATATTTGGATCCAACCTACAAGTTTTTTAAAATGATGCCGCCATCTTGTAGTAGCTGTTTCAAAATACATTTCTCATACCCTTCTAATATCCTTTCTTTTTTGATATATATATATATATTTCATTTGAAAAGACCTGTAACTCTTTTATGCCTGGGATGCTGCTTTGTTTTTATATTCATATTAATAAAATTTCTAGAAACGGGGGTGTTAATAAATGCTATCAATTCTTAAAGCTGCAATCCTAGATATAATATTGTATGTGCTAAGAGCAATTAGATTAAATTGATCTTAAGCGTGACAAGCTACAGTACATATTTACTTGGAAGTAAGTGGGACTTGTGTGTGTGTGTGTGTGTCCCCATCCTAGGGTCAAAAGCTGCTATTGAAAAAACAGAAAGGTTGTTAGAATTATGGATCCATTGACTGCCTTGTTTGTGGTATGTGTGTGTGTGAGAATATGATGGATATGGGCAGGTGTATTTGTTCCTATGCAGTCAACTAGGAGAGGATGACAAGATGTAGGTTGATGTGAAGTTGCACCATCAGGTTTTCATTGTTGCATTGGATTGTTAGTTGGGAATCAAGGAAAGCCAGTGGTGGGTAACCTCTTTCAGAATGAGTACCTTATTCCCAGCTGGACAGGATGGGCAGCAGAAATATAAGCTTTGCAATCACTCTCTACTGTCCTGGAGGGATGCATTTGGCCCTTTATCTAGGCAGTGGAGAGTGATTGCAGAGCTTATATTTCTGCTCCCCATCCTGCCTTAGGGCAAGAATCTAGTGGCAATGCTGTTGCAAATGTACCATTGTGCAACAAGAACCCCAATCCCCCACTCCCAGACACAGATTCCTAAATGAGCGGCTTTCACTTTTAGTTTCTACCCATCCCCACCCCCAAAATAGCGCAGCATTCTGATATTTCAGTACAGTAGCTTCTAACATTGTCCAATTTTGTTTCAGAAAAGGCATAAAGCTGATAATGCTGTGAACAAGAAGAAAATTCAAGGTAAAGACATGCCACAGCAATTTTTAAAAATGTACAGTGAAGAAAATTGAAGTCATGTGAATTAATTTGGCTTCCATTGTTACTATGACTACTTTTGAAAAGCAGATATAGATACTTGAATAATATGTGCTCTACCTAGAAAGTTGGCTACTTTCAGCCTCATTTGTCATCTCTAGAATGTGGTTGTGGATAAAAGCATCTGTGTTGTTGAGAAGAGTGCAGTCCTAAGTGGGAAGGAGAGGGAATGAAATGATGGGAAATCTACCAGCCAGGTCAGGAAGTGTCCCCACCCCACCCCCGAATCCATTGGACAATTGGTTACACCACCTTCAGGCTGGTGTAGATGGGCAGCCTGCTCCTGGGGCCTCATTGTCTAATGAAGGGTCCCCATTCCATTCCTAGAAAGTCCACTTTGAGACCTAACCCTGGCTATTGCCAGCAGGAACACCACTGATGACAGATCTATGCCTGCAGGGCTTTTCTTGGGCATAATATAGGCCTCTGCAGCAAACGTGATCACCCACCCACCAGGGAGCATTTTCTCTGCTGACAGCAGGACAATTCCGTAAAACCCTAACCCCCTCCAGCCAACCTGTGATTTAGGATTGCTCTGTAAGTTCTTTGCTCCATTCTTGAAAGAGAGAATTTTGTGCGAAAATAAAATAAAAATAGGTGAACCACAAACGTTTCCTAGTCAATAAGCATGGTCTCTATGTTGACACATGTTAAGTGTAGGACTGCTTTTATTGATAGTGTGACATGGTTATGATGCATTTTTGTAGTTATTTATAAATCGTTTTGTTAAACCGTTCCTATAGTTTGGTTTTATTTAATATCAACATTTGTGTTTTCACTGGTTTTTAATTTTTTAGTACTGAGAAATGGAGCTTGGGAAATTGTGCACTGGGAAAAGGTAGGTTATCTCTTTCGTGTTCAGCATAAAAGTGTAAATACTGGATTTGATCCAAAAATAGAAGAGATGGAAAATACCTGATGGTGCTGTTCTACAGATTTCTGGCACCAGATTAGGCATAGTACTAGGGAGGTTGAAGTTCCGGTCTTAATGCAGGAGCTTACACAAGCTTTTGTGCAAATGGAAGAACATCTTAGTATTTCATCTCTGTCTTCTTGTGCAACTTCTGCACAAAGAAAGATACCAACAATAGAAATAAAGTAAATTAGAAAAGAAAAGCTACTTTTAAATGTGAATTTTATTTCTTTATTTAAGACCATTTCTGTATGGCTTAATATATGAAATATATAGATTTTCATGCATTTCCACATAGAGGCAGTTTAATACTGAATCTGGCACAAATGCATCCCAGTGCCTCTTTAAAAAGATAACTTCTGCCTTTCATAGTGCTGTGAGTTCGACCGAGTCCCTGTGTTGGAACAGCAGTAGTAATCAGCACTGTGAGCATTCAAAGAAACCCTTCTGCAATGTTGCTCTGCCACCAAAGGACTTTGGGGGAGGTAATGGTTTTCCAACGGTTCCTTGTCTCATTCCAAAGTTGGTCAATGTGGCCTCCTCCCCTTAGTGTCAATGCAACTTTGTGCTAATGAAACACCACAATAATGAATTTATTGCCTCACTTGCTTAACTGTTCTGGTACAAGCCAATTCTGTTGTCCATTAAATGAGTCATGTAACCTGACTGCAATATATAGTTAGGGAAGACTAAGAAATGGACTGCTGGAATAAAATAAAAATGGGTTATGTATTTTTTAATTTCACTAAATATGATTTAATCAAGTTTACATAATCACAAGAGTGATTGATCTCTCCTTCAGAAGTTTCAGCTGGGCTTTCTCCGTTATATGCTTTGACTGAAGCCAGGAAAGATCTTTCTAACCATTATCATAATTAGCCTCCTGGGACTCCAATACAGTAATTTTGCTTGGAAGAGCCCATAGCTCAGTGATAGTAGATCACATGGTGTGCATGCAGAAGGTCTCAGATTCAATCCTATCATTAAAATGATCCCAGGTATTACTGCTGGGAAATAATATCTGTTTGAGGCTTTGTAGAACAAATGCTAGTTGAAGTAGACAATACTAGTCTAAACAGACCAAAGGTGTAATCATGTTGCTCCTCCCTGGTCTTTATTTTACTCCTGTGCCATGCAGAGGAAAACCAATCTGTTAAGTATAGAAAGAATATAGACAGATGAGATTTCACTTCCAGTTTATTTCAGTGGAACACTGGTATTTTTGGAACACCTTTGCAAGTTCCAGTTTAAGTAGTTTACCAGTTTTATTAGGCAACACATATTTAAATATAGTAAAAAGATTAAGAGCTGTTTGTTAGTCTCAGATTATTAACCAAATCCTAGTTTTCTTTCAGGTAGATGTTGGAGATATAGTTTTAATTAAAGGCACAGAATATATACCTGCTGATACTGTACTACTCTCATCAAGGTAGAGAATACCCATCAACGCTTCTGGTGTAGAGGCTGGTTTCTCTACCCTTGCATTGACTTTATAAATGCTTCAAGGAAATAAAGAATAAACAGAAGCACCTTTTACCTCTATTCTCAGTTTGGTTCAAAGTACTGAAATACTGCATTACTGAAATTATTGATTTACAAGCTAAACAAAATTAACTTACAATGACTGGATAAAGGCCTTTATAGGACAGAGGCTTCCAATCAGTCTGATGCTATTTACACAAAAAGTATTTTAATGCTTAAAGTTATTTAGAAGACCAGAAAGCATGCCATTGGGGGTATTCTGAGGCGATTGTTTTCACACATGAAAAAACATCCAGTTTCTTCATAACATCAGCATGCCAAATATTACATTTAATATTTGAAAGATTTAATCATGGAGGTTGTTTATCTTTATTTCCTTGAAAAACTTTATTTACAAGTCCAGACCAAATATTTAGAGGATGCAATTTTTTCAAAATCTATTAGACCATATCATTATATGAACTTTTAATAACCTTAAAAGAAGATTTTTTTAAGATGTTAAGTGAACAATTTGTCATAATGTTTACTTGGTTTTTTTTGTTGTTGTTGTTAAAATGAGGCATCTATTATTTATACTTTGCAGTATGAATTGGCTTGTAAGGCCAGTATATATATTACCATATTTGCTCGGCTTACTGTCTCAATGGCCGTTATTTTTTCAATACAAGTCTCAGTATTTTGGGGCTGCAGTTCTAAGGTGCAGGGCGAAGGAATCAAAGGCCTCATCCAGAGCCCTGCTGTGTTCTCACTGGCAGGATAGAAGTGAGAACGTCCATTTGCTGGATTTTTTCCTCTCCCAGTAATTCTAGTATGAGGGAAAGTGATGAGAAAAGTCTAGACTCAGACAGCCACCCTTACTTTGGAACTCCCTGACTACTGGCATCAGGCAGGCAGCTTCACTGTAAAAGGTAAAGATAAAGGGACCCCTGACCATTAGATCCAGTTGTGGCTGACTCTGGGGTTGCGGCGCTCATCTCGCTTTACTGGCCGAGGGAGCTGGCGTACAGCTTCCGGGTCATGTGGCCAGCATGACTAAGCCGCTTCTGGCGAACCAGAGCAGCGCACGGAAATGCCATTTACCTTCCCGCCAAAGCGGTACCTATTTATCTACTTGCACTTTGACGTGCTTTCAAACTGTTAGGTTGGCAGGAGCTGGGACAGAGCAATGGGAGCTCACCTCATTGCGGGGATTCAAACCGCCGACCTTCTGATTGGCAAGTCCTGGGCTCTGCGGTTTAACCCACAGCGCCACCCGTGTCCCTTAGCTTCACTGTATTATACGCTAAAAACACTTTTGTTTAGCCAAGCCTATCCAGATATATAGAAGCTGTCATGTGTTTTAATCTGGTTTCAGTTTATTGTTGTTTTTAATTATTATTTTTTCATCAATTCTGGTGCCGGACTGTGCCTAGCAGACAACCAGTTTTGGATTTACTATCCTTTAATAAGTGGACAGTCATTGTTCCACCATTGTTCCATTTGATGCTTGTATTAGGAGATAGCTTTTATAGATTGGCCTTGCCAACTAGCCCAATAAATAGAGAAGAGGTTCTGGTACCCATCCCACATCTCATGCAATAGAAGAATTGCTTTATGTTTTGTTTCTTAATGGATATTTTTAAAGAAAAAAAGCTGCAGAGGAAATAACTACTTCAGGGACCATTCTAAACTGGAAGCGTGTTTGCTTTAATTGAACATGAATCCTGCTCATTTTTAAAAAGCCGATGCCCAGAATTTTGGCAACATTATTATTATAATTATTCTCCTCATGTCCTATTCCATTGCTAAAAGAAGGTGTTAATTTCAAAATAAAATCAATTCAAGCGGGAGTTTTTATTTTTACATTTAGTGTTCATTTTAATTTCTTGAGAAAATGTGGGAATACTTTTCTGGGAACCTTGGAGAACCATGGATTCCAGTAGTAATGGAGGAATCCTCCAGAAGTGACTCCAGAAGCATCCATAGCCTTTCCCCATAACTCAATATAATTCTCAGAGCTACAGTATCATGACTTTGCCACTGCATATCTTAAATAACCAGATGCTTACATTTTAACTATTCTAAGGGTTGTTGTTTTTCCCTTAAGAGTTTGTACCTAAATATATATATTTATTAAATAATATTTTAATTCTGATGTGTCTATATCATTACCATATTTTCCTGGATCCTATTAAAATAGATTTTGAAAAAAAAGCCATCAAGCATTTATTAACATACTTTGTATAGTAATTTCCAACTTTTTGTCTCTTTTTGTCTTTTGTCCGTTTGATTTCCTGCCCTTTACTTGTTGTGTTATAATCATTTTAAAAATTTTAAATTGGGATATGTAGGTTGCAGTAGGGGAAATAGTGAAAGTCACCAATGGGGAACACCTCCCAGCTGATCTCATCAGTCTGTCTTCAAGGTTAGAATGAACCAGTTTCAGAACAAATGTGTATGTGGGTCCTCTTAGGCCAAAGCAGTGTTTCTGCCATCAACCATTTACATATTAATTGTGTACAGAAATTGAATTCTAGAAATAATGCAGCATTCGTATAAAATAGGAGAGCAAGAGAGGTTTACCTGGGCTTAAGCAAAAGGACTATTTTAGCTTGAGTTCTTAAAGACTATTAAGACTGCAATCCTTTCCATGTTTACTGTGGTATATACCCTATTTAAATAAATGGGTCATACTTCTGAGTTAACATGCATAGGATTGCAGTAACAAACACAAATGCAAGCATATTTGAACATCCAGAATTTGCTTTTCTTGCCTTCCTGTTACGTATGTAATTACACCATACTTAATAATGCTATATTATAAAAGAAACTGTTTCTTTGAAATGGTTCAATGTGCAGCTGCCTGTATTGAAATTAGTTAAATCTTTACATCATTAAATACATTCTTTTTAAAGTTTTAACTAATGTCCATATTTATATGCTAAAGAACCTGCTTTCAGTAATTTTATATAACACTCAAAAATTAGCAATTATTATACTTGAGCTTTTATAGTGGACCCTCAATACAAACGTAAATGTTGCACATTTTGTACTGCATGCAGTTAGCAAATAGTCATATTTTTCTTTGTAGAAATATTGCACGATACTTGGTATACTTCAGATTTTGAAAGTCTTTGTGCTGTGATTGCATCTTATTTTGATTTCACTAATCAAATTCCAATCTGATGTCTCTAGTGGAGCATGTGTCCTTTCTTTTTAATGTTTCTGCTGCCTTGTTTATTTTCAAAGTCCATACAAAATATGCAGCCCCATGTTATGCATGTTAACTCAGAAGTAAGCCCACTGACATCCGTGGGACTTACTCTGTGAATAGGATTACAGCCTTACTTTGTATTTATAAAAACACATGAAGTACGACAGAATGTAAATATGTATCAACTAATTAGTATAGTGAAATAGTCTAAATTCTAATCAGTATTCAGTCATTTACACTTAAAGAAAAGAAGGCCAGAAGATAGCTCAATATGAAATTGAGAAATGTGGTGTGGAAACATTTTGTAATTCAACTAAAGGTTGGCACCAATCACACTGCTAAAGAGGATATTCCACAAAAGACCCTCTTCGGTGTCACCATATAATTCACTTCCTTTAATGATGAGGCATAGAGAAAAGCCCCATTGGAGCAGCTTAAGATATGGCCAGGCTAGTATAGGTTCATTCAAGTAATTGGTCCCCAAGCCATTTGAAGCTTGTCTTTCAGAATCAGATTAATAAGAATATTTCTTTATTAACTGGTTGATTTTAAAAGACTTCTAAACCGCTTAACATTTAGGAATTGCAAAGTGGTGTGCTATATAGTAAATTTATACAATAATAGTAAACATAATAGTAAATTGGAAACAAAATGAAATACAATTTCCACAGTTACCAGCAATATACACCCAATAGTCAGGAAATGCTTTGGGGAACTGAAAGGTCTTCAGCATACATTGAAAGCATAGGATAGGCAGTGCATCTGGAATAATGGTTCTGCTTCTGTCAGTTTTTTCCCCATATGTGCTTCATGTTGCATAAATTCAAAGTGCAAAAGTTTGGCTAACTCTGCAGAGTGCTTTATTGTTTTGTGGTATGTGATTCTGCAGATTGTAGTATTAGCATGGTGTCAAATATGTTTATTTGGCTAGCATTCTTTGCTTAATATTTTTCTAAGAATCTCTTAAGATCTGGAATATTTTCTCTACTTAAAGTATAAGGCAGTATGATCACTGATCAACTTTGTGTGGCTTACTATATATGGATTAGTATCAAAGCTCATACTTTGATAATCATGTTCTACAAATGTGAATGGCTGATTATAAATATAATTTATTTTTGAAAATAACATACTAAAGAACGGATATAACTTTTAAAGTGATCAACTCACAAAAATGAATCTTTCCCCCCCTCTAAGTGAACCACAAGCTATGTGCTACATTGAAACATCAAATTTAGATGGCGAAACCAATCTAAAAATACGACAGGTAAGTTGATGTCCATCAATTAAAAATGTTTATGTTGCCATAAAGTGTTGCTTCTGTTGTCACTAATGGATAGTGAATGGGAGATAAGATATATGAACGAACTGCCATTCAGGACCAGAGGTGTGCATACAATTCTTCTGGACTGCATAATGCCAAATGATTGGGTATCAAGTGTTCTTGTTGTCTCCATTTGAGCAAAACAGGAGGACAGATTTCAGTACCACCCTTCAGTTATCTACGCCGCAAAAACTGGGACTGGGAAAATTGTATTGTGGAACAGGACATGTACCCCCAGCTATAAGACGCTTATAGTTTATCCACCAGCTGTTGACAGTGTGGTAAAGGGATTGTTACTTTCAATCCCATATTTTAAACCATACCACTCCTTTGCAAATTGGGTTGTAACTTGCTAATATTTTAGTAATGAAAGGTTAACACATAAATGTGTGTTAAGTAGAAGTTGGGTTTCAATATAAAGTTAGCGTCTTTGGAAGTTTTGGAGTGTGAGCTCTTCCCAGCTGCCCTGGTGCTTTTGCAGGTGAGCAGCACACCTGCAAACAGAAGTCTTTTACAGCAATATTTGTGTCACTCACTGTTAGTAATCAGTGTGAGAAGGAGTAACAGTCACACAAACCAGCAGTTGTAACTCCAGGGCACACACGCATATACACACACTCTAAGAAATAAGTAACTTGTTACATCTTCAGATTGAGGGTTAGGATTTCTGGGGAACCTGATGCTGATGACATGTTTTTCAAAAAGCATGAAGAAAGGTTGCTAGAAAGCTACCATAGTTACTGTCACTGTTTAATTTAGGAATGTTTTGGTGTTCGCCTAACAAATCTTATTGTCTCAGGCTTGTATCTAATATTTGTGAATATTTAGATGGGCACTTGTGACAGCTTTTTTCAGAATGTAAGTAGGGAAATATAGTAGTGTGAGCAACTCTGGTTCAATAACATATCATATTACTGAATACATTAATACGTTGTATTAATAGAATTTAACTCTGTGTGCTCTCTAAAGAACTCGCTGTTAAACCAAAAACAGTTTCATTTGAGCCAAATTACTGAAAACTGTAAGAAATATTCAAGGTAACAATGTTCAGATTATTCGGGCACAATTTAGCCACAAATTTCATAGCTGGCAACTTAAATTTTAATATTTCAAGAGGACTTCATCAGTAAAAATAAGATTGGAAACCATCTGTTCTGTCAAATGCTGGATTAATGCTATAGGAATGAACTCTGTGCATCCACGGTAACTTCCTTTTTTGTTTGCAGCAAAGCATAGGTTCTTGTTATATCAAAGGTTGTAAGATATCAAAGATATCTGGTTTTCAAACAGTATTTTGAAGCTGATTTGTAATCCTGGTTTGGAGGAACAAAGACAAGCCGTTGTTTTTCTTGGTTAGCTATAACAGCAAATATAGCTCTTCATGCATTCTCTAGTCATGCTGCTAAAACAAGTGAGTAGGACAGTACAGTTGTTCTGTGTTGATATAGGACATTGCCCCAGACTAAGAAAGCAAATATTGCTGTGTTCAATGTTTCCTGTATTGATTTGGTTATAGTGTTCCATAAAAATTTGTTGATTCAGGGTTTGCCATTGACATCGGATATCAAGGACATTGACAGTTTGATGAGACTTTCAGGAAGAATTGAATGTGAAAGTCCTAACAGACATCTTTATGACTTTGTGGGAAATATCAGATTAGATGAGCATGGGTATGTAACCATCTAAGTATCTTTTCATCATGCCATTAAAAACCTGTAGAGGATATAAATGATATAAGTATAAATGTATAAATGATATGAGAATATAAATGATATAAGAATATAAATTATATACCGCCCCCATCATTCAGCCCAGCCACTGAGATCCAGCGCCGAGGGCCTTCTGGCGGTTCCCTCATTGCGAGAAGTGAGATTACAGGGAACCAGGCAGAGGGCCTTCTTGATAGTGGTGCCCGCCCTGTGGAACACCCTCCCATCAGGTGTCAAGGAAATAAGCAGCTATCCTATTTTTAAAAGACATCTGAAGGCAGCCCTGTTTAGGGAAGTTTTTAATATTTAATGCTGTATTGTTTTTAACACTCGATTAGGAGCTGCCCGGAGTGGCTGGGGAAACTCAGCCAGATGGGCGGGGGTATAAATAATAAATTATTATTATTATTATTAGTGATTTTTTTTACAGATAATAAGCAAACATCAAGTGTTAAGTTATATATACTTTATGAATACATAGAAGAGGTATGAGTCTTCACAAGGCTTTGTGCTTTCATGGAGAACAAGCTGCTTACCATATGCAGCTGAATTGCAAACCCTTTGAAGTAAATTAAATATTCTGGTTCCCCTTTATAAACTTTAGCCAAAGGATCTCTCTTAAATCATTTAGGCTCCACCTTCAGGGCTGGGAAAGCAGGGCTGAAAACATTACTTCTTGCTGGCTCTAAGCTACCCACCAGCCTTGCAGATTATCTTCCTACCTGAGACAGAGAGGGATGTTTTCTGCAGAACTCTGTGCTTTGTTTCAAACTTTAAAAAAAAAAAAAGTGATTCTAGGAGAGTCTGAGACACATTCTGAGAAACTGTATGCTAGGCAGATTCCTTTTCCAGCTTCTTTTCCTTGTCTCACCTGTGATGAGCATCTTCTTTTACCTTATCAGCTCTTTTCTATTTCACAGCATTTATATGCTGCTTGATCATAATAAAACCTCTAAACCATTTAGAAAAACTAGGATATGAAAGTTGCCGTGAGAGAGAATGTTGGATAAAATGGTCCAAGCTAGTACCTGTAGAGTACTCAATGCCTTTCCTTCTGATCTTTTTCTTGGCTAGCAGGCTGCCTTATGTTGATTAGAGTTATTTACTTAGCATCTTCCAGCAGTGCAGCAGATCTCTGCTTGGAGCGGTTTGCGTTGTGTAGGTTTTTTTGAGAACTTGAAGATGGTTTTACCTTGCAGTGGAAGTTAGACTGCAACTTTGTGCTCCTAAGAGTTTAGTGTGGCTATGAAGCTGCTTGTGCCTCGTGTGTGTTTGTTTGTGTGTGTGTGTGTCATCCGCATAATGTTCTCTTCATCCAACTAGCAGCCCACACTTCCCCACCCCATTAAATATAGATTGTTCAAATCAAGATGATCCAATAATAGAAGTAAACCCAGTATAAAATTGCATGTTACTTAGATGTGGATTCCTTGAAGTGTATTGTCTTTTTCTTTTTACACTTTTCATCTAAGCGTTCTCCAGCGTAGAATGCTTTTTCAAACCTATGGAGAGGGAACATATAATTTCTTTCTAACTCCTTATTTTTCCATTACTATATTGTGATGTCTCAGGTTGATAATGTCAGAAATTGAAATAAAATAGACATTAGTTGGTATTTCCCCAAGTGGGTATTTTACTTAAAACTCAACCTAAGTCAATGTTTATTTTATTATTTTTAGCACTGTTCCACTAGGTCCTGATCAAATTCTTCTGCGCGGAGCTCAGCTAAGAAATACACAATGGGTTCATGGTATAGTTGTCTATACAGGGCACGATACAAAACTCATGCAGGTTTGTCTTATAATTATGAATAATATTTATTTTTGGTTTGGATATTCTAATTCATGGGTACTACCTGTACCAATTTCAAACTGTACATTTATGAGAAAGCTAAACACAAGTAGCAAGGACCATGGTCCTGTAGCATAGGGTTATACCTAAAATGTAATTACTGCCTATAGTGCAGTGCTGTTGAAGCTCAGTAAACTAAAGACCAATCCATCACAAATCACAGGAGTTGTATATGTAGAACTGTGGTACAAGCTAATGTTGTAGACTTTATAGTGTTGGTCACCAATCCTATTTGGCAAATACACCGTATTTTTCTGTGTATAAGACTAGGTTTTTTTCCTTTAAAAATAATGTCCAAAATTTGGGTGCGTCTTATACACGGATAGATCTCCTCCCCCCATTTTCTTAAATTGGAGTCCCCCAAAATAGGGGGCATCTTATACATGGGGGCGTCTCATAGATGGAAAGATACGGTAATTGCATTAATTAAAACATGTGAAAGGAGTTCTTGATTTGCTAGTTATAAATTAATGGTTAAATGTACTTCATGTGTGTCATAGCAAAAAAAGGCTTTTCTGTTCTTGTATGCCTTCATTAGAAAGTACTGTATAGGGCCTAGGCAAAATGTTGTTTCATGGTGTAAAAACTGGTAATCACACTTATGGGATGGGCAACACATATGATTGTCTTTGATTTCCAATACTATCTAGTGGGGGGGAAATCACATGCATATGTCTTCTCTTATTTATGAACTCTTTTTATTCCATCCACAGAACTCAACAAGCCCTCCTCTTAAACTATCCAATGTTGAAAGAATTACAAATATTCAAATTCTGTTTCTGTTCTGCATTCTCATTGCAATGTCTTTGGTTTGTTCCATTGGTTCAGCTATATGGAATAAAAAACATGAGGAGCGGGACTGGTATATCAATTTAAACTGTGAGTACAGTGATAGTTAAATTAGCTTGTGTTCATAAAATAAGATAAATGTGTTATATCGTTAAGGTACAGTTTTGTTCATATAGAATAAGGGTTTTTACATCAAAATGTGTATATAAAATATACTTGCACTCACTGCTAGAAATTAACAAGAGAAAAGTTTTGTTCAGGACCAAATTATGATACGGGAAATGTCTGATTACATTTCATGTATCTGTTTTCTTTGGGATTAAAAAGCAGCAGGCATGGAGGAGAAGCTTTATTCCTTTACACTCATGCCATGGTCCTTGTGAAAGGTGTGTCCCCAAGCTATTTGCTGTTGGAGGGAAGACTCAGAGAATACTTCCAGGTGCAACCTTGTTTGTCACACTAACCTTAGGGAATATTGCTGGGCAGCCATGTGGGTGTCTGAGGCAATTTGTCTCTTCCCCTTTACCCCTGAGCTGATTTCCTCCCAGAGAATATAACAGGGATGATTTTGTTGGGACTATAGATACCACAGGTTGAACTTGGTTTATCGTTTTTTTCTTTTCAAACCTTAAACTTTCAAAATGCCACCTGAGAAATGAACTTTTGGCATTACTGCTGTTAATTTCCTAAACTATAAACATATTCTTATTATCTTTCTTTCTTTCTTTTTAAACAGATGGTGGCGCTAATAATTTTGGACTGAATTTCCTGACCTTTATCATTCTTTTCAACAATCTCATTCCAATTAGCCTGTTAGTTACACTAGAAGTGGTTAAATTTATTCAAGCATATTTCATAAACTGGGTAAATACAAGCAATTTTTGTGCTATTTGCAGAGCTTTGATAAGTGCTTTCAATAATAAATGTTATATATGCCTTCCCTTTGCTATGAAAGGGAGGCTTTATTAAAGTAATGCAAACTTAATTACAAGATTAAATGTTTTTTATAAAATTTAAAGTTTGCAACATCATGCACCTTTTCATATATAATTTCATAGGCTTTAAATTTTATGGATTGTTGAAATGCCTTTCAACCCAGCATTGTGAATCAGTTTTCTGAGTTTGCAGCCTAAAGGAACTTGCATAGTCCTAGTACCACCTGATACACCATACTAATACGGAATCTGAGGCCAGATTGTGCATTTTGTGCAAAGGAAGCACATGCTGCCCCAGGGTCCACCTGTGAGATTTTATTTTGCCCATAGAAACTTCAGAAACAAGTGCAATAGTAATGGCATTCAGATAACTCCTCCACACATATACTGAACGTGTGGAAGGAAAATTGTGCCCTCCCCCTGCCCTCAACTTGTCCCTGGCCCCAACATTTGTTCATTGAGTGGTATCTTGGTAAGAGCTATATGCCAGCATTCAACTAAACCCACAAAGTTTGGTGGCCTACCTGGGAACATGATGATGTCAGGGGCAGATGATGTCAGGGGCGGGGCCAGCAGGGGCAGTTCCACTTCCTCCTTCGTTTGCTATATGCAGTGTGGGAGATGAACAGCCCTTACATGCTGAGCGCAGCTGATAAGTGAATAACACTATGCAGTATACTGCATCTACAATAAGATTTAGATCCAAATAAAGCTACTTTCACATGCCCAAGGGTGTTTGGATTTGCCTTTCTAAACAGAATGGAGTTTCAAAGCAGTTTTTAATTGAGCAAGACTGTATGTCACTTGAAGGGGGGAAATTAACAAGGGATCCAGAGAGCTAACTTTGACACTCGGGGACTCTTTTCTTGCATCTTGAAACCGTTGGTTCGAGTCCTACCCTCCAGGGCAGGAGAAAACAAGCATGCTCCCTCCTCCATGTGACAGCCCTTAAGATATTTGAAGGTGGTTATCATATCACCTCTCATTCTCCTCTTTTCTGGGCTAAACATACCCAGCTCCATGTTAAGCTTGTGGTCCACCAAGACCCATAGATCCTTTTCACATGTATTACTGGCAAATCAGGGGGCCCCCACCCTATATTTGTGCATCTGGTTCTTCCTGCCTAAGTGCAGAACCTTACATTTGTGCCTATTGAATTCATTTTGTTAGCTTGCACCCAGTTCTCCAATCCGTTAAGTCATTTTGAATTCTGATTCTGTCTTCTGTGGCATTAACTACTCCTCCCAGTTTGGTGTCATCTGCAAATTTGATGAGCATGCCTTCAATTCCTTCATCCAAGTCATTTATAAAGACATTAAACAACAACGGGCCCAGGACAAAACCCTGCGGCACCCGACTTGTCACCTTTTTCCAGGATTACAAGGAACCATTGATGAGTACTCTTTGGGTTGGTCAGTCAACCGGCTACAAATCCACCTAATAGTTATCTCATTCATCCCACATTTTACCAGCTTCCTCGCAAGAATATCATGGGGGACTTTGTCAAAAGCCTTACTGAACAATATACACTATGTCCACAGCATTTTTCTGATCCACCAAGTTTGTAATTCCATCAAAAAAAGAAATCAGATTGGTCTGGCATGACTTATTTTTGAGAAACCCATGCTGGTTCTTAGTAATCAAAGCATACTTTTCTAAATGCTTACAGACCAACTGTTGAATTATATGTTCTAGGATCTTCCCTGGTTTCGACGTCAAGCTCACTAGTCAGTAGTTACCTGGGTCTTCCTTTTCCCCCTTTTTGAAGATGGGGACATTTGCCCTCCTCCAGTCTGTCGGGACCTCACCTGTCCTCCAAGAATTCTTAAAGATAATAGAGAAAGGCTCTGAAATTGCATCCTCAAGCTCCTTTAGTACCCTTGGATGCAGCTCATCAGGCCCTGGAGATTTGAATTCATTTAAAGTGTTCCCTTACTACCTCTTTTCCTATCTTGGGCTGCAGCTCCCTCCTTACATCATTCTGTTATCAGGGTGGACATCGCTTTCCTTTTGGGTGACGACAGAGACAAAGTAGGTGTTGAGTAGTTCCGCCTTTTCTTGGTCACCCAATAGCATTTCTCCATGTTCCCCATGCAGAGGACCTACCACTTGCTTGTTCTTTCTCTTACTTCGGACATAGCTGAAGAAACTTTCATTATTATTATTAACCTCTCTTGCAAGCCTGAGCTCATTCTGAGCTTTAGCCAGCCTGACTTTCCCCCTGCAACTGTTGGCTACTCTATTTCTTATGCATGTCCAGTAGATTATTTTTTTGCTAAGTGAGATCAGCATACATACGGAATTCTGGATAACTGTATCTACATGAAATACGTCACACTGACAACAAGAAACATTATTTTCATGTAACAACATGAAATGGTGGGTTATCAGCTTTTTAAATGTTGCCTTTTCCTTTTGATAGGATATTGACATGCACTATGAACCTACAGACACTTCTGCCATGGCTCGCACATCCAATCTCAATGAAGAACTTGGGCAGGTATGTTGTCCCTCCTAACACTTAATGGTTTTGAAATTCATGGAAATTGGTTATTAAAAGTTTCCATGAAAAATTAATAGGTTCCTAGATTTCAATATTTTTCCTTAGAAATTTTTTGCTATATTTTGCTTCGAAACACCCTGAAACATTCCTCTGGTTTCTTACATCGCCTATATTTATTAATAATAATAATGATTACCCACCTTTCACTCTTAAAGTCCCAGGGCAGGTTACAACCATTAAAACACAACGTTAAAAAAAGTTTAAAACTACTTACGATTACAAACATAAGGTGGGTCCTAAAAATAAACATATCACATGGCAAAAACCAGGGTAAAGAGCTGTGTCTCCCCACCACCACCCCAATGTTGGTAAAGCAGTACCAATATTTGCCCTAGTCCTAAAGATTAGAGACACTTCATCTGAAGGTGTGGCCCAAAAGAGACACTTCACCCCATCCCTGTCCTGATTAGATGTCTCTATGCCCTCCTAAGAGAATGGAGAACTCTCTTGATAGAGGGTAGGGCTTTTTCAACAGTTATGTCAATAGATATTTAGTGAAGTGCAAATTCCACACGAAAACCCAGCAATCTGTTGTGGCATGGCTGAGAAGGGGAGACGTCCTGTTTATCAGCTGCATGCAGGCCTTTCTTCACATCTCATGAAGAGACATCACCAATGAGCAAGACAAAAAATAAACATTCGGTCTCCCATTTTTTTGTGAGAAGGGCAGGCAAGGGCTACATAATCCCAAACAGTAAGAAGCCTCGCTCTCTGCTATAAAAGGGCTTAGAATTGCAGCAATCCAGTGGTATCCACTAGAGGGCATGAAAGAACAAGAAAAACAAAACAAGCTCTTTTTAGCTGGGAAAAAAGGATTGGGAGCTACTTCACTCCTAGACTAGGATGCAGAGGACTCTATCCCAGGGATCAGCAAACTTTTTCAGCAGGAGGCCGGTCCACTGTCCCTCAGACCTTGTGGGGGAGCCGGACTATTTTTTTTGGGGGGGGGTGAATGAATTCCTATGCCCCACAAATAACCCAGAGATGCATTTTAAATAAAAGGACACATTCTACTCATGTAAAAACACACTGATTCCCAGACCGTCCGTGGGCCAGATTGAGAAGGTGATTGGCCCCCGGGCCTTAGTTTGCCTACCCATGCTCTATCCCTTCTGAATCTTCCTACATGCAGTTTAAATATGGTGATTAAAGCTCTGGAAAGACCTCCGTCTGAGCATGGGGGGCGGGGCGTGTCACTTGTTTAAAAACATTAACTCTTGTCTTTATGGTAGAACAGAGCTGGATTAAAAGGAGAGTTGTGTGTTTTCTATCACATATGATTGGAAATCCATTGGGTAGTCTGAGCTTTTAGGCATGTAGGCTGCTGCAGAAAGTTACATCCATACTGAACAACTGGTAGCACTGGAGGTGAAACAGGAGTTCTGAGGGGACGCAGTGATTAGAGGAACAAATGACAAACATTCCATCCAAACCAGCCAGTAATACTTCTTTTTGCTAAGGTTGTTTAGCATTTTCAACATTTATTATTTATACAGCATGTTAAAACATGAAGAGTTTTTAACAGTTGAGACATTAATAATAGGAATGTAGGCTTAATGAGAAGTCTTAATCAGCCTTATCATTTGTTTAGGTCAAATACATATTTTCTGACAAAACTGGCACCCTGACATGCAACGTAATGCAGTTTAAGAAGTGTACTATTGCAGGAATCGCTTATGGGTAAGTTTTTCCATAAATATAGTTGCATTTGTACTCTTTGCTGCTTTAGTGAAAATAGTTTTTATTATTTGGGGTTTCAATCAAGTCAGAATTTAAAACATCAATTCAAATTGGAATATATCTTTAGCAGTTAAAAGCAAAATGCAATTAAAAAGGCCAGAAACCTATGAATTACTATGATTTCAGCAATATTTTACTGGTTCTTAAGCAATTTAATAATACCTTCACTTTATAGCACTTGAACAGACATCTGGATGTTTCATATATACCTATTATACCTATGCAGAAATTATAATTGAGACTTTGAGCAGTTGGATTAAGACACCTCATAGTAACCATAAGACTAATAAGTGTCTTTAGAAGTCCTAGTTCAGAAAAGTAAAATAAAAAGGGTCTTTTGATTTTAAAATATTTCCTATTTAACTGCTAAAATGAATTGTTGTTGCATAATTGAGGACTGTGTAAGTCCTTGATGCTTCTTGTGAAAGTACCTTTAGGCTTTTCAAGCAAAGTGGAATATTTTCAATTTAGGAAACCTGGCCATTGAGATCTGCAGTGAAATGTTGCAATGTTGAATGCTCTTATTTCGGGTTCAAGCCAGCCCACAAGCGATGCTCTCTTCCAATATATTTTCTTCCATTTCTTCTCATCGGCCCCTTGTCTTCTATTTATTCTGCTCTCTCCCCTCATCCGTGTCTCCTGAACATGATCCTTCCTCATTGAACTATTTCATGTGTTTGTGTCCCTCAGGAGTTTCTTTTCTTCCCTAAATATTTCTTTGTTGTTGTTGTTTTCCAAACCATTTTGGTTACATAAGGATACAAATTTGGAGAGTTAGATGGCATAGGACAAGCCACTCCATCTCCAATGACTGCTATAGCTGGAATACACAGATATTTCTGTCTTGATGAGTTGAGTACAGTGGTACCTTGGTTCTCAAACGTAATCCATTCTGGAAGTCTGTTTCAAAACCAAAGCATTCCAAAACCAAGGTGCACTTTCCCATAAAAAGTAATGCAAAACAGATTAATCCATTGCAGACTTTAGAAATAACCCCTAAAACAGCAATTTAACATCAGTTTTACTATCTTACGAGACCATTAATCCATAAAATGAAAGCAATAAACAATGTACTGTACTATAAAATAAATAAAACAGTATTGTAGATAAAAATTAAAATTAAAACTTTTACTTACCTGCACTGATGATAGTCATTGTTTGGATGGGGGGCTTTTATCCATTTCTGAAGTCACGCAATCAATCTATCAATCAGTGGCTGCACTGGGTTCCATACAGTCACAAAAACAAATTAACTGAAAAAGCCTCAAAACAAAAAACGCAAAATAAATAGCAAAAACAAAAGCACCAAATATAAGCTCCAAAATATCACCTCCGAACACTTCAATCAGAAACAGAAGGCTTGAATTACAATGGGGGGATGCAAATTAGCAGTGCAAGAGGAAACACGGGGACGCAAAGCAGAGCACATTCAGCTTCCGAAAAACGTTTGAAAACCGGAACACCTGCTTCCTGTTTTGCAGCCTTCAGGTTCCAAGTTGTTCATGAACTAAGCTGTTGGAAAACCAAGGTACCACTGTATATAATTGCAATTGATTACTGAATAACTGAGTGAAATGAAAAACACTATTGGAGCTAAGTTATTTCAATTAGCTGTATATTTTGGTTAAGCAAATGCTTTTAGGCCTGCGGGGGAAAGGGTGGACAGGTTGATTGAAAGAATCCTCTCATCCTCCACACTCCCTACAGCAGGGGTTGGGAATCATTTCCAGTTGAAGGACCACTTTTTCTTCTGGACAGCCATCCGAGGGCCACATGCCAGCAGTGGGCAGGCTCAGGGGCAACACTGAGTGGAATAGTCAATGTAAATTTATTTACGGTTTTATGCATAGGCTTATTTCTACACATGCACAAATCTCTGTCCTCCATGCCAGCAAGCAAGAGGCATTATCAGAGTTCCAGGATACATTTCAACCCAGAAAAGACATTCAGAATATGAAGTTTGGCCAGTGAGGGGTACAGCCTGGAAATTCTGAGGGCCACATAGAGAAGCCTGGAGGGTCCTCATTTGGCCTGCAGGCCTGCATATCCCCACCCTGCCCTACAGCATCTTCACACCTTAAGACATCATACCTTACCTGGCATATTAAACTTTGTTCACGGAACTAACTAGCTCTCAGCAGACTTCCACAGTGTGTTTCATATCACAATCCTTTTTGTTTTCTGTGTTCATTTTATTTTCAATTCCTTTTCATTAAATTCTCCTTTATGTGCCACCTGAACTTGACGCCTTTCAGAGCTATTTCCTATTTCTTTACCTCCTTTCTTTCCACACAGCCATTCTCCTGAATCAGAGGATTATGGCTATGCTACAGACGAGTGGTAAGCACTAACCTTCTTCTAGCGTTGGTTGTTTTTGCTTGGGCGAATGCAGACAGTCAGTATTTTGTGAGTAGGATTCAAGTGCAGAGCAGGAAAATGAAATCTGCATGTTTAAAACACTCTGTGGCCCTGGCACAATAAATCTTCTTTAAGAAAGAAACAGACTTTTTGTGGTTAGGAAAGTGACAGGGAAATGAAATGAAAAGTGTAGAATGAAGGAATGATTGATCATGAGATAGATAGATAGATAGATAGATAGATAGATAGATAGACAGACACACACCCACACACCCCCCACAAGCACTGCAGGATGAATGCTCATTGTCATTTAACCTCTTGACAAAAATAAATAAATCAGAATAAACGCTCAATAAAGACTGGATGTAATAACCTCCAATCCTAACCTTCACATAAGTTTTGTAGAAGCAAATCAATAAATGGGTTACCTGGAGGGTGAATATGAATGTGTATCTTTATTATTAACTATAGAACAACTTTTTAAATTAAATAATAATACTTTAATAATAATAATTTATTATTTATACCCCACCCATCAGGCTGGACTCCCCCAGCCACATAGAGAAATTGATAGTGTACATAAGTGGCACAGCTCCTGACTCTGAAGGAGAGTACCTCTAAATGCAATGTCAAAGTTTGAATACCACAGGTAGCCACAGGTATCTCCCTGTTGAGGATATAGGCATTGGAAGCTTTACTGGTCATGCAGGTATTGGTTACACAGTAAAATGTGTATTTTTCTCTAAACCTGTTAAATTTCTAAACACATAAATACCCTGAGCTTAGAGTTCCCTTGTTAGCAAAACATTCATAAATGCCAGAGTCCAACAAAGTGAAATTCTTGCCTGATAGAAAACCTGGTAATAGCAGAAGTTGCTTTGCAACTTACACATGCAAGTCATGATTTGATGTTGTAGTTGTCATGTTATTAATATGCATGGGTAAACTAGCAAAGTTGTAATTTGTTTATTATGTGTATTTGTATATCAAGATCCTATCTGGAACCCGCATATGGGCATTTCTTTTGTTGAAGTTAGCTGAACTACGCAAACAATCACTCAAACGAAGAGTAATTAAAATTTCAGGATTCCTTAATAAATACAGATTGCATTCCCATATTAGTTAATACTATATTAGTTAATACTAACACAGTGTAATCAAGCCCTGTGTCTGCTCTATAGCGTGTGGTCCTAGGATGTGTATTATTAAGAGATAAATTAAATGTTTGTATGCTTTCATTTTTCTTTTATTTCTTTTAGGCAGAGCTCACAACCTGGAGATGAAAAAATGTTTAGCGATTCATCATTACTGGAAAACCTCCAAAACAAACATGTAAGATATAGAAATAAATACTACGTTTATATGAAGAAAAAACGGAAATTCAGCAAAGCAAAAGGAGCCTATCATAAACAGGAAACTTAATTCGTATTCCAGTCATCTGCACATGTACTTTCAATAAAGCCACATCGATTTAAATAAGATTTACTTTCATAAGGGTCTAACTAAAAGTTCCAAGTAAATGTGTGTAAAACGCTGGTGGCCACTTTTGTAAGAGGAGGATGTGGTTTGGAGCAAAGAACCAGTGACCAGAGAGGTAGCCTTTTCTACTACAAAACCCTATTCCCTTCACGACTTTAGGTGCCCATCTACCCATACAATCTGGATTAGGCTCCAATGCCTGCCTGTTATTTTCATGGAGGAAAGTTCTCCTTCCCTTCACTCCAGCAGGATATTTTCCCCCACCCAGATGAGCGCCGCAACCCCAAAGTCGGTCACGACTAGACCTAATTGTCAGGGGTCCCTTTACCTTTACCTTTACACACACACATGTAGCAGGTTCAGGGGCTCCATTACACTGGCTCTTTGTGAAAAAGTGTCTTGAAGTTAAAGACAAAACACGTCACCAACACAAAATGTATTTTGACCCTTCTGTTTCATTACCTTGATCCTTTCTCTCCTGCTGTCCACTTTTATTTAACTCCTTGCACATCCAGACATCTTCCCTTGCAAATATTTAAATGGTGTTTTAAAGTATCTCTTTTCTCAATTTCTTTAACCCTGAACTTCCCTTATCTTTTTTCCTTTCCTTTCGTTTGTGTCCCTTTCCTGTTCCTTGTCTTTCTTAGATTTAAGCCTGCTTAGGGGTTTATTATGTTAAATTCAATTTATGTTCACATTCAATCTATTATAATTATTCCAGTAGGAATCCTTTAACTGGTGCATCTTGGGAGCACTAGTCCCCTGTATTAGCTTGCTTGACTCTCTGTTTTTCTTGAATAGCAGAAATACATGCCCTGAGAATATACTGTTTAAGACAATATACTGTTTAAGACAAGTCTGTGTCCCACTAATACCTTCCCATGTCTCCTTGTAGTTGACTGAAAATAAAACAAGTCTTGAGTCTGATAAAAAAATAATATACTCTCCACAGCTACAGTTTGAACTATTCTTATATGCTTATAGCTTTAAATTTTGAAATGAGGCATAATTAATTTGTATTGTTTTATGTGTGTCTGTTTTAGCCAACTGCACCTATAATTTGTGAGTTTCTAACTATGATGGCAGTGTGTCATACAGCAGTTCCAGAAAGAGAGGATGATAAGATCATTTATCAAGCAGCATCTCCAGGTAAGGTCATTGAAACCTGTGAAGAACGTTATACCCTTGTTGAGCGGATTGACTAAGTTGATCCCCCCAAAAAAAGTTTTTTTTAAAAGTGACATAAAGTCAGCATATTATTAATGAGCAGGTTACACTCCTCTATTGATCATAATGCATCTCTGTTGTAAACACATAAGATCATAGTGGCGACTCACCTGGTAAATCACTAGACTAAAGGATTTTCTTAGGTACTTATTACCAGTGCTTTTCTTCTAGGAAAAGATGCCAGTTCTGCTTACCCTTGAATACCCCCAGAAAATTACAACTTGCTTGTGTCAAGTTAGCACAACTGCAAGCAGAAGCATAGTGTAAGGGGGGCTATCGCCCTGAGCACAAAAAAATAGTTTTTGTGCTGCCCTGCCTGTAGGCGCTGCCCGCCTGCCTCACCTGAGCAGCCCGCCATGCAGTAGCTGGGAGAGGACGGGTCCTTGCATCTCTCAGCCGTACGGCATCCCCCGCCAACAGGGGAAGCGAGCAGACAGCACAACCAGCGGCAGTGGTGGCACCCCAGCCTGAGGTGGCACACACAAATGTCACACCACTTCTCCACAGCTCCAACAGCAAGTTTGCAAAACATGTGTTAACAGCCTTTCACCCTATGTATGCTCTGTTCTTGTGGGGGATGTGGAAGCACGGTTAAAAGTATGGATCACTTCCTAAGCAGTGCTTCATGTGCAGGAAACACCCTTACTTGCTGGAACAGCCTTTGATTTAAAAGCCATTGACTCACTTTCAGTTTAGAACTGAAATATCCTAGTTTAGAGATGACAGATAAGGAATTTCTTTCACATACAGAAGACAAAGGGGAAACTGAGTAACAGAGGTAGGAAGAGGCTGAAAGGCTTTACCAGGAACATTAATCACACGCATTAAAGAGTAAATACACCAGGAAACTTTAAATGTGTCATTTTTCTTCCCAATATTTAAGACATGAACTGCAGAGTATATAAAAATTGAGATGTCAGTGTTTTCACTTTTATCAATTTGCTAGTCAAATAACAGGGAATGGTTTGTTACAGATGAAGGAGCATTGGTTAGAGCAGCCAAGCACCTCCATTTTGTTTTCACTGGAAGAACACCAGACTCTGTGATTATAGAATCTGTAAGTACATCTAAAATAGTAAAGATTTAACTGTTGTTGCTAATAGTTTTATTAGTAGAGAAAAAACTTTTGGAAAACATTTTTAAAAGACTGAATTAATCATGATTTCATTTTTTCCCCCTAGCTTGGACAGGAAGAAAGATATGAAATGCTAAATGTGCTAGAATTTACAAGGTAATTAAACACCTGTGATTTATTTCTTGTTTAGTATTTAAGAAACAGTTTTTTCTTAGGTAAAGGAAGTCTCTTTTTGAAAAGGAAAAGTTTGAGAAAATGGACATTCAAAGCGTAATTTAATTCATGAGCCGTCCTATATTTGGGCTTTTAAGCACAACAAAATAAGCTAGAAAACTAGAGTAGGACATTGTGTGAGAGAGAAAGAGTGTAATATAGCGATAAAGTACAAAATAAGATTTTTAAAGAGACTGATGAAAGCACAAAGAAATTAAAAGAACAAAAACATGAAAATATGCAATTCATTGTCCACAGAAATAGTACAGCTGTAAAGTCCATCCTATTTATCATTTATTAATTATTAAATAACCCTTAACACCCCATACTGCTAATTTTCTCATTCCAACAACATAAATTTAAAACAGCATTATATTGAATCTTTTTAGTTACTCACCCTTCCCAGTGTTTCTTATAGTACATAATTTACAAATAAATTATAATTCTATTGTCATATACCATTTCCCCCAGGTCTTTTAATGTTGGGGGGGGAGGAGCTCTGCCCCTCATTTTTTAAAACAGAAAACCTATGTGTGAAAAGACCACTCTTATTTTATCAAAACTTACATTGTTTCATAGATGGAATATTTTGCAAACATTTGTAGGGCGGGGAGGGGGTAGGCCTTATATTTTAGAGGATATTTATTTTTTCTCTCCGGTAAACATTTTCTCATTTCAAGATATGTGGAATCAATGCTTATGCTCCATCTTATATATGTTTATTGTATAAGTCTATCACACCCTACTAAGTTGCTTAAAACCTGTTTGAAATGGAACATGCCTTTCATTCAGTTCTAGGAAAAGAATGTCTGTGATTGTCCGCACACCTACAGGAAAATTAAGACTTTACTGCAAAGGGGCTGTAAGTTGTTGGCGATGTTGTTGTTGTTTTCATTTTCCATTTCTTTGCACTATTTGCTATCAAGGATTGGCTGTGAAGCGTTATGTTAGACGTAGGCCCAATAGAGATTACCGCTTTATGGAGTGGAAAGACGTCCCCGCATTTACAGTGGTGGTTATTTGTATTATTAATACATGGCAGGTGACATTGAGTGGGGAAGATAATTCCTTTGAACTACAGATTCTCATAATACAGTTTTAGAGACTACATCCCAGCATCCCTGGTGCATTACAGCAACACTGAGATGGTGGTCCGTGGGGCCTACCTTTCAATCAGCGCTCTGAACTTGATTTCTCACTGAAATCGGAATCACAGAAAGTCAGTCCCATACTCCCATGCATGTAAGATGTTCTCAATTGGAATGAGCTTCCCCTCGTGGATGGAGGCAGGAACACTGAGAGAGGTTCTGAATCATTCATTCATTCCTGTCTTTGCATGAAGCAGATGCTGGGTACACTCTCAGTCTTGTCTTCTGTAGCTCAGGCCTGAATACAGTGGTACCTCAGGTTAAGTACTTAATTCGTTCCGGAGGTCTGTTCTTAACAGTGTAACAGTAACCTGAAACTGTTCTTAACCTGAAGCACCACTTTGGCTAATGGGGTCTCCTGCTGCTGCCGCGCCACCGGAGCACGATTTCTGTTCTCATCCTGAAGCAAAGTTCTTAACCCGAGGTACTATTTCTGGGTTAGCGGAGTCTGTAACCTGAAGCATATGTAACCTGAAGCGAATGTAACCCGAGGTACCACTGTAGTGTAGTGTGCGTAATTATGTTTTATTGTTTCAATTTTCTGTTATTTTGTGGCATTAGTCATTGTCTCTGTTTTCCTTTGGTCCTGTCTTGGTGACTGTGGTTTAAATGTTTCTCCTCCATGTTAGTTCCCTCACTCTTGGTCCTGATGTTATCTACCCTCAGCATCCTGCTACTGTATTTTTCTTATTCTAGTACATTCCCCATTTTGTAGAGCCTGTGTTTTTAAAGACTTTTTAAAAATAGTATATTGTTGCTTCCCTATTCCTTGATCTCTCCATCTGTCTGTCTACCTTGGCCCAAGCCCTTCTAAGTCTTCATCCTGTTTCCTAGTTTCCTATGTGCTCCGAGCTGTAGACTGCAGCAGCAGTGAGCAAACATAAACACCTAAAGCAGGACTGGGAAACTTTTGGCTTATTGGGCCACAACTCCCATCATCCCCAACCTTTGGCCGTGCTCTAGCTGGGGCTGATGGGAGTTGTAGTCCCACAATATATTGAGGACCAAAGGCTACCATAATGGGGATAGTGTATATTATCTGTGTTTTGCAGGATGCTCAGGTTATGTTTGTACGCTCAGGTTGAATTACACATGTGCTTTGCATGATCTGGTCCTTTCCCTTTTCTGGCATCTTAAGCTTTTTAGTTTGGTTTGGTTTGGTTCTTTTGCCTATCCTGCACTAAGTTACGGCTAGGATTTGCTTGTCTGTCAACCACCACTTTAAAAAGAAATGCATTATTGTGTACTGGTGAAATATCAGACCAGTTGGATAAGTCATCAAATATATGAGAAGAAAGGGTGATAAAGGGAAGGCAAATGGCATAAATGACAGCTAAATGGCAGGTTTAGGGTGTGTGTCAATTAGAGGCACTACTGTGGGTTAAAGAGTCCTGTAGACTGTACCTATTTAATAAGGAAGTATATAGCCTGGGACAATCCGCCAGTGACATAAGCACCAAACATTTGCAGTACAGATCCCATAAATCAGTTACATATCAAATGTGCAACTGACCCACATACTACAGTAAAGGCTGTGAATATTGGCTGTATATTGTGTGTATTGCACTGGTGCAAATACAACTGCTACAGAATTTGTTGAGTAACAGGAATCAAAAATCCGCTTTTCAGTCATAATCTTAAAAAACATTTGTGTGTGACTTTTTTCTGAAAAGCGTTATACGAATATTCTGCATAAATAAATAAATAAATAACAGTATGATGATTTACAGTTGGACTGTAGTTATTACAGAAATGCATTTCCTCTTTTAATTTTCCCCCCATTGCTTTGTAAAAGAAATCTTGCTTCAATTTGTTTTGTTCCATTATAGGACACAGTAATTTATGATCGCCTGGCTGAAAATTCAAGATACAAGGAAATTACCCTGAAACATTTAGAGCTGTTTGCTACAGAAGGTATTATTATTTGCATAATAGTTGGTTATGTATAAAACCATTAATGTAATAACAATACTATGATTTTGTAACAATTGGTGGTTATTGTAAAAGAGCCCTCACTTTCTTCATTGAAGTTCATGCAATGTAATGTAGTGGTTCTTCCTTTTTCATTGTGACTGAGAGATGCCTTTACGCATGTACATAGCTTGATTCCTCTTCCGTTAATTTCTCTGCTTTTGATTACATTAGTTTGGTAGATGAATGTGTGAAATGATCTCATTGAGAAGCATAGTGTTTGAGATAATGTGAGGGAATGTGAAAGGTGTGTCTGTGGGTATTATGCTCCTGTTGGTCCATTCACACATGGAAGTAGCAATACGATGCAACAGTTATCAAAGGAAAAAGAGCTTGTGCGAACAAATACAAAATTTTAGTTCATCTTGAAATTTAAGATTTTGATTGGTTCAAAAACATCTGATACATTTAGCAATTACCTATACCCCAAACCAGGAGCACTTCTCTTATAAAGGAGGTGGTGATTTTTCATGGAAGAGTAGCAGATTGGTGGCAAATGTTTGCAATTATGTTGTCAGATGCTCACATACAAGCTGGCTGTCCTCTGAGAGGAATACTATCTTTGTAATGGAGTGGTCACATTCTTTTGGATTCATTATAACTAATTATCCAGATGCAATATCATTTCTCATTTCCATATGTTGGTGTATTAATCAAATTAGCACAATACTTTTGTGTTTATTTTGTATGATTTACTTTTATGTCTTTATTCTGCTTTCCTAAATATTTATTTTTGTTTTAGGAAGAATAGTTTGTGCTTTGGTGTTCTGAACATCTTTCCTTGACTTGAGTTGTAATACTGTATAGGAGGAGGGGTGGGGTGATTTGAAAGTTATGGTAGTTGCCCTTGTTTCTAGTGTACCTGAATACCTGTGAACATTTGGATTGAAACACTAACGTGAAGCTACTATATACTGGAAGAATCTGGAGTTATGATGTGCTGTTTTTTAGAAGAAGCAGGGGGTGCATCATATGAGGTGTAGATGTTGCTTCTGTCTGGATATTAGTGTAAGATAAAAATGGTTCTGTGGCTTCTGTGGCTATTTTATATATTCAGGAAGCATTTTTTGTTTCCAGATTCTAAACTCTACTACAAACTCAGATGACAAAGGATATTTGTGATGCGAGGTACCATATGAAACCAATACTGTAAAATGATAAAGAAATGAATAATTATTGAACCTTGTATGACCATTTTATTTCCTTAGGCTTGAGAACACTTTGTTTTGCTGTTGCTGAGATTTCAGAAAACGACTACCGAGAGTGGCTAAACATCTATCAAAGAGCTGCAACTGCTGTACAAAATAGAGCACTGAAACTTGAAGAGAGTTATGAGCTAATTGAAAAAGTAGGTGTTGTGTGTTGCCTGAATATGTTACTTGTATCTGGCATATCTTGCATCTTTTGAAGCTAATGCTGATCATATTTAGAATTTTATTGCATCTCAGTTTGCTCAAACAATTTAAAAAGAAGCCCAGTGCCCCTTTATACTGAGCTGAAAGGTGGTAAATTATGTGGAGGCATCCCTCAGTCCAGCTCTCTTGGTTGAGGCTGGTGAACAAATGATCAGGAGTTTGATCAGTGGGTTGCCCGTCATCGGTAGCCAGCATAAAGCCCCCAAATAGGGTGTTCCATGGGTGGGAAGGCAGCAGAACTGAGCCAGGCTGGATCCTGCGAATCAGACCTGATTTGGACATACTGTGCTAGCCTTGAGCTGGCGCAGAGATCAGTCCAGATCCAGCCTCTCCACCTTCTACTAAAGATGTGGGGAGGGGAGGGGAAGTGGTTTGAATTGTGCCATAAGTCTATTTTGGAAAACCCAAAATATGGCCAACACACTGATTTGAAACAAAGCCTTTTTAATTTAATTTGTTAAGCTTCATCAAATAAAGCTACTGGGCCTAGTCAGTTATATACAAGAAAGTCTTGAAAGAGAGCTGAAGCTTTTCCCTGCTAAGGCCATCCCTTCCCAAATGTCTTGCCCTTGTGCTCAAAAATAATATACTGATAAAATGCCTAATGCCCCATGGTTTTCCAGAGTAGCAGGAAAGAGAATGAACTGCCTCAAAATGAATGATCACTTCTAAAAAATGGTAAGGAGGCCAGAAAGATCCAGATGATTTCCTCCTGCTGCTATTGCTGTTCCCAGAAAGAATGACTGTAAGAACAAATCAAAATAGACATGAAGAGCAAAGAGTTGCAAATCATACATTAAGGCATTGAGCCCAATTCTAAGCAAACATTGAAAATAAGTGTCACTGAAATATTTCAAAGTAAATGCTTCTTTAGATTATGCTTATTTGGCTAGAGTCCCCGTTTCTGTATTTATTTATTTTTACATTCAAAACTGTATTTGTGGTTGTTGTTGTTTAAAAATCTCTCTGATATGCTCTTTTCAAAGAATCTTCAGCTACTTGGAGCTACAGCCATAGAAGATAAGTTACAAGACCAAGTGCCTGAAACAATAGAAACGCTAATGAAAGCAGATATTAAAATTTGGATCCTTACCGGAGATAAGCAAGAGACTGCTATTAACATTGGTAATGTGTAAGACTTCAGTCTTCATGCTACATTGTTCTTTTAAGTTTTTAATAATAGTAAAATAATAATAATGGAAAGAAATATGCATTTGTGTACTGGAAACAAGTGAGTGCTGCTCTTTCTGACCTAGACCTGCATTTACCCTAAGGTGCCCTGAGATGCAGGTGTCACTTATGAGAAAGCACTTCCTCTTGGCTACAGGCTAGGATGCAAAGATGAGAGACAGAGTGCCCTTGCCAGGCTAGAAGGCAACAGGATATTTCTGGCTTAAGAAAGAAAAAATAATGCCATTCACCGTGCTGCCTCTCCTCTCCCCCTTACACCCCCCACTGAGGTAGATGCATTGCTAAGGCACAAACTAAACCCCAAAGTGGCTTTTTCTCTTGCCACTTCACCATAAAGAGGAGCAAGCAAGACACTATTCACACTGCCCCTCCCTCTCTCCCCTGCCTGGGGAAGGCATGATCCAGAGAGCCTGACTACAAGTATCAAACCATCTTTTGCCCGTTGGTAGCGGCAGACATTCCTTCACAGGGTCCAGGTTCAGGATGCCTTTCTCCTCCTTCCCAGGGGAAGGAGTTGCTCTGCCCCCCAGTGTGACCCTCCCCATGGTCGAAGATACCGTATTTTTCGCTCCATAAGATGCACTTTTTCCCTCGTAAAAACTAAGGGGAAATGTCTGCGCGTCTTATGGAGCGAATGTGTGGTCCCTGGAGCTAAATTGCTGGAGTGTGGCACACTCCTGAGCTGCTCTTTGGGGCTGGCGGGGGAAACCCCAGGTGCCAGCAGAGCAGCCAGGGCTTCCCCCTCCAGCCCCTACAAGCTCTTGCTTAGCCGCATGCAGCCTCCCCAGCCCGGGAGAGGCTGCGCGTGGCTGTCCCATAAGCCAGGAGAGCTTGCTGTCCTGGCTTCTGGGATTCAGAATATTTGTTTTCTTGTTTTCCTCTTCCAAAAACTAGGTGCTTCTTATGGTCTGGTGCGTCTTATAGAGCGAAAAATACGGTAGTTGGGGTCCTTTCAGGTCCTCAGATGCCCTGTGTTTTCCTCTGCCTTTTTCATGAGTTTCATATCTGTCCTCTCCTCTTGTTGTTGTTGTTGGTTGTTATATTAGGTGGGTATGCACATTTGTGAGTTTTCAGAACCCATCCTTCACCTATTTCTCTCTCCTTGCTTGCCCACTCCATCTGGTGTGTCTGTTTAACTTCTTTTGTCACTGTTTCCCTCTCCCTTTTTGTGTCTGTGGGTTTGGGAGATCAGGTTGTTGGTCGCTTTATGGGGTAGGTTTGGTCAGTCGGGGTTTGCCCTGTGCCCTTTGGGGCCATAACTGTGATCAGACCAGAGGTATGCTCAGCTTACACTGTGATACTTGCAATATAGGGCAAGTCTGTATTAAGAGACACATTTTTCACAATTCCCGCACTCTCTGGAATACGGGATCACATTTGTGACAGGCATTGGAGAGGTGCATTCTCTGATTCTAGCTCAGAGAGGAGCATGGCTCTGTCAGTTTTGTGCCTTTTTTGGTCTGATGCACAGCATCTAGCTGTTCTCCTTATGGCCGCCCCTGCTGGCTCACCACATTACAGCATGACAGAAAGAGGGCGAGAGATTAGACTGTACTGTCTCCCTCACCCAGAGTCTCACAAACAGATGCTTTCCCCCTTCCCCTGCAGTGGGAACTCCCCATAGTCTTATCAAGGATGCACACATGAATATCATTGAAGATCCAATGGTGCAGGTGGCTGGCCCTGCTGGCAGGGATAGGTCAAAGGGCAGAAAATCCCATAAATCCAGGCATAAAAGTCAAACACCAACACTAAGTTCTCTTAATAAAATATTGTATTTCTTTCTAACAGGGCACTCATGTAAACTCTTGAGAAAGAACATGGGGCTACTAGTCATAAACGAAGGCTCTCTCGATGTAGGTATAATTGAAAAAAATGTGCTAATGCCTATGTGCTATCATTTACAATGCATGGGTCTCTGGAAAAACTTTAAACCGTCAGTATGTGTTTGGATCAAATTACTAAAAAAAATTCAGACAGGACTGATGGAAGTAAAAAAAATTTGAATAAGATGTAAAAGTATGTTTAATTATTGTTGAAAATGATACGTTAAAAAACTAATAAAAATTTATATATATATAAAAAACTAAAAATATACAACATGCAGGAAAGCATGTATGTGGCTGACACATATATCCCCTGATAGCATCTAATAAAAGAATTCAGCTTTTTCTTGCTGCTGCTCCAGTTCTTGTTCTTCTGCTTGGATGGGGCAGGATAACACTGAACACAATGATGGTGTGTCACGTGTTTATTTTACTAGGTTTTATCAGAGAGAGAAATATGGGTCGGTGACAGCGATGCATCCTTGTAAAGTCGAGCCAATCCCTGACTCGTCTCTCCTCACTTCAGATGCTTCCTAATTTGAGATTCAATGTAGCTGACTCTTTGTATGCCACCAGAGGGTGGTACTGAGTTACTGAAATTAAATGACATACAAAAAGAACAGTAAGACAGGGACAATATGTAAAAATAGCAAGTGATAAGTGATACAAATTGAAGTACTGATACAGTATATTGGCTAAGAGTAAGAGCTATGCATCCATTCAAATCTCACCTCCGTAATAAACTTTATAGGTGGCCTTAGGCAAGCTATTACTCTATTAGCTTCATCTCCTCAATCCCCATCTGCAATATAGGGATAATAATAATAGCCTACCTTACATGGATGTTGAAGATGTTTTAAGTGACATACTTTTGAATTGCAAAATGTTAATGTTGTACAATAATGTGAAAATGCAAAAAAGAAGAAGAAAGGCTAGGCATAGTTAATACTTGGAAATTCTGTGGATTTCCGTAACATTATTCTTCATAGTTGTAAGGTAAAGGTAAAGGGACCCCTGACCGTTAGGTCCAGTCGTGGCCGACTCTGGGGTTGCGGCGCTCATCTCGCTTTATTGGCCGAGGGAGCCGGCGTACAGCTTCCAGGTCATGTGGCCAGCATGACTAAGCCACTTCTGGCCAACCAGAGCAGTGCACGGAAACGCCGTTTATCTTCCCGCCGGAGCGGTACCTATTTATCTACTTGCACTTTGACGTGCTTTCAAACTGCTAGGTTGGCAGGAGCAGGGACCGAGCAACGGGAGCTCACCCCGTCACGGGGATTTGAACCACCGACCTTCTGATCGGCAAGTCCTAGGCTCTGTGGTTTAACCCACAGCGCCACCCAAGTCCCTTCTTAGTAGTAGGATGTGCTTAAAAATTGAATTCCTTGCTGTGGGTCCCATTATACTGAAATGGCATAATTTGATCAGTTCCTGAAAACGGAGAACACAAATGAACATTGAGAATCTGATTTTAAGATAGCTTGCACCCATACGGTTCATGGCTAAAATAGTAAATGCCATTTATCTGATGGGAATGAAAGAACTACAAATGTTATAAATCATGGAATTTACATTTCTGTAGGTCAGTGGTCACGAGGCTTTCTGGGTCAGTAGGCACTGGTAATAATACTCCTAGCTAATGAATCTGTAATAAAAGGCAACAGGTTACATCAATGTAATCCCACTGAACTTGATAGCAGTATACCTGTGTATGTGGTAAAAAAGTCATCCACTAAATATCATCCCAAGAGGGTCTCCTGGCTTTTACAGTGGGATTTTTATTTTCCCTGGCTATTTTGTGGCAATACTGATGTGGTCCTTATTCATCTTTGTTGTTTTAAAAGCTACTGATGTATTAGTTACATCAAGGCAGAATATAATAGTTTCATAGTTAACTGATAAATGTATATCAAAAGTATAAAACTGTTCAACAGAATTGAAGTGATTCATATTTTTGATGGTGATTTTTTTTATAGGCAACAAGAGAGACGTTAAGCAATCATTGCAGCACTCTTGGTGATGCTTTGAGGAAAGAAAATGATTTTGCTCTTATTATTGATGGCAAAACACTGAAGTATGCATTGACATTTGGTGTAAGGCAATATTTCCTCGATTTGGCTCTGTCGTGCAAAGCTGTTATTTGTTGCAGGTAAAACTTTTTCTTCTTGAAAACAAAGCATTCATACAATTTTGAAAGGTATAGCTCCTCAAAAAGTGTTATCTATTTTTAGAATAATTTAGGATATTAAGTAGTTTTTGGAGTGGGATTTTTTTAAAAAGTACAATGGGGGGGGGGGAAGGGCATAATTTTAACAGTCTGCTACAGTGCCATGTGTCCTTTTTTTCCAGGACATGACCTCTTTTGGGGGGTAAAATTTGGGACAAACTGCATTTATTTGCTTTTAATGGCCATTTTGCTCTTCAAAATATGGCAACCCTACACTTAAAAATATAGTTATATGAAACATTTGTTCTTTTGTATTGCATGTGATATGATCGACAGTCATAATTTCTTAGCAATACCATATTTCCTAAATTTCCTAAAGCCTGCCAACTAATTTGGAGAATGGCCTCAGTTCATGCTGGTGCCAGGCTACCATAATTTACTGTATTTGGTTTCTTTTGGCTTCTCACTTTTCCAATCAGTTTCCTCCATTTCTTTTTCAGTTTGTGAATTTTTTTTTAAAAAAAAAAACTACATGAAAAAACAATGGCTTCCAGTGTAATGTGAAATCATAGAAGTTGCATAAAAAGCATGCATTAGCAATTGTGATTTTCTTTGCTGCCGTACATTTAGAAAAATAAAATGGTAAAATGGAATTTCTCAAAACATTTCTTTTATAGAGTTTCACCTCTTCAGAAATCTGAAGTTGTAGAAATGGTCAAAAAGCAGGTAAAAGTGGTAACACTGGCAATTGGCGATGGAGCAAATGATGTTAGCATGATACAAACAGCACATGTTGGTGTTGGCATTAGTGGCAATGAAGGGCTACAAGCAGCTAATTCTTCAGATTATTCAATAGCTCAGGTAAATCCCTTGATAAATGAACTTTTAAAAGACAGTTGTTTCAAGTGATAGATGCTGTGTACCTAAACTTATTTCCATTATCATTTATAGTTCAAGTACTTGAAGAACTTACTATTGGTCCATGGTGCCTGGAATTATAGCAGAATTGCTAAATGCATCCTATACTGCTTCTACAAGAATATTGTCCTTTATATTATTGAGGTAATTATGGCATCCTATGCCAGAATATTTCTTTTCAAATTGGAGCAATCTGTGAACTTTTAAAAAAAACCATCTACGAAGTGTAGAATTATTCTGTGTGTATTTTTTGTGCATTTTACACGGGTTGCCAGCACTGTGTTTGCAGGCTCCAATTCGCTCACAAGTACTTCCTCTTGCCATACCTAGCCAACTGTGAATAGTTTCAGTAAATCTGCTCAAAAATCCACAGTGCATGAGGCTGCTTGCTCTTCCTGCTCTGCTCCTATTTGCACTGACTTAGCCTCTCCTACATGCCCCCATAGCAGCCATCTTATGTTATGCCATTTTATGACTGCTGCCCACTGCTCTTTCTCAAAATTCTACATGTACTGACTGGTCCATGAAGATTGGCAACCCATATATATATATATATATATATATATATATATATATATTCTATTTTGATATGTAAAACCCAGTTCAAAATAGAAATACTAATTACTGGTTGCCAATATGAAAGCAGCACACATTTTTACATATTTGTTTTATGGTTTATTGTGTCTAAGGCACATCATAATAACATAATTAAAATAATTAAAACGAATAAAAATAAATATATATACGCTGTGCTTCATCTTCTAAAGATGATGAGATACTTCAGCAGGAAATCAGTTAATTTTCATCTCCAGCAGGACGCATTTTTCACAAATGTGGGATCAATATGGGAATTGTGGTGCATAGGCACCGCATAGGCAAACTCGGGCCTCCAGATGTTTTGGGACTACAACTCCCATCATCCCTGACCGCTAGTCCTGTTAGCTGGGGATGATGGGAGGTGTAGTCCCAAAACATCTGGAGGCCCGAGTTTGCCTATGCCTGACCTACCTCATGTAAAAGGCCTGGCACTCAGTTGACATGTGCAGAGCCTTTAAAAAGAGCATAGTTAGAACCAAACCACACCGTCTCACTGAGACCTTGTTTGTCTCTTTCCATCCCACTACTCTGAGCAAGGTGTCGTCCACAGTCGTACCTTGGATCCCGAATGCCTTGTGAGTCGAACGTTTTGGCTCCCAACCGCCGCAAACCCAGAAGTGAGTGTTCGGTTTGCAAACGTTCTTTGGAACCCGAACGTCCGACAGGGCTTCCAATCGGAAGCCGCGCCTTGGTTTCTGAACGTTTTGGAAGTCGAACGGACTTCTGGAACTGATTCTGTTCGACTTCTGAGGTACCGCCGTGCATGGAAAACTTTAATAGGCCCTTGCCTATTTAAATCAAGTAATCCTTACATTTTGTTAATCCTTTAGCAATTTGAATTCCTACGTGTCTGTTCAGCATCCATGAGGATCAGAAATGTACTATTTTAAAAGTAAAATTAGAACCAGGTTCCCTTGTGGCCCCCCAAAATATTGTGCGTTAAAAGACCAAATTGTTCACAAAAACCAGTCACATCCTTATAAACTGAGAATTTATAACAATGCATACAATTGTGACATTAAACAAAACATGGACCACGGCTAAGTCTGTGTCACATTGATTGCTAATTTCATTTTACTAACTTGCTCTTTTTAAACATATATCAATATTTGTACTGTGAAATATTTTAAATCAATATAATATATTTTGAATTCAAAAGAGAAAAAAATGGACAATGGTAAGGTATACTTCTGAGTAGAATTGTCATTTTGTGAGCCATTACTATTGTTATATTTTAAATTTATAAGGATTTTAGTGCTTTTTCATTTAAAGTGAGTGTGGTTTGTTACACATTAAAAATTTAGTTTAAATGGATATAGAATTGACTCCTCAATTGTGTTTTATTGTATGGTCTAATTAAATACTAAAGTGTTATTTCCCCCGTTTTTCTTGCTGAAATTGAAACTTTGCTCAAATTTAACAACACATTTTAAGAGTTAACACCAAATGTGTCCAAATAAGACTGACGAGCTTCAAAAATCTCTTCCTCAGATATGGTTTGCATTTGTTAATGGATTTTCTGGACAAATACTGTTTGAAAGATGGTGCATAGGACTTTACAATGTGGTAAGATATTGTACCCTATTTAGTCTGACATTTTAATTACTGTTAAAATACACTGATTTCTTAACAAATTGATCCCATGGTGTGTTTCGTTTATATGTTAGATGTTTACAGCCATGCCCCCACTGACTCTTGGAATATTTGAGAGATCCTGTCGAAAAGAAAATATGCTAAAATACCCTGAATTATACAAGACTTCTCAAAATGCCCTGGATTTCAACTCTAAGGTAGAAAATAGTTTAGTTATCTTTAGAATAGCATCATATGAATGTACATCCTGTTTCAGTTCTGCATGATTAAAAAGGATTAAATATATGATTAATAATGAAACTATTTTACATCACCACCAGGCTGTAAAATAATTGAATCAAATGTCACAAAAATGCAATCCACAAATTGCTATGTTGCACTAATTTTCCCCTCCATCTTAACGACTGCATAAATAGTAGAGACCCAGCAAGCCTCAAACACACCTTAACTCTGGACCTGGTAGCATACATGAATTTTGTGCCAGGGCTGCTTGCAGCCACATGGACACTAGACTATGCAGTGTCCTGGAGGCCAGGTAAGGCTGCAACTTGACTACAAGCATGGGTGAAATAGACCTCGAATTCCTTTCTTCCGCTGCCGGATAGATTCTGTCTGTCAGTGGGGAGGACAGTATTGAATACCATATTTAAAATGAAAATGGCACATGTTTTCATATTTGTCATTCGTGGTATTGGATTTTTTCTTTAAAATGTTTGATACCATATTTTAATCTTTTTTGAGTTTTATTCCCATTTATTCTATGGTATTTTGGATTTTCAATGTTTGAATTTTAAACTTCCATATTTTATTTTAAATATTTTAAATTAATTTTTCAACAAAAATAAAAAACAAACAAACACAACAAAGAAAACTATAGATAGAAGCAATATCCAATCCATAAAATGGGATTCTCTGAATCTCATCTCCCCACCCCCACCCCCGGTTCCTTAATTTTCTTTTTCAACTGCATATCATTTCTACTCCAAATTCTACCTCAAATTTCTTACATTATTTCTAAAATTACAAGTGTTCTTAAAATCCTGCAAATGTATTAGCCTCTTTACAGTACTTTTGTAAGTACATAATAAACATTTCCCATTCTTTTTTCAATTTCTTGTCGTCTTCATTTCTGAGCTTTCCAGTTAATTTAGCCGTTTCAGCGTAGTCCATTAACTTGGTTTGCCAATCTTCTTTGGTCAGGACTGCTTCCTCTTTCCACCTTTGGGTTAACAGTATCCGGGCAGCCTAAACTTCCATATTTTAAAGCTTTTTAAAATTGCTTTTTACAAAGTATGTCGAAGTGACTTACACAATCAGTACAGAGCATAAAACAAAAACAAAAAAGGCAAACTCGGTTTTTTATTCATAGAGTATGTTTTCGTTCTTTGCATTTATTTTGTTGTTGGTCAATGGTCAGTTGCTCATAGTCAGGCCTGGTTAGTACTTATGATGGGATGGGAGAATAACCATATAGACTAAACATGCCCCAAGTAGTGCAACAAATAATGTGAAAGCTAAATAAACGTTTCCAAACTTTTAGCAAATTCGGATTAGGTTCTCATATTCATATGATAAACAGTGTTTTTGCAGAATATTTGAAGATTCTTTTTAGTTGTGTGAGTCTCTCCGTTGTGATGGTTTTAATTCTTTGTTAGTTTTAGAAAGCTTTTGATTTTGCTGGGTTTATTTTGAGTAAGTTTTCTGAATAAACGCTTACAAGCTACCTGCGGAGACAGAATGGTTGATTCAGGCTTGATGTGCAGAGGATCTGGAATCATTTGTTGCGTGGGTTTGTTATGTTAAAAAGGGTCAGAGTTTGTGGAGCCACTACGGAGGTTAAAGGATTAGCATGTAACAATAAGTACTGGTCAGGAAAATGGAAAAGTAGGCCTAATTTTCTTGCATCCACCTGTGCCTTCTGTCAAATAAAACTTGTGGCAATGGCATAGCAAGGAGGAGAGAGAAAGGTTAATGAACAACACAAGTTCAAATGTGCTAAAGTATTGTGGCGTAAATTGGATCATACAACCTTACCTACTTGAGGAAAGTAACAAAGAAGCTGGAGACATAGTGGAACATTTTTTGAGGCAGGCAACTCAATTTCTGTTGTTTGAGCAACTTAAAACTATTAATGCCCTTCTGTTCAACACAATAAAGATTATGTTTTGGGAAAGTATATCTGATTATAAAACATGGGTATCTATTATATGAAAGAATTTACCAAAAGCTCTCTTCTTACTTTGTTTTTATATAATGTACAAAATGCTGGGTTTCTGCGTTTGACTAGACTTGACACATTTTAGCAGGTGTTTCTAACACACATATAGTAAAAAGAAACAATTATAGAAAAAAATGTGTAATGAAAGAAAACGTCTGTGTGTTTGTGTGTGCCAACAACTAATTCGTTTCTCTCTTTTTTCTTTTCACTCTATATTTTGAAATTGTTGTTTTATCATCTGTCCTCATGTTATACTGATTAGGATATAGAATAAAACCACAAACACTTAATGCTTAATGCTAATTTAGTGCATAATCAGTTAGTAGAACAAAGATGGTTTTACAATTTGGCTTTGCTTTTTCTATAGAAGGCATTCATTTCTTTAAAAACTAAAAAATTAAAAGTGAAAGATAGTGAACATCTTTCGAGAAACATAAACATAAATAAATGACCCATGAAGGGCTGTGAGGCAGAAAATACATCAGTTATATTAGTTCTTAGCGGTGGTTCTTAGCGGTTTGAAAAACACATTTTCTGAATCTAACTAAAAGATAAAAAGAAGGTCAGAGTTCACACAGTTAGTTTTACCTCAAATGGTTCTCAGGAATGTTTGTTTTCCCTTAGGTTTTCTGGGTTCATTGTTTAAATGGCCTCTTCCACTCAGTAATTCTGTTTTGGTTTCCACTAAAAGCCATCCAGTATGGTAAGTAAATGAAATACAGAATTTGAAAATACTGTATGTATTTAAAATGGCAATATCCAGGGTTACACTAAAGCAAATTCTGTATTGTGATCTTAAATGTGGACTTCTAACAGTTGATCATTATACAATATCGTCCCTTTTTCAGTTTGGGGAGCTAAAACATCTTTTTAAATTGCTAGTGTCATGTGATTTGGGGTATAATTGTTATGTAATAATGCAACAATGTTACACTAGTCTTATTTTAATACATATCGATAGAAGTTCTTTTCGGATCTGTCTTCTTTCAAGCTGCATAGAGAGTCTTTTTCCAAACTGTGTTGCTGGAGAACTAGGAGTCTATTCAACTTGTAGAGGTTAATTTGGAAGTGTGTTTCCAAATACAAGTATGTATCTTCCCAAGTTTGAATTAGTTATAAGCCAAAGGAGATAAACTAAGTAGATCAATAGGTTATAAACCAAAAACCTCAGCTTTATATCAGACTAGTGGTTGGTAAATTAAAAGAAATTATTCTGGCAGAATAAAAACCATTGAGTTTGATGCAATTGTTTTCTTCAGTGAATGGAATTAACTTCTTCCAGCAGAAATGGTCTCCTGTCAGAGGAAAAGAACTCTTGGATCTAAGCCATAAGATGTCTTTGGAAATAACGATAAACTGGTTTATTGTTACAGGAATGAGCCTTGGGTTCACATGCTCCCCTCTCCTCTGTTTTCTAGCACAGCTTCAATGAGGAGATAGGAAGATTTTGCTACAGTTTAATGTTGAATCCTAAACTGTGGTTAATCTTAACTGTGGTGTGTTGAAACAAGCTATAAACTTATTGAAACAAACCATACACTATGGTTTGAAGGTTTTTTCCCCCTGTAAAACATAGTTAAGGTTAACCAGCGTTTGTTCTGGTTTGGACATAACACCAATCTGCAGTTAGTTTTAAAAAAAATGGAAGTGAAATCTTTCAGTATCTTCTGCACAGCTACCTAAGACTTATTCCGATAACAATAAACCATATTTGATTACTACCACCAAACACATCCATAGAGTCTAACAGGAGAAGTGCAGTGACCCACACATTTTTGCCCAATGAACTTTACCATTTGTACAAGGCACTTCATAGAATCATCAGATTCTAGAGTTGAAAGATACCCCAATGGTAATATAGTCCAACCCCCTGCAATTCCGGAAACTCAGCTAGATCATACATGACATAACCATTCAACCTCTGCTTAAAAACCTCCAATGAAAAGGAGTTCAGCACCTTCTGAGGGAGCCCGTTCCACTGTTGAACTACTCTCACCATCAGAAAGTTTTCCTGGATATTTTGTCAAAAGCTCCTTTCTTGTAACTTGAAACCATTGGTTCGGGTCCTAGCCTCCAGAGCAGAAGAAAACAAGCTTGCTCTATCTTCCACATGATAAAAAGGTAAAGGGACCCCTGACCATTAGGTCCAGTCGTGACCGACTCTGGAGTTGCGGCGCTCCTCTCGCTTTATTGGCCAAGGGATCCGGTGTACAGCTTCCGGGTCATGTGGCCAGCATGACAAAGCCGCTTCTGGCAAACCAGAGCAGAGCACGGAAACACCGTTTACCTTCCCGCTGGAGCGGTACCTATTTATCTACTTGCACTTTGACGTGCTTTTGAACTGCTAGGTGGGCAGGAGCAGGGACCGAGCAACGGGAGCTCACCCCGTCGCAGGGATTCAAACCGCCAACCTTCACATCGACAAGTCCTAGGCTCTGTGGTTTAACCCACAGTGCCACCCGCGTCCCTCTTCCACATGATAGCCCCTTAGATATTTGAAGATGGCTGTAATATTTCCTCTCAGCCTCCTCTTTTCCAGGCTAAACGGCGCCATCTCCTTAAACCATTCCTCATAAGGCTTGGTTTCCAGACCCTTGGTCATCTTAGTCGCCCTCCTCCGACTTGTCAATATCCTTCTTAAATTGTGGCACCCAGAACTGGACACAGTACTCCAAGTGTGGTTTGACCAAGGCAGAAAAGAGCAGTACCTTTTATCTGGATGCTATACTTCCATTGATGCAGCCTAGAATAACATTAGCTTTTTTTATTGCTGCATCACACTACTGACTTGGGTTAAGCTTATATGCTATGAAGACCCCTAGAACATTTTCACATGTGCTACTGGCAAACAAGGTGTCCCCCCCTCTTACATTTGTGCAGTTGGTTCTTCCTGCCTAAGTGCAAAACCTTACATTTGTCCCTACTTAAATGCTTTTGGTTGTTTGAGCCCAGTTCTCCAATCCGTCAAGGTCATCTTGAATCCAGATTCTGTCTTCTGTGGCATTGGCTACCCCTCTGAGTTTGGTGTCATCTGCAGATTGGATGAGCATAGCCTCAGTTCCATTGTCCAAGTCATTTATAAAGATGTTGAACAGCAACAGACTCAGGAAAGAACCTTGTGGCATCTGACCTACCGCTTTTTTCCAGGATGATGGGAACTCTTTGGGTTCAGTCAGTCAAACCACCTAACAGTTACCTCATCCAGCTTACATTTTACCAGCTTCTCTGCAAGAATATCATACAAAAGCCTTACTGAAATCAAGATACACTAAGTCCACAGGATTCCCCTTATTTACTCAGCTTGTAGTAAAAACAAAAACAGAAATGAGATTCATCAGGCATGACTTGTTTTTGAGAAACCCACAGCATCCTTTTCTAAGTGCTCATAGACCAACCATTTAATTATCTGATCTAGGACCTTGCATAGTATTGATGCCAAGCTGACTGGTCAGTAGTTACTTAGGTCTTTTTTGATGGAGACAACAAACTGACCATATACTGCCTCAAATTAAAATTGTTTTGTCCATGGAAAGAAACTCAAGGGAAACAGTTCTTTGGCAATTTAAGCAGAAATTTATATTATAGAATCATTTCCATAAATAACCCCCATTTTAATATTTCCAATGTTGTTATCTTACAGATACTGTATTTGCCAGTGGTAAAACTTCAGACTATTTGCTTTTGGGAAACACAGTATATACCGTAAGTATTGCTAATGTGACTGTAACTTGTGTCCTAGGCAGAAGAGTATGCTAGAAATTTGATACTGGGTGATTCTTTATTCCAGTCTTAATATTATTATTTTAGCCTGTGGGTTGGTTGGTTGGTTGGTTGGTTGGTTGAATGATGGATTGATTTAACCAATTTATATACCATTTAACAAGGTATAAGCACAGTCTCTAAGCAGTGTACAATAAGGTTAACACAAAAAACCAATCAATACAATACATAAAATTAATTAAAATGAACTATAAAATCAGAAAACTTAAATTTGTGCACCCTGGGCAATCAGAGCAGGGTGTAAAACAACTTCTCATAAGAAGCCTAGGTAGCCTCCCTTCAGCAACCTGTCAGGTTCAGTGTGCTACATCTTGGCCAGCCCATTCCTCTCCAAATGGAGAGTCATCCATACCTCTTAAGACAGATTTAACCTGTTCACCTTTTGCATGCCATTCCAAAAGCAAATTTTGAAACGTCATACTTCACTTGGAGTTGAAGCACTGTTATATTGGTTAAGGAAAAGTAGCTAATTTCTCTCTCTCTCTTTAGTTTGTAGTAATAACTGTGTGTTTAAAAGCTGGATTAGAGACTTCATATTGGACTTTGGTAAGAAATTATTTTTAAAATAGCTCATGTTACAATATATAATAAAGCGATAAGTGTAAATTTACTGTAATTTATGTAACAGAGTACTGGCCTATATAGGTTGATGAGGGGTTAATAACTGGGTTGGGTTTATTCAAAGAACACCTGTGTAGAAATCGGCAATATTAATAGACAAAATAGGCATGTTAATCTGCAAATTCTGATAGCAATAAACCAAGGAAAAGAGGGAATGGGTTAGAACTGTAAGCCTGCCTGCCCAGAAGTAATTCCCATTGATTTCAGTGGGGCTTAATTCCCAGGTAAATAGAATGCAACCTTATTCTGGCTCTAACCATAAAGGAAACATATTTTCTCCTATTGACCTATTTTGCAGGTTTGACTTTTTGATTTTTATTCTTTCTTTTCCAGTTCAGCCACATAGCAATATGGGGCAGCATTGCACTGTGGGTAGTATTTTTCGGAATCTACTCTTCCTTGTGGCCTCTAATTCCTATGGCCCCTGATATGTCTGGGGAGGTAATATTCGCCTTTTAACTAATTTCTGAATCTCTATGTAAAACCGTACTTTTATTTTTGTTTGAGAATTGGTTGGTTTGAGATTAATGACGTGCAGCCTATTATCTCTTCAGAACAAGCAGACTTTGGACATTTTGGCTTTGAGGTATCAGGTTTTCACAAGTTCTAAAAGCACTGACAAGTCTTTTGGTTTTTTTTGTGTGTGTGACCAATAACACCAGTTAATTGTAATTTGCATTTAAAATTGTTGGCTATATATCCCTGGGAGCCAAGTTTGCATCAGATTCCATTTGGTTTCATAAGACCAAGAGGGAAGGGTTATAACCAGAAGAGACTTGGCATAAACCACGACTCTCATACATTAGTATAAATTTGTAAACCACCAACTGAAGAAAACAGAATCCGTCCTCAGAACAGGCTGCCCCTGTTAGCGCCATTGTCTAAAATGGATCAGTTTGCCATTTCCCAGCTGACCTGCCTATGTGCAGAGAGATGTGAAAAGTTTGAGACAAAAATGCTTCTACTGATCAAGGAGGGAGCTTTCTTGTACAGAAAGGAAGGAAATACCTCGGTGGGATTTTATTTTTTCTCCCTCTTCATCCAAATATACAAAGAGGCCTTCTGTCTTTAATGCGAATGTCGGCTTTAAATCTTTTAGTTTTGGATTAACTCTGCAAAAGAAAAAAATGTGACAGGCTTTCAAATATGACGCAGAAAAACTTTTTCCCCCTTCAATTCATGTTCTTCGTTTGTAAAGCCAAAGGCTGGATTGACTGAATGGTAGGCGCCAGTTTGTTCCTTCTTTCATAGTTAGCATTACAATGGTAAGAATTAACATCCTAAGACCTACATTATCACTTCTGCTGTTTCACCCAGGAACGTTTAATAGCGGGTGGCTTACAGAACGATAGCTCTTTGCTCTGTTACCCTAATCTTAAAAAGTCATTAATTTAAAAATAAAAGTATGTTGTTTAAATCGCATCTAGATCCATTTTTGTCTCCTGTTTTCTTATTCAGGACTTTATTAATTGCAATCTATAAAAGTTTTACCTCACAGTGTTTGCTTGGGAGTGGTGGCTTTAAGAATTGGCTATGTTGTCTAACATGACAAAAGTCACGTTTTCCATTATAACATTGTTTATAAGTTAAATTATGATCTTTATCTTGCTTGTAAATCCACTTTTCCTTAAAACTGATTTTTAGTATTGAAACACTTTTTGAAATTGCTTTATTTGAATTTTCACTTTAGCACTTGTGACATTAAATTAATCCTGCTTTACTTTTATATATTATTGTCTTAATGCTGCGATCTTCCTTGTACATAGGTGCTTGTTAAAGCATTACGTACAAACTTGGCCTTTTTTGGCGGGAGGTGGGGGTTAATTGCCAAATAGCCTCCCTCCTGCAAGAATCATAAGCTGCTCTTTATATCAGATGGCATTTGAGTAGAATAATCAGCATATTGGTATTTTTCCTGAGCGCTAGGAACAAGGCTCTGAGCGATAAGTCTAATAAATAAACATTGCTTTAGATCCAAATGCTCATTGCATGGAAGATGCTTCTCCTAGTGCCTGCAAAAGTGTTTAATATGAATTTCTTATGCACATCTCTCGATTGTCATTCTCCTGTGTTTGGAACTGTAGGTTAAGCGATTTATATATCTGTTTCAAACGTAGCCAAATTGCAAGTGACTACAAGTACCTGTTTTCCGCCCTAGTCACAATTAATAGGGTTAGCAGTTCTGATCACTGGCCCCAAGACCCCTTGAATTCTCAAAGTTTCTGGGAAAGGGATTTTTGTAAACATCTCCCTTGAAATGAGGACATAGCTCTTTAATTGACCTTTTCCTACAGCTGAAGGTAAAGAAGGAATTGTGAAATTTAAATTGATAAGTGCCAGTTAACCCAAAACCGGTAGTGCCTTTATTTATTATTTGCTTATTTCATAAAATTTATATGCGGTTTGATTGTAAGGAAAAATCTCAAACCAGTTTCTCCTGCTCTCGTGTGGATTGGGGGATGAATAGTGATAGACAGCTGCTGGCAATGCTTTTTTTACATAAGTCTATAAGGAATACCAACATTCCCTCATTGACACCCCTTACTGAACACAGTCCCAGTGGCTTTTTTCAATAGGTTACTAATTTTTTTCACCATATTACCTAGCTTCATCTGAAAAGTTTCGTATTTCTTTTCTAAAAATAACGCCGTTGTTTAAATCCATGTAGGCAGTTATGATGTTCAGTTCTGGTGTTTTCTGGATGGGCTTACTAAGCATTCCGCTGACAGCTTTGATCTTCGATGTAGCATATAAAGTGTAAGTATAAAACTCTTTATATATATATTTTTAAGAAATTAACGCATCCATGTCTTAGTAACCCAAAGTTGTATTTAGAATGCTATCCTGTCCATGGGGCTTACTGTCAAGTAAGTGAGGGTAGGATTGTAGCCCGACAGCTCAATCCTGTACATGTCTACTCAGAAGTAAGACCCTTTAACATCAGTGTCTTCATTCCCATGTAAATGGGTATAGGATTGCAGCCTTTTCCTACTAAATTATGATTCACCTTTATAGAAGGTTTATAGACTATTAATGCAAATTTGTGCAGATATTAATTCTTTAATTGTTTTTCATATAAATTATAATCTCATAGTTAATATAAAATGCCAAAACAAAGCAGACATGGTTTCTGAAGTATACACCTATGAATTGAATGCTTATTTTTATAACCTTTCTCCAACCGTTAATTCTAAAATTTTATTTACAGTCTGTCCTCTGTGTAAGCTACTGAAGTGTAACATGTATGTGCATTCTTATGTAGCATTACTTTGAAGCTTAACTTTATACTGGTGTATAAAATAGATTTTTATACTGGAGATTTCTGTTTTAGTTTCTCTCAAATTTCAGCTTCAGTATAAGTTACCCAAAAGCATTTTTCATTGCAGAGTGAAAAGAGCAGCATTTAAAACACTGGTAGATGAAGTTCAGGAGTTGGAAGCAAAATCTCAAGATCCAGGAGCAGTTGTTCATGGGAAAAGGTACAATAATACCTGTAAATAATCCACATCATTGCACAAGTCGAACCCCATTGTAATGTTGTTATGAAGCATTGCAATACCTTAGGGCTGATCCACACTTGCCAGCAAAATCTTGACTTTCATTGTTTCCTTTAAGATACTCTGCTCTTTCTTAATTGTGAAGCATTCAAGTCATAAATGTCACTGTGGAGATCCCATTCGAAAAGCAGAGGTTACTAGCATGTCTGATGGTTCTCTGCATTCATTGCTGTGCCTTAGGTTCTCCCATAAGTAGGAATTTAAATCTATTTTACAGTTCAGGCATATTCATGCATATTCAGAAGAAAGTCCCACTGAGCTCTGTGAGACTTACTCCCAGAAAAGTAGGTATAGGGCTGCAACCCTAGACAAAAGTGGTTATATCCACTAATCTGAGAGTAGGATTCAGTGAACTCAGTTGGACTTAATTCTTAGGATTGTGCTTTTAGTTAACTTGCCACACCCTGCTTGATAGCCTCCTGAACACTGAATATTGTTTCACAGCGCTGGGTCATTATTTCAGATATTAGTGTGTTGACATTTTATTTTATTTTTTAGCTTAACTGAAACAGCTCAGCTACTGAAAAATGTCTTCAAGAAAAACCATGTCAACTTGTACCGCTCTGAGTCTCTGCAACAAAACTTGCTTCGTAAGTATTCGAGATTTGACAGAAATAAGTACAAATCCAAAAGACAGAAAGAACAGGATCACAGAGCATGAATACACTTGGTTCTGCTTTCATATTTATGTTTGGCCCCGTTAAATTACATTTCTTACTGCATAGCTTTAGTCACACGCACCATGATTTTTAACAATGGTTTATTATTGTTAGCTTATTGGTTCTTACTGTGAGATGCTTTGAAGACTTCAAAATGAAAAAGAGGGATACAAGTGTTTCCAAAAAAATATGCCAAGATGGGTTTTAGAGGGCTATTAATAATAGATCCTGCGTGCTTGGCTCCCCTTGCTCAAGATTTAATCACATGAAAGAGAGTAAATAGGAAAGCAAGAAAGGACCATAATTGGAACCATAAGGTTGAATCCAAGAATGCCTTGCACAGTGGAAAGGCAGGTCTCCTAGCACAAGGTAGCTGCTCTGAATTGTCCCATTTGTCCACTCCCACTACATGCCCCACACCCCATTCAGAGAGTCCAATGTGGCTCCAACTCATAATTTTAAATGAGTAATGGAATTTGAATTCATTCTTGAAACATTGCTTTAGAATAGAGAACATATATCAGTTATTTTAGGTTGCAATCATATACCAACTTTCCCAAAAATAAGCACTATTGCACTCTGATGAATTTTAATAGATATGTATAGGATTGCACCAATAGTTCTATTCATTTTGTTTTTGTTTTATTGCGTTTTTGTTGTTTTATGTTAAAAAAAAAGTCTCAAAGCAACTTAATAAGCTAAAATGTAAACAAGTAAAATCAATTAAAAGCCAAATAAAAACAACGCCAATGCTATATACACAGGGCTTTTATCAGCCGGAACTGAGTTCTGCCACCTCTTCGTTGCGTTCCAGCACCTCTTTGTAGCGTACCAGCAGCCCAGAGCTGTGTGTGGGCTGCATGTTGCTTGTGGCTTTGTGTCAGAGGTTGTGGGACAGTCTCCACCCAAAAAAACCTCAACAACCTTGGCTCCCCTCTAAAAGAATAATTCCTCCACCTCTATTTCTAGGGGGGGGGAGCACTGGCTATACCATTAATCATATCCATCAATGACTGTAGCCCTCTTGGTGTTCAGCCAAATGCAAGAAGGCATAAATTTGTCAGCTCAGTCAGTAGAGCAGGAACTGCTGGTTCCCTCTTCCAACATCCCTGCGCACAGCATCTAAGCTCGTTCCTTTCCCAAACTTTCCTGAAGAGTCTGAAGGGGGCATCTAAGAATGACTGAACATGCTAAAAAGCTCCCTCAGAATTGACAAACCCAGGGCAGGGCTTCTCTGTAATATGTCAGGGCTGTGCTTAGCAATAGGCTTCTTAGCATGTTAGTATTTAAACTGAGTGATTCTTTTTGAAAATATTTCAGCCGAACTAGAACTGTAGTCCTTGTTCCTCATTCCGGTTTGCCTTTATAATTGCAGATGGTTATGCCTTCTCTCAAGACGAAAATGGGATTGTTTCACAATCGGAAGTAATAAGAGCCTACGATACTACAAAGCAAAGACCTGATGAGTGGTGAAGGACTATGACACTGAGCCCTAATACTTGCCATAGTATGGCAAAGTAATATATATTTCCTGGGTCTGCTAGCAAGGTCCAGCAACAGATTAGAGGAAGATGTGTGTTGTTACTCTTATTCCCTGAAGTTTGAGTTCACATACTGAGTAGACATAAGCACTGTGCAACTATACTGTAATACACCATCTCCAAATTTTTCAACAAGTGTTACTTGGATTTTGTAAGCAGAGATTGAAAATAGCTTTCAGCCTTTGCCAACTACTTATTTACAGTGATGCTGAATACGTAACGTTCCTATATGTATATCTAGGACATAATGAACAGCCAGATTACTCGACATAGCATACATTGACAACCATCGCCTTTGCAAAGGTTTGCGAGCGGTGAATTATTTAAAGTACCTAGCCTTTGATTTCAACAAGTGCTAAATAACAATTTTTAAATATTCATTTATGTGTTGAAGTAAGATTTCAAAGCAAGACATTTAAAGGTACACGTGTCAAACTAGCCTAAAAAGTTTGCCAAAGAATTTCCATATTTCTCATCTTAGTAATCATTTGCGGAGAAATTTTAAAGGGTGGCGACGTCAAGTGTGATATAAGAATTGCATGCTTGAAACTCTGTACTTGAAAAGTTTTACAATAATGTGAACTTGATACTGTTTGCTTTGTATTGCATTGGTTTTTCAGATCTGCGGTCACTTTCACCTTTGGCCTTATACAAGCCTTTCATTCATGTTCATTTAACAGAAATGTGTACATTTAACACAGCAGTCATTTTCTATGTAAGGGGCATGTGTCTTTGAATTATAGACAAATGCTGGTCTGCCTTATATCCCTTCCATACACCTAAGGACCTGATCCAGGGAAACCTGTACACAGAAACGGGCTGTTTGCAAAGGTGTTGTGTTTCCCTGCCACCATCCCCAACTTAGCACACTTTCATTTTAATGGCACTGGTTACCTGTAAGGCCAGGCAGAAAGGAAAAGGTGGTGACTTGATTCCAGTTTCCTTTCTGACAAACAGAGAGGAAAGAGCCAGCCATGTTGCTCATTGTTCACACCTAGTGCCAGAGCACCATGCATGAATCCCATGTGAGTTTTCTTCCCAAGCTTCTTTTGCATTTATAGGACCCAAACCCAAATGTTGTATCATGCACACATGCAAATGCTTGCTCTTACTGGATTGGAGCAGTAGTGTACTTGAAAATGCTGGTTTCAGTTCATACTTAAGTTGCCAGAGCAACTTGCTACAAACAAAATGATTTATTTTGGTGGTTTTTCACAAGAACGAGGAACCAGAATCATCAGCATTGCACTGCTTTCTGTTTGCACTACAAGACAGTTATTTAGTCTTGCTGTCAAATATATGTGTACAGTCCCAAATTTGATTTAAAGTAGGCTATGCTGAAGTTTGAGGATTTTAACCAATATTTCTTTTTTTAGGTGTAGATCTTGAAAGGCATAAGATTTAAAACTGCTAATGAAAGCAAGGAAAGTAAACTAACAAAAAAGGTTTCATACTCTAATCAGGAATGTGAGATTTCAACTTCTCACCCCCCAAAATATTGTAATTCAGTATTTTTAAATAAGTTTGTCTAATCAGGATGAGAAACAGAATCTGATACAATACTGCAAATTAATATATGCTCTGCTATGAAGCCATTTAAAAGCCGTTTCAGTATGTCTAATTTAAAATACATATTTTATATAGTAGGTTTCACCTCTGATTTGAGTGCACTGTACAACTGTTCTACCTGTAGAAAGACAAATATAAATATTCTTATAAATGAAATATTTGTATGCGATGGTCCAACTTTTGAAAAGCAAAGTTTAATAGGAACATTGTATTTATTAAATGACGTAGAACATTTTATATACTTGTGATACACAGTTGCACTCATTCACAATGGCAGGGACACTGTTCTTTTTCACAAGTGATATTTAAACAGAAAATAAAACTGAAGAAAAAAGGAGTCCAAAAGAGAAAAACAAACCCTTGCTGAAAACAGCCTTGCTTCCCATCTTGCAGCCCAAAACTGCCTTCAGAAAAGCTACTTCAGGCATAGATAATGAATGAATCGACAAGGAGGGCCAAATCACTTGACCTGGAGCACACATAAAAATTTGGGACTTGTCCTTTCTCAGTGAGACGTCTCCTTCAACAGATTTCCCAAGTGAACGATTAAAAATGATAATCGTTTTAGAATACTTAAGTACAATTCTAAGCAGTGCATATTTCTTTTTAGAATCAATGAATGAAGTCGATCCGTCGTGATTCAGCAGAAACGATGTGCTCATTCATATAACCTGTTCTTTGCTTCTGGCCTCATGCAGCCTCTTAGGGCACCTGAAAGCAGTAATCAGAAAAGAGTGTCTTCTCCATTCATTTCCCGCACCCCAGCTAAGCAGTCAGAATTGACATGCACCATGTAAATCGCAGGTGCTGGATGCAGGTGTGTCCCCTTCCTCCTCTCCCTGAAGCATGAAATGGCAGTTTGCATGCAAATGACACAGGAGAATGATCTGCATGCAGATACCTATTTCAACACACGCGCAATCCAGTTACCTCAAACAGATCTCCCTTGCTGGATCAAGGTGAAGGCATAGGTGTCACATTAGTGATAGTTCAGGAAACTCCATGACCACCCTTATTTGCAAAAAAATAGACACAATAGGTACTCATTTTGGCTGTCATTGCTGCCTAAAAGTAGACTGTTCTTAGCACATTTTCTTCATCATGGGATTTTAAACTCTCAGTGATTATGTTACATCTTTTATTTTTTTTTAAAAAAATGTTTAATTTTCTAAGGAAGATGTAGGCTTATTCAGCTTATCTTGGCTATTCTGAATAAGTGCTCCACATCTTAATTTTTCATTTTTGCCCTTCTGAATTAATCTTTGTTCTGATGTCATTTAACTTTTTAAAAATACTATTCCTCACACACTGGATGTCATTTTTTCTAACAGCAGTCATTATCACAGTACCCGATGATTGTGTGTTTGTTCTGTCTTTAATAGTTTGCTCCCCCCACCCCATATTAAAATCTAAATAAAAACTTAAGAGTTCCTAAAGAACATAACACCCAATTTAAACAAAAGTCAGGACATACAATACATACGTTATTTGCAAACAAACACATTTCATAACAAAAGGCTATATAAGTGGTTTATTACATTATAATATAGGAATATATTATAATACATATATATTTGGGACTACTGGTTGAAATGTTTTAGTAAACAATACTCTACTCAAGTTACAGTACTTTACTATAATGTACTTGTTTTGAAATTCTAAACTTTTACATTTCTCTTAATTAAATCCAGAAAGGAAGTTGTATGTTTTGTATGTATTAGGTGTATTGTGCAACAATTTCACGCTAATGTTTGTTTTTTTAAAAAAAATATCATTAATTGAATGAAAAGGTGCCATTCAGAGATCAACGCCTACATATAGGTATTATTTTAATTACTTGTGAGAATGTAGTAACCAGAACATCAGCTAATTGGAATCACTTTGAGAAGCCATAAGTGGACTTGTTTTTTCTTAGTATTAGATTTATTTTTGCAGAGAAATTTTGACAAATTTATAAGCAACTTTCTAGTTGTATAAAAATAGAGGAAATATTTAAACAAATGCAATGGTGAAAGATTCCTGTTGCACTGTCTCACATGGGAAAACATCTGTTTTCATCAATTAATTAATTTTGAATTGTTTGCTTAGAGTCTTGGACCATGTATTTAGCTCCCCTCTTTTTCTGCCCATTTATGTATTGTGCAAAAAACAGGTGCCGTTCTAGTAAGTTTTATCAATCTGTCTGCATGAGTTAAAATGTCACAGTGTGAATCTGAGCTGGTGCATGTCTGTGCTGTAAAGCTCATGATTTCTTTTTCCTTCGGTTCAAACATGCATCAAACCATGTGTGTATTAGTAAGCAAAAGCAAGTGTTGGATCAACAACTGAATTAACAACTTCACTCTATTAGTACTGAATGTGAACTCGGAAAATCATACACAAGTTGACCAAGGGTAGCACTCCCAAATTTGTGCACAACCCACTGAACTAATTGGACTACTCAAACAGTAAGAGAACAGTAAAAAGAGGCAATCGAGTCACTTTGCGTTTTATAGGTTGCTCCAACACAGACTTTTGCATCCCTTCAAATATTTTGTAACTACGAAACTGTGGCCCGAATGTGTAAAAGCAAAATCATGTTTCCGTGTTTTTTCTTGTTCTACAATTGAAGCCATAATACATGAATATTAGTTTTCTACTGCAACTTGATTTTCATGCTGTCTTGAAAGGCACTGTATCAAAAGACTGCATTCAAAGCAAAGTAGGACTTTCCAGCTCCACTGAACCATTACTGCTGAAACTGCTGTGGAATTTGTGAAGCTGCATGAGTGAAGAGATTTTGACTCCGTGTTTATGGTAGTTTTTCTCAGGTTTCGTTTTAAATGGATGTCAAATGCACTGTTTTATAACGTTATTAAATTTTAGTAATATATTCAGTTCTATGCAGTGTTACATGTCATTGGCCTTTTGTGAATGTGCATGTTTTGAACTGCAAATTTTAAATGTTTTGTCTTCTAATTGTTCAAAAATAAACCTTGCCATTAAATAAACTCTGAAGCGTTGTCCGCATCTTAAATACAACCCTCTCCCAGAAGCACACTCCATTAGTCCGATTTTGAGCAATTAAAATCCTCTCGATAAAAGCTTAGTTTTGATGTCCCTTAGTTAACTAACGTGACATTGTGCAATTTTTACTAAATAATTAGAAACCTGAGATAGCATGGGCAGTAAGAATACTTTATCAAAAACATTATTCAGTGAAGGCATTCATAGAAGAGTGTAAGTCGGTATAATGAAGACAAAATTTTAAAATATAACACAGCTTGATAGCCAAAGGATGATTTATTACACAGGAACACTATTTGCCTAAGAATATGTAGACTTTTAAAAGCATGCAACATGAACATACCAGTGTAAAACAATCAGAAACCAACATTTAGAAGAGGTAAGAAAAAACAAGCTACAGCATTAAAAAGTCAGTGCCTGCTATAAAAGTAAAATACAAATGGATATATCTTCTAAATAAAAATAGTATGCGTATTCCTTAAGGATTTCCTTTAGGCAATGAAGAAAATGTAAGCAAAAAATAAATAAATTAGGAACTACAATGTCTCCACAGTCCTACATTTGTGCAATACAATGTAAACACTGGAGCTTATCCTGGCAATGAAAGTGCCCCTCCAGAAAGAAAGTTATTACTGGAGCTGCACAACAGAGAAACAGGTACCAAGTTTGAACAAAATTATCCGTCGGAGCCATTCCTGGCTTTCTTGCATTCTTGAAGAAGCTGATCATCAAGTGCTAATTCCAAATTCTACCAGTATGCAGTACAAGCCCCCCTGAAAACAGCAAACCACTTACTACAATTGATTGGTAACCGCAACTTGCTTTTGCCTGACAGTTCTAACGCACCCTGGAAGTTACAAGTGATTTAGCTGGGGTTCTGTTGAGATTTGTTTTATTAATATTCACATGTGCTTAAAGAATTGCAATGTTTGGCCAGTGTCCCAAGCCTACTCCACCCCAAGTCATTGCTCTTGGAAGCCGAGCCCTATTATCTGGGCTCGCAGGGAATTCTCCATTTGCCCACTTCATGCTGTGCTCTGGGTACCACAGCTATTTTAAAAGAGTGTGGCTGCTGAAATGAGCAGAGAACGCAACAGTTGTTTGGCTGTCCAACAAGGAACAAATTAAACATCAACTTCCTGGTTGGAAGGAAGGTGGTAAGTCTCCTTTTTTTCCCAAAAAAAAATTATTCTTTTTATAACACAAATAAAAAACAGACAGAAAGGACAAACAATACGAACAACTTCTTGTCATATCCTTATTTTTCTAACCATTGTTAAGTTGGTTTCCCCAAGTCCCACCTATCTGATTTTCATTTTACTTCATCTTTAGCAGTTTACATATACAGTGGTACCTCGGGTTAAGTACTTAATTCGTTCCGGAGGTCCGTTCTTAACCTGAAACTGTTCTTAACCTGAAGCACCACTTGAGCTAATGGGGCCTCCTGCTGCCGCCGCGCTGCTGGAGCACGATTTCTATTCTTATCCTGAAGCAAAGTTCTTAACCTGAAGAACTATTTCTGGGTTAGCGGAGTCTGTAACCTGAAGCGTATGTAACCTGAAGCGTATGTAACCTGAGGTACCACTGTATCATAATTTCTAACTTCACATTTTATCACTTACAAATAATACTATTTTAAAATACCCTATCTTCTACTTCTAACCCTACAGCCTATATCCACTTCCAAAGCTATTCCAAGGTTTAAATATTAACATATTTTTTCAAATATTCCTTAAACTTCTTCCAGTCTTCTTCCACCGCCTCTTCTCTCTGGTCTCAGTCTCCCGGTCAGTTCGGCAAGTTCCATATACTCCACCATCTTCATCTGCCATTCTTCAATAGTTGGTAAAGCTTGTTTCTTCCAATTCTTCGCTAACAATATTCTCGCAGCTGTTGTGGCATACAGAAAAAAAGTAACATCCTTTTTGGGGATTTTACCCCCCACTATACCAAGTAAAAAGGCTTCTGGTTTTTTAATAAATGTGTTTTTCAACACTTTTTCCAATTCATTATAAATCCTTTCCCAGAAGTCTTTTACCTTGGGACACATGGAAGGTGGTAGGTCTCCTGGCCCAGCATCTGCATTGTATCCCTCACTGAGGGCAAGGAAGGGAGTTCATGAGTGGAACCCGCTCTGGAGGCCTCTCTGGCTGCCATCTTTGATTTGTCTTGAGAGATCTACTGAGGGGAGCACCTACATCATGCCCAGCTCTGAAATGCCCTGTCTGGTTTCTCTGGAGATGGGCAGCCTTACCCCAAGTTCCTTAAGCGGCTGAATGAGGAAGTAGTTGGGGATCTAACCTGATGCTTCAATCAGGAATAAAGTGTGTGGGGTGGTTCAGCTCATCCTCATCTTCATCTTCGTCACCCCCTCATCCCAGCCACTCCTCTGAGGAGCCCTGGGAGGAAGTGCAGGCCATGATGAAGCCACATGATGGACAGCTTCTTAAAAAGCAGAGACATCACCTTGCCAGCAAAGGTCCATATAGTTAAAGCTATGGTTTTCCCCTGATGTATGGAAGTGAGAGCTGGACCATCAAGAAGGCTGATCGCTGAAGAATTGATGCTTTTGAATTATGGTGCTGGAGGAGACTCTTGAGAGTCCCATGGACTGCAAGAAGATCAAACCTATCCATTCTGAAGGAAATCAGCCCTGAGTGCTCACTGGAAGGACAGATCCTGAACCTGAAGCTGAGGCTCCAATACTTTGGCCACCTCATGAGAAAAGAAGACTCCCTGTAAAAGACCCTGATGCTGGGAAAGATGGAGGGCACAAGGAGAAGGGACGACAGAGGACGAGATGGTTGGACAGTGTTCTCAAAGCTACCAGCATGAGTTTGACCAAACTGCGGGAGGCAGTGGAAGACAGGAGTGCCTGGCGTGCTCTGGTCCATGGGGTCACAAAGAGTCGGACACGACTAAACGACTAAACAACAAAAATTCCCACAGAGTGAGGAAGAACCTCAAGGACCCTGGACATGAGTGAAGTAGGACCATTGCCCCCACATAGGAGCCAACTCCTAAGGGCCAAGGTCCCTTCAGCCCCCCAATAAAATATTTGAGCCCCCCTCCCCAAATGAGAATTGCCATTCAAATGGTATGTGTGTGCCGTGTCATGTGATCAGTTATGTGGGGCAAGGCTTACCTGCCGCCCCCATATTTTATTCAGGTTGGCATCTGTGGTCCCTCAGGCCAGGCCCAATAGCACAGGGGCCCACAACGTCTCTTTCCTTCAGGCAGAAAGGAAGAAGCAAAAGAGGTGGATCTGCACAGGCCTCCGAGTCCAAATTTGAGCCAGATAGGGAGAGGAGATGGCTGCCAGGTTATGAAACTTCTCTCTTTGTCCGTCTGTTATCTGACATCTGTCACATCTGTCTATCAAAGTTGACCTGTGGGTCAACTCCCTTCGAAGCAGCACCCAGCAGGATTGAGTCCTCTCCTCACTAGCTGATGAGCAATGGGTTCAATCCTGCTAGCTGCAGGGGTCTGCATCACAGCACATTTCCCACAGGGGAGAAAAAACCAACTGCACAAACAACATGGATAACCCCACATCCAGGTCATGCTCAGCCCTATATTTACACACGGGGAAATGGGAATGCCAAACTACTTCAAGCACACTGAATTTAAGTAGCTAGAATCAAAAATTTGAAAAATCGTTATCAGTGCAGAAATGTGGGTATGTTTCACCCGTTTCCTTGTTATGAGAGGTATTCAACTATGCTTTACTCACAGCAGACCTACGGAGATCAACAGGCCTAACTTAGTCATGTTCATTTATTTCAATGGGTCTACTTTGAGTAAAACCACCCTATATTTCTGCGTTTCCACCCCCTTCGTTCAGCCCAGACACTGAGATCCAGCTCCGAGGGCCTTCTGGCGGTTCCCTCACTGCAAGAAGTGGAGTTACAGGGAACCAGGCGGAGGGCCTTCTCGGTAGTGGCACCCACCCTGTGGAACGCCCTCCCACCAGATGTCAAGGAAATAAACAACTATCTGACTTTTAGAAGACATCTGAAGGCAACCCTGTTTAGGGAAGTTTTTAATGTCTGGTGTTTTATTGTGTTTTTAATATTCTGTTGGGAACCGCCCAGAGTGGCTGGGGAAACCCAGTCACATGGGCAGGGTATAAATAATAAATTGTTGTTGTTGTTAGCATTAAAAACAGGAAATCATTGCTTTAATTGGCTACTCAACAGATTCAGAGGTGTATTCAAAAACACAACAGAACACAACAGTGTTTGCGGTTCGACAAAACTCTGTCACATTTGTTATAACGGAGCTTGATTCTACATATATTCTTAAATTAAAAACACATTGCTTTACCTGGGCTCCTTTGGGAGGAAAAGGCAGGATAGAAAATTTAAAAACAACAAAAGATTTCTTAAAATTAAGATGCAGCACAAGAGATGGGAAACCTGCAGTTCTCCAGCTGTTGTTCAACTCCAACTCCCATAAGCCCCAACCAGCATGGCCAGTAGTCAGGGATGATGGGAGCTGCAGTCTAGGAACTTTGGGTGGGGGGCAAAGGTCAGCCACCCCCAATGTAAATAGTTTACACACCTGTTAATTTTGATTTCTGACCATTTTAAGTTGTGCAAAAAGTTTTCATGTACTCTCAGCAGGCCAATAAATTCAGCAGTCTTACAGGCCATTTTGCCAATTCAGAAATATAAGCAATTGTAGGAAAGTAAACTAGTTATGCTAGTGGGAGCCAGCATAATGAGTTCCACTGGTGCCATGGGGGTTTCCCTCCTCCCCACAAGCTCCATAAACAGCTCTGTGGGGGTCAGGAGAACCCCCAAAACAGCTCACAAGGGGCAGAGAGGGGATATTGCTCTATCAGAGGAAGCATCTCTGCTGACCTATGGAACAGTCTCCCTAGTGCAACTCTGAATTCCACCCCATGTTTCCATTAATTCAAAACATAAACATATTGGACAACCAAAATATTGTTTCAGCCGTGGAGCGTTTTATTGGGAGAAAACCTGTGACTACAAAACATTGTCAAGCTTGTCAATACATTTTAAGTTACAGTTCTTAAACATTATTTTAGATAGTGCGGATTTTACAAAATAAAACTTTTATTTACCCAGCTTTGTCTTCTAAGTCACAGGACAAAAACTCAATAAATAGGCAAGGCTACTTCAGCATTTTAATGTTTTATACGCTGCACATTTGTGAAATTACTGTATAGCTTTTAGATGTTATTACAACTTATTCTCCTGACTGTGAGAAATTTTGTACAAACTCTTAGTTAAAGCTTGCATATTAGTGAAATACCCAGCAATCTCATCACATGTGAAACTGTCCTAGCACAACGGTCTATGCTATCACACATTCAAAACAGTGCATCACTTTTTTCCTGGCCCTACAAATGTTGGCATTGGTTAGTGTCTTTAATTCAGTGTTAAGATACCCTTTTTTAAAAATAAAATAAAAAATGGGGCTTATAATCATTAATTTTCTTTCATTTTATTATTGTTCTTTTAGTGACATGATCTTCCAATATCTATGAATAAATCTATTCCCTTTATAATAAGTGAAACTAATTCTGGTGAATTTTTTTAAGGTAAGCCTATATTTAAAACACACACAAAATGCAGGGCACGATCCAGTCAGATATCCCACTATCTGGAGCTGATATGTTCACACTGAAACCATCACTAATGCTACCTATTGCCTAAATAAATTATCCAAACAATGTGGTTGTTTAATGTCTTGTTTTCCTTGTATCCGCCAGAACTCTGCTCATATTAGATCACAAAAATCATAGAATTGTAGAGTTGGAAGGGATCCTGAGGATCATCTAATCCACCCCCCTGCAAGGCAGGAATGTGCAGCTTTACTCACACAATGACACACATTGGTCAGGTGACACTTTCTGAATGCAGATATGCTCCAAATTGACATCAGTTGGGAATGTGCATTTTATTCCAACAAGTCCAAAGGTAAAGTAAAGGGACCATTATGTCCAGTCGTGACCGACTCTGGGGTTGAGGCGCTCATCTCGCTTTACTGGCCAGGTACAGCTTCCAGGTCATGTGGCCAGCATGACTAAGCTGCTCCGGCAAACCAGAGCAGCGCATGGAAACGCCGTTTACCTTCCCACCTGAGCGGTACCTATTTATCTACTTGTACTTTGATGTGCTTTTGAACTGCTAGGTTGGCAGGAGCAGGGACTGAACAACGGAAGCTCACCCCGTCACAGGGATTCAAACCGCCGACCTTCTGATCGGCAAGTCCTAGTACCAAACGAAAATTCCTGCAATAATTGACACTTTTTCTAAAGGGTAACTCACCCATTCACGTTATTTTCAGTTCCGTAAGCAGAGAACACCACAATGAAAACCACGTAACACAGGAGTCCATTGTGCTTCTTAGCGTAAGCGCTGTTTCGAACGCTTCGCTCAGCTCTGGCTAAGTTTCCGGGACGCTCTTCCCAGTTAGAGACGGCTCGGAGTCCAGAGGATAGGAGAAATATGGTCCCGACACCAAAAACCCAGAGGGCTGAGAGAGGCTGACGGAGTGGCCCATTTGCAAGCAGCCTGGCGTGTAAGGTGGAGGTGAAGGTGCCGCTGTACAGCTAGACTCTGGCCTGGCAAATGAAAACTTGCCGAGAGAGCCGGCCGTGCAACTTGAGCTGGCGGCAGAGCTAGATTGTCTCGATGGAGTCCTTAAGCTAGTGGAGGTCAAGATCATTGGCAAAGTCTCCATCTGGTAGCTTCGGAGAGAAAACCGGATCGGCTGTGGCAGCGTTTGCTTCGGCCTTAAACAAGTGCAGCAATAAACGGCGACAAAGGAGCCCACGAAAAGGAAGGCGAGGAATATTGATCCGACGATCAGGAATGGCACATAGACTGGTTCTGAGCGAGACAGGAAAAGTAAATTATGAACAGAATATAGCCAGGCTTTGTGCATTAGAAAATCATTGCTTTATATTCTTCCGTTTTCGGACAAAGGGCTTCACAAAGATGATGGCACAATAATCAGTCTTAATAGCATACCTGACACTAATTCTCTGGGTCACTCACTAATGGGTTGGAGCCAGACTAAATTAGTTCCACTTCGTTTCCAATCAAATCAATGGGACATAATTTAAGCTAAGATGAGCTTGTCCGATTGATTTTGATGATGCCTACATTCAACAAACTGAGTCTGGATCCAACCCCAGCTAAAATTATAACTGCAAGCATCTAAATTCTTCTTAGTCAGATCTCAACCAATTCCTGCACCAATCCATATTTTTTTCTGGTCAGCCTCCACTTTCTACACATGGAACAAAAATCTCACTGGACAAGTTAAAAAAAAAAAGTTTGCGATCAATGACTCCACCCTCTACTAGAATTCCCCAGTTAGTTCAAGCCACTCTAACCCTGTATTTCCATTCAGGGAACTTTCCTTACTTGAAAGTTGTTTGTTGTTAGAAGAGTAACTATTTCCAACAATATTTTTTCCACTTGGCATATCTGAGCCGTCTTTGCTACAAAATGCTTCCTTTTTCTTTGCTCCCCATTTCTTCTCCTTTCTGTTTAACTCTGAGAAAAACTTCTGTGAAATTCATAAGGCTATCTCACCGCTCGTGGTTATTATTTTTAGATGGTCCTAAGAAAAGTACTGCACTAGAGAACCCGGGATAATTCTCTTATTTTCAAGGGTGAAGGAAGTGCTTTTGGTTTCCAGCAATTTCTCCCTCCTTTATATGAAATGAACGTGTAAATTCCAAAAGTAGAAATGTCTTAAACCAAAACACTACAGCTCCAGAGCTCTAGAATGCCTTTTTATGAAGACACTGAAATAAAGATTTTGTTGCAAAGTTAAATCTGCAGGCCTGACCATTGCTGTGGGACTGGTGAATGGAGCTGCAAACCTAGGCACACTTTAACTTGGGAATAAGTCCCAACGAATTCATAGGAAGTCGGAGGAAAGTTGCCCCAAATTTGGCTGCAAATAATTTGCTGGCTGTATTTGCAAACTTCTTCAATTTTTTTACAAGATGCAGAAAACGGGGCAGCGGGTGCACTGACTCGACAGGGATCCTGACTCTGAAAAGGATAGTAGACCAATTCTGCTCTTTTGAATGTTAAGGTTACAGCCTTGTGCACAGTTATTTGTTATGGGGGCTTAGATCTGATGTCAATCTTTGTGATTTCAGTGGGGACTGTTCTATATTTTGTTTTTGTTTTGTGCTTGGGAGTTTCTTTTCAAACTAGGTGGGGCAATTGGGTTTTTTCCTACAAAACATCAACAATGTGCTTTGGGGGACATTTACAATAGGAAGAACATAAGGAGAGCCTGCAGGATCAGGCCAATGGGCCACCTAGTCCAGCATCCTGTTCTCACAGTTGCCTGTGGGAAACCAGCTAGTAGTATTCAGACACAAGACCCTCTTCCCTCCTGTGGTTTCCAGCAACTGACATTCACAACGTGACCTGAATATTTTCCTATTTAACCAGTGATCCAATTCTGAAGATCTAGGAAAACAAAAAGGAAAGATAAAAGTTGCAATAATATTGTATTGCATCTTCTTTTACTGCAGTATATTTGGGGTGGGCTTTAAAGGGATTCTGTTTTATTTTATTGAAGTTGCTTTCCTGGACTGGACAGCAGCAAAGTTTATGATGGGTTGAAGGTTTTCTAATCCAAGTACTGACTGCCCAAGATAGCAGCTTTGAAAGTAGTAAGTCCATACTACGTACCTGAGCAGAAAGGTAGTGATCTCTCTGTAATATGTTTGTGTCCCATGAAAGGGCTGCTTTCTACCCCTTTTTAAAAGTCTAGGGAGTCAGTAAAGTTCTCCCAGGCATCGCCCATGAGCTCTGCTATTTATCTGCGACTCTGATCCTCTCTCAGCGGATTAAAAGCATGAAATAGAAAGGGGGGAAATGCTTGTCAGACTTTATATTTTTGAGGATTTACCAAGCCCACCTGCTTGGCTGGTGAATAACATTTTGAGCGCAATCGTGTGCAAGTTTACTCAGAAGTCCCACTGTGTCCAATGGGGCATACTCCTCGGTAAATGCACACAGAATTGCAGCCTTTGTCCCTTAATAACTGGTGAAAATAGCAGTGCCACACATGACCCCACATCTGATTTGGGGCAGATCCTGACCTCCTAGGATAGGTAGCAAATGCCCTTCACTTCTAGACAGACTTAAAGACACCCCCACTTTAAAAAATAAAAAACTTTTACAATGAATTCAGCTAATTAAACAGTCCTAAAATTTTGTTAAAGAAAGAATAGCTAAGTGCCAAGGACTATGCAATGTAGCGGCTTTCTAAAACACCACAGTGAGCTTTTTGCTAGAAAAAGGCATCAGGGTTTTCTTAAGATTAAAGGTAACCCTGCAACAACTGCTAGAATGCGTTCCGGAAAGACAGGCGGATTTCAACGCTACCCAAACTCTCTTGGGAATAAAGTCCTGGGACTTCTGAGCAGCCACTCTCAGGGCTTGGCGTGAAAAATAAATTTAGCCCAGCAATTTTCCTTTCATCAAGGCATGTGGTGGGGACCCATACAGGAGGAATATTTAAGACTGCCAACCTGCGCCCACTTTCTTCGCACTAAGTTCCGCAGAAATTTATGCCCAAGGAAATACACACATAAGCTGCCTGCTCTCCCTGAAGGTGCTTGTGGTTCCACACAGCCTGAAGGGCAAAATCGAAACAGGCGGTTTGTAGTGGGATCCATAGGCGCCAGGGCAGGAGGGTTGGACTGTGAGGAGATACGACAGCCATCTTCCAATATCTAAACGGCTGCCCCATGTTTTCTCCTGCTTTGGATGCTACTAACCAACGACTTCAATTTACAAGAAAAGAGATTCCGACTAAACATTAATAGTAACTTTTGGACTGTATGAGCCGTTTGACAGGAGAACGGCCTCAAATCTTGGGAGATGATGGGCTCTCCTTCCTTGAAGGTTTTTAAGCCGAGGTTGGACGGCCACCTGTCATGGATGATCTGGTTGAAATTCTTGCATTGCAGAGGGCTGGACTAGAAAACCCTCGGGGGTCCCTTCCAACTCTGCGATCCTAACAGATCACATTGATTCCTGCCATCACAGAGGGTTCGACTAGATGACTCTCAGGATCCCTTCCAACCCTGCCTTTAGTTCTGCATTGCATGGAGGTGGACTAGATGATGATGATTCTTATTCTTATTCTTATTATTAAATTTTATTTATACCCCGCCCTCCCCAGCCAAGACCGGGCTCAGGGCGGCTAACACCAGGTATAAAACAATTAATTGAAATACAACTGAAAAACAAGATTAAAATACAACATTAAAATGATGACTCTTGGGATCCCTTCCAAGCCTGCATTTCTTCCTGCATTGCACGGGGTGGACTAGATGATGATGACGAGGATGCTGATGCTGATTATAATATTTTATTTATACCCCGCCCTCCCCAGCCAGGACCGGGCTCAGGGCAGCTAACACCAGGAAGAAAACAATTAGTTGAAATACAACTGAAAAACAAGATTAAAACACAACATTAAAATGATGACTCTCAGGATCCTTTCCAACTCTGCATTCAGTCCTGAATTGCACGGGGGTGGACTAGATGCGCCCCTTCCAACTCCGAGTCCGCGTTTCCACGCCACCGGGGACCCGCTTCTTTCCCCCGCAACCCAACCCCACTCCTCCCTCCCTCCCTCCTTCCCCGCCCGGCGGCTCCCGGCCGACACTCACGGGCGCTCCCGGCCGGCTGCTCCGCTTGCGCCGGGTCGTTGGTGCAGCCGCCCTGCTCGAGTCTCGCGCCGGCGTCGGCGCAGCAGTAGCGCAGGGCGCACGAGCCGCAGCAGATGGCGGCGTCGGGCGCGTCGAAGCGCTCGGGGCAGGCGAAGCCGGCCGAGTAGGCGCCGCGCGCGTCCAGCCAGCCGTGGCAGTACTCGCCGCCGCCCAGCGCCGCCGCCACCGCCGGGCCGCCGCCCCACCGCCCGGCCAGGCAGCAGCAGCAGCAGCCCAGCGCCAGGCAGCGCAGCCACGCGCCCGGGCCCATGGCCGACCCTCGGGCGACTCCCGCTGCCCGCCCCGAGGCGCCCCCTGAGGAGGGAGAAGGCGGGACGGCGCTCCAGGCCGCCGCCGCCGCCGGCCCCTCCCGCTCCTCCTCTCCCCGCCGAAGCCTCTGGGCCACCGGCGTCGAGGCTCCCCCTTCTTCGCGCCCTTCTCGGGGATGGTGGTTTTCGCCTTGCCCTCCGGGACCACGAGGGTCCTCTAGCCCAGTGGTTTCCAACCTTTTTGGGGGAGGGCCATGCCACACCTAAGCATCTCTAAAATCTTGATTGACACCCCCCCCACGTGACATAGAGTGCTTATTATTCAAAAAGTGAACTCCTGTTCATGTGGAGGAAGCCGAAAAAGCCATTAACTGTTGATAACTCATTCTGGAATTGCCCCCCTTAAAAATCAAATTGCCCCACGTTGGGAACCATGGCTCTAGCCAAACCCATTCTATGCTGTTATTATGATGGTGGTTACATATACAGTGGTACCTCAGGTTACATACGCTTCAGGTTACAGACGCTTCAGGCATAGCTGTCAAGTGTCCCTTATTTGAAGGGACAGTCCCTTATTCCAGAGCCATGTCCCGCTGCTGTCCCTTATTGATGGATGTCCCTTAAATGTCCCTTAAATGATGTCCCTTAAATTTCAAAGGAAGCAGCTCCTCTCCCTCCCTCCCTGCCAGTCAGGGAGGAGGGAGGCTCCAACTGTGTTGCTTGGTTGTGTTGCTCACCCAATAAGAAGTCTAAGAACGACTGGGGGGTGGAGCTTGCATGCCTTGTGTGTGGCTAGTTAATGCAAGCTGAGGGGGTTTTTGAATGCTGGGCGCCATTTTGTTGCACGTGCTGCTGCAAACTTTGCAGTGCAAAGCCAGGCTGGGGAGCCATCTTAAGTTGAGGCTGCATAGGCCTTGTGGTGCATGTGATTCAGATTCTATTCAGTTGAACCTCTGCTTACAAAGTTGGTTCGACAGTGTTCTCAAAGCTACCAGCATGAGTTTGACCAGACTTCAGGAGGTCAGGAAGACTGGAGTGCCTGGAACAGGTGAGGCTGCAGGTCCCTTATTTTGGCTGCTGGTCCCTTATTTTCAAGGCTGCTGGTCCCTTATTTTCAAATCTGTAAGTTGACAGCTATGGCTTCAGGTTGCAGACTCCGCTAACTCAGAAACAGTACCTCGGGTTAAGAACTTTGCTTCAGGATGAGAACAGAAATCGTGCGGCAGCGGCGGGAGGCCCCATTAGCTAAAGTGGTACCTCAGGTTTCAGGTTAAGAACAGACCTCCGGAACTAATTAAGTACTTAACCCAAGGTACCACTGTATTATATACCCCGCCTTTTTCCTTGACAGGCTCAAGGCGGCTTACTAATTATTAAGAGAAAAGAGAACCGCTAACGACATGGAATGATAACTTGAGGGTGTAATCGCAATAAGTAAATGTCATTCTTTCCATCCAGCCTTTTAAGCAGACCCAAGCATGTGAGAGCAGCAAGAAGGCCCATGGAGCCACCTGTTTCCCTTTCCCAAATAGGCGTTGAGGGCAGTGCAAGGGGGTGCAAAATACCGTATTTTTCGTTCCATAGGACGCTCCGTCCCATAGGACGCACCTACTTTTTTGGGGGGGAAATAAAGGAAAATTTTTTTTCCTTTATTTCCCCCAAAACTCAGGTCGGGGAACAGTGGGATGGCGGCGCTGCGCCTCCCCGTTGTCCCCCGAGCTTGTGGGGCTGGCCGATGTCTGCCCGGCGTGAGGGGCGCTCTGCTTCAGGGCGCCCCACGCGCCGGGTGGCAGGCTGCAGACACCTGCACGAAGCACAGGACGTCCTCCGAGGGCGCCCCGTGCTCCGCGCTGCAGGCTGCCGCCCGCAAGCCGTGCGCGCCCAGGGGGGATCTCCCCCCGGGCGCGCAAGGCTTGCAGACACCTGCACGAGCACGGGGCGTCCTCCGGAGGGCGCCCCGTGCTCCGCGCTGCAGAGCTGCCGCCCGCAAGCCTTGCGCTCCCGGGAGATCCCTGGGTGCGCAAGGCTTGCGGACACCTGCGCGAGGCACGGGACGTCCTCCGAGGGCGCCCCGTGCTCCGCGCTGCAGGCTGCCGCCCGCAAGCCTTGCGCTCCCAGGGGAGATCCCGGGTGCGCAAGGCTTGCCGACACCTGCGCTGAGCACGGGCGTCCTCCGAGGGCGCCCTGTGCTCCGCGCTGCAGGCTGCCGCCCGCAGGCCGGGCGCGCCCAGGGGATCTCCCCTGGGCGCGCAAGGCTGCGGACACCTGCATGCGAGCACGGGGCATCCTCCGGAGGGCGCCCCGTGCTCCGTGCTGCAGGCTGCTGCCCGCAAGCCTTGAGTGCCCAGGGAACTCCCCGGGTGCGCAAGGCTTGCAGATCAGATCCTGGAGCCTGAAGAGCGAGAGGTGTCGGTGCGCACCGACACCTCTCGCTCTCAGAGCTCAGCGCAGCCTGCATTCGCTCCATGGGACGCTACACACATTTCCCCTTCATTTTTGGAGGGGAAAAAGTGCGTCCTATGGAGCGAAAAATACGGTAATAATAATTAACAACAATAAATAAATAAACAAGGAATTGTCCCTATTGCCTAGGGGCAGTCCCAGATTTATTTGTTCCAGTTGTGGCAGAAGATGATAATAAATTTAAAAGTTTCCACCACGTGTGGTGAGTTATCCTGGACATCCTTAAATTTTTAATGTTTCTCCTTTTCTTCTTCTTGGGCTCTGATTCCGCCCCCCCCCGGTGATTTGTTGGTATGTGATGAGTCCCAGATTTACGTAACCTCCAGCATGAAAATAGGGATGTCCTATTCCATCATCATCATCACCATACATTTATTATTTATATCCCTGCCCATCTGGCTTGGTTGCCCCAGCCACCCTGGGTGGCTCACAACATACCGTACATAAAAGCATAATAAAACATTTAAAGAACTTCCCAATATAGGGCTGCCTTCCTGTCTTCTAAAGGTTTTATAGGTTACTTAACTGCTTGGCTTGGGGGGTCACATAACTCCATACCCTCCAACAGTTCACCAATGAAAATAGGGACATCTGATGGAAAAGTGGGGCATTCTGGGATCAAATCAGAAACCGGTATGTCTTCTGTAAATCTGGTACTGTTTCTGGGTAATAGGGACACTTGGAGGGTCTGTAATAATGACAATGGTGCCCACCTGATGCCCACTTGAGATGTGCTAGAACTGAGTTCCCATGAGTTCCAGCTTGGAAAAAAAGTCTTGCTACCTACATAGAAAACTGTAACTGAGGGTGTAATCGTTGTAAGTAAATGCAATTCTTTCCAGCAAGCCTTTAAGCAGGCCCAAGTGTGTGAGAGCTGTAACCAGGCCCACAGAGCCACTTGCTTCCCTGACCCAAACATGCCTTTAGGGCAGTGCGAGGGGGCGCAGAATAATAATAATTAATAAAAACAGAATTGTCGCGAAAACAATAAAGCGGTGGGTTTTGTCCTCGCTCAGGGCACCTGCCATGCGTCCCTCACACTGAAACACCTGTGTCAGACCTGCCTAGAGGTACCTCATCCAAAACTGTTTTTGTAGCCATTTCTTTAAAAGTTTGGTACAGCCAAAATGGGATGAAAATGTTTAAACAGGTATGATTAAAGGAGGGGGCAGAATTATAAGATCCAATTTTGCCTGCAAAAGGTCCCCTTGCAAAACATGTCCATAGACCAAGGAGCGGGGATTGGCATGTCCACAGTATGTATGCATGCACAGTACAAACATTCATTAGCTTGTTTGCAATGTGTGAAACAATTCATAGAATCATATGTAGAGTTGGAAGGGACCCAAGGGTCATCTAGTCCGACCCCCTGCAAGGCAGGAATCTCAGCTAAAGCTTCCATGACAGATAGCCATCCAACCTCTGCTTAAAAACCTCAAAGGAAGGAGGCCCAAGACCCCAGGGGGAGAAATCCTAGCCAGAAGTCCATCAAAAACAAGTGGCCATTGTGGTATCAAGCTGTTTGTTCAATGACATATCTTACGATCCTTTTTTCTTATTTATTTTTTAACAGTGTCGGAAGACTCATGCATTCCCTTCCCACTTGGAACCGAATCCATGGTTGCATTTGGCTTCTGAAATCTATGCAGACTGAGCCAACACTTTTTTTTTACAAAAAAAAAGTGGTCTGAAAGACTAGAAACTTGCTTTAATAAAATTAATCTGCTAAACATGACACTTCATGAGCCTGGTATTGCACAACAAACCCAGCAGGTTATGGAATGCATACAGCTTCAAGCATGACAGGCCATAAAGGTAAATATTTAGGAAAGCCTATTTCTGTATGTTCCAGATAAATTGTGAATCAAGTCAAAAAGTGCCTAGGATGCTTATCACACAGTGGGAACCCTTGGATGAAAGCTGTCAGTGGTATCTGACAAGCTAAGCTGTCTTCCTCCTGACAAAGTTGATGTTCTATTTACCTCAGTAAAAAGATGGAGTTAATTCTGAATGCCTGCCTGGTCTCTCTTCAGCTTTCTGTTGAGAAGAGGGGAGTAGAATAAGAAAAAAGAAAATATGCATATATTAGGAACTGGAGCAATGCAGACATTGTGGGGCCAACAATTAATTGCAATGGACAATCTCCCATTCTGCCCTTTCTCTACTTGTTCTCCAGTGCCTAAAACAAATCTATAGGACAGTTAGAAAGGGCAAGATGAGTAACTGAAACTTAATGATAATGCTAGTGTTTATAGGTATACAACAACCCACTGTCAAGATTAGTCTGTGGAAACAGACTCTTGCATAAAGGTTCTTTGCAAATCTGGGAAAGTAAATGAGGTAATGATTAAAAGAAATGATTGGGGGAGGCAGGGGGATAAGGGGAAAAGCAAAAAGGAGATGCAAGCAGGAATGTATTAATGCAAATTAACCTATTATATTTTGTAAGTCTAAGAGAGAACATCTTGTCCAATTTCAGTTTTGTTTTGTCTTTCTTCCCTGATTTGGTCAATAATAGGTTTGCAATTATGACGGGGAATGTCCCAGTTGATTACTTTGGCTTCTTCTATATTTTCACTTTTAGAAATTAAATAGATTGGCATTATAATGTCATTCAGGTATTACTAATGATATTCATACTAATACCAGTAATTAGTATGCCACACATACTAATACAGATAATTAACAAAATGCAGCTTTTGTGATAAAAGTCCAGTTGCCTGGATTCTCTTTTTAGCTTTGTATTTTCCAATAACTTAGGAGATCTCATAAGCATATTTCATCTCTCCCATCCCCCAAAAAGAGAATTTTATTGGAGTTTGAGCTTGGTGATTTGCTTTGACAAATAATGGAAAGGGGAAACACCCTTTTATGAGTTACAACATACATACATAAAAATACATGCATACAATCAAATCCAGCCTGAAAATTGCTCAGAAACCAAGAGTTAGAGCTGTTCTGTGTTTCCAATATGTTTTCTGTCTCCTGTTTGGCTGTCCTGAGTAATTGTCACATACAGCTGTCATACAAAGAGCAGTGTTGTTAACTGGGCAGGTTCCCAGTCACTTCCTATTTGCAATGCTCTGATGCTTACATTGCTATGCACTCTTGTCACAGTATTTCTTCTGTCATTGCATCTCCATAGATAAGCCTTTTGTAATAATGACTTAAGGGCTATTTGTCTCTTTCCAAGGCTCAGGCCTAGTGATCCTGTTAAACCATTGAGAAGAGTATTGCAATATTAACAAAGCAAAGTATGACATATTTGAATTGGCCGATTTCCCCGTTCCATGCATTTTTAAAACAAGACATCTTTCCCACTTCTGCCAGCAACTCTGTCAGTCCATTTTAAGGCACGTTGAGTCAACGGCGAATTGTTTTGTCATTTTATATGGATGTCCACCCCACGCCAAAGACTCAGATAGGGAACAAAGGAAAACAATGAAGTTCCATCACATTCACTGAAAATTCACCAGCCCGCACAAGTAGGTCTTGTAAGACTTCCCAACGGTGCTTAAGCCTGTATTTCGGCAGGTCTGTAGCGGGACGGCCTTGTTGTCTGAACCTGATGCACACCAATGTATTGGTACAGAATGCTCCGAACAAAAAGACCCCTTGATTTGCAAGTTAATCGAGTGGGAACTGAGCATTTTGGAAAAGGCAAAGTAAGGTTGGGAAATCCTCTAAGAAGAGGGGTTGGTTTAATAAACTATATCACCCTCAGCATAACCAAGCACTGTGTCCAGTGTTGGCATTATTATGCAGCCTGGATGATGCTACATCTAAGTTGTTACCTCCTGCAAGCATCCTCTAGTCACAGCGGTTCTCAACCTGTGGGTCCCCAGATGTTGTTGGACTACAACTCCCATCATCCCTGAGCTCTGGCCTTGCTAGCTAGGGGTGATGGGAGTTGTAGTTCAACAACATCTGTGGACCCACAGGTTGAGAAAGGCTGCTAGTGCTTCCACACTTCTTGGAAAGAACTTGTCTGCCTTGAACATGTATGTGTGGAGCAGAATAGGAGTATTCTGAGCATCAGGTAGAGTTGGGGTGAATACAGAGATGTGAGGACTGGGGAAAGCTACTTTCCCTCCTGTTCCCTGACCCAACAACATTCTAGAATTAATAAAGAACTAATGGACATACCAAGAAATCTGGGTCACCTGCGTCTCCACTATACATTCTTGAGAAAAGGAGCAATAAGAGGACACTAGAGAAAAGAAAAATAAAGACAGCTATTATTGCCTGTTGAGTAGTTTTAGACTTTGTATTTAAGGGGTCACCCTCTTTAGATGGTGTGTATGACTCCACTTCCTTCAAAATGTGCTACGCCACCCTTGCAGCGTTTAGTAACTCCTCATTCTGCTGAGCTGGGATCTGGACTTCTGCCCGAAAGCTCTACTCAAATGGTACCACAGGTTTCCAAGGGATTCCTCTGTTGCCTGCTGTCCCATGCTCCTTCCCCAGAATAAGGCTTTTGTGGCTGGGGAAGGACACTAGCAGGAAATGGGAAGCACTGGCCAAGGAGCGTGTTGTAAATGTTCATACTGAACAATTTTACTGCCTTATGGTTGCTTTGAAGAAGGCATGGTGAACCGAGCCTCTGCTACCTCTCCCCCCAATGGGCTATTGGCAGATTCCAAGACCACGGCTACTGTTTTCTTCATGTACCCCTCTTGCTTCTGGGATGGCAACTGTGGGGCAGAGCTGTCTCTCTCAAGGGCCACTGGTGACTGATCATTGTTTGGAGTGTGGAATAATTCCTTCTGGAAACGTTTCAGAGTCTGTTCTGAAGGCTGGTTTGGGAAACCTGTGAACTTAACCTGGTTCACACTTTCTGAAACAATACATGAGATACAGCCAAGTAATGTATGCAAAACATTTCTGCTCAGCAGAAATTCCTATGATGCTCTTCACACGTCTTCAGCACCCACATCCAGTTAGAAGCACAGGAATTCCTTGTGAGTTAATAGCCTTGTATTTTCAATATCTTTGTGAGCGGCAAATTGTTTGGCAAGCTAATCCCCAGGAGGCAGTGGTCCACACAGAGCAAAGCATTAAGGTCCTTCTCACTGGTAGATGCCCTGGCTTGATATAGGCAGTGCCATTATTGGAGAAAGTGACTTTCTCTTTAAGGAGGTCACTTCCCAGCAAAATAGTCTCTTACCTTTTCTGGCATCCTTTGGCCAGGTTTGGCCCTCTGGAGACACTTTTATCTGTTTTTGGGTGGACTGACTAGGTTTCAATAAAGATGTAGTTAGAAGCCTCTTCTAGCCTCCAAATCGCCTTCTGGAGAATAGGCTGGTCCCTGGGAATATTATCTTTGCTGTTATATCTGTTAGTAAAATAGTTTCAGTAAACCGCTTAGAAGTTTTACTCTTTAAGCAGCATACGAATTATGTCAAATAACAATGTATTGTTTTAGTAAAAATAATATAAATATTCAGATCATGCTTTGAAATATACCCACAAATGTTCTTATTACCAGGACTCATATATGTGTACCTTATTTCCTGGTGATAATATATGTTCTATATGAAACGTTTCTCGTAATCTCTTTAAGATTACAGCAGATGTGTCACTTTACTTTCTAACCGAGGTGCACAGAGAATGAAGCTAAGGAGGACTGGCAAGTCTGTTCTTGTGGCCCCTTTGATCCTTTTTTCTCCTAGAAAAAATCTTGGGAAAAACCAAGCGCTAAGAAGAATCACAGCGAAAATGTCCCATTCCTCTCTCTAATTGTAAAATGCATGTATATATTAATTAGAGCAAGAAGAATGAAACTTGCCAAAGGCTGATGCAGATTTCAGCACCTTTGGTAATTTATCACTGAACTCCACTGGATGGTTTTAGTCCCTGTGTGCTGTGTTTTTTAAAACCCTGTCTGGGGGAACAGGGGCAAATGCATTTTATTTTCATTTCCTCTTAAATCTCCTCCCGTCATTTCACGGTGGGAATATGGGTGTGGATCTCTCCATCTGACCACTTGTCAAACATTTCAGACGCCTGTGTCGCTAATTTGAACCACCAGCAGGTTAAGGGAAACAAAAAAGAACAAAGTGTGCTGTGTACCAGCGATAAAACTCTCTAGACCAGCAGCATGTTTGTCAAAAAAAAAAGTTCGGCTGTTTCTCAAGCTCCTTGCAATGCGAGGGCTACTTTCTCTCTCCATCCTGCGTCATCATAGAAATAAGGAAAAGTTTGCTTTTCTCCTCAAATGTTGGTTTTTGTTTTGTTTTGTTTGCAGCTGATAAAGAGCTGTTCTAATTCTTCTTGCCATCGCTTTTCCTTTACAAAGATAAGCATACGATGGGTTTCTAACCCACAAATAGCCTGGACAAAAAGGCAGTCTTATGATAATGAAAGTCTAATTCATTCCTGACCCTTTTAGCATGAGTTGAGGTGGTTGTATAGAAGCCCCACCGTGAGAAATTTTGCTAGGGCGAATGAATCTTTTTTTGCATCTGAAATTCTGCCCATGCTTTTTCGAATGCCAGTGGAGGAATATCAAGTTGCCCTGAAATTTCACTTCAAGTGAAACTGGAAGGAAAACGGTATTGTCAAAAATGAATGCAAATTGGTATTTAAGGTTCTGCTGTAGTAAAACAAAGACACATCAATCCCTGGCAGAAATGGATGAGTAATTGTCTGCTGATTTGGGCAGCTGGGTCAAGAATTATAGACCAAGCAAGACATTGCCACTTCTTGGGCCAACTGCTCTTTCATGTTAGTGCAGGCAAACTTTGGGGTTATGCAGAGCTCTTCCTCTTCATTGCTTTCTCCAGCTCTTCTTGGGAATCCAGGTAGTACAATGGCTAAGAACGAGAGCTGTTACTGAGCCTAAAAGCCTTCCATTCAAATCTTACTTCAGCCACAAACATCTTTCTGCATCAGTCCCACGGCTGCAATACTTAGACACTGGCCTACCTTATCAGGTTGTTCTAAGACAGGGCTCCTCAACCTTTTTGGGCCCGGAAACATTTGCAAATTTCTTTTAATTAACAGAATTTGTGCACCTCTAAGCCTCTAAACGGTTAACAAAAGAATTTAAAAATAGATTAAAATAGTCAAAAACCGACACTAAAAATAGGTTTATAAAAAGGCAAAAGAATAAAATCAAAAGTATACGTGATAAGCTAAAATTACAGATTAAAGTATACATCAACTTTACATGTCAGGTTAAACTTTTGTGGGCACTGCAAAATACCCATTTCACATAAGAAAAACTGCTGATGCTCAAGACTCCTCCCCCTACAAACAGGCAAAACACCGACACACCCCAAAACTAATAAAACAGACCAAAGAAAGTCAACCCAGCTGCCAAACAATCCCTGCAAAGCTGTTATTCATTCATTTTAAAGATAAAATATGGTAGAGGCAGGGTGCCTGAGGGTGCCACATTGGTGACTGCAGGAGTAAGGGAATAATGATACAAATCAAGTTAAGCACCTTTCAATTTCATTGATTTCAGCTAAAAAAAGTAAGCGCATGCTGTATCACATATAAATAAATATATTTTATTTATATCCTGCCCTCCCCAGCTGAAGCTGGGCTCAGAGCAGCTAACAACAGTAAAAATAACTCAGTTTACATAAAATCACAATCAATTAATTGAAATACATTCTAAAACCAATTCATTCCAAAATCAATTCAGAGTCAAATTAATGGCATACATGCTTTTGGCCTGATCATATCCACATATTATACGTAGCATTTAAGAACTATGTAAATGCTAAGTATTATTCCGCATTTGGCTTAAATAGCAAAAATAAAAGCTCTGCCAACTGATGAACCTAAGAGTCGGCCCCATTGAACACAGCAGGATTTAACTCTGAAACAAACGTAGATAGGATTCTGCTGCGTATGTTGCAGGGCTGCATTTGCTGCGTTTTAGGAGGTTGTTTGAAACTTTGAAACTCCTGCGTTAAAATTTGTGCAGGCCCCAACAATCGCCTTCATTACTACAGTGCTAAAGTGGCTTGGACTGATCTGTTGATTATTATCAATGATGACAGAAAGGTCTGCTGCAAAGTTGCTAAGAATTGCAGTTTTGGTGTGACACTCTCGGTGAGTTTAAGGCATTGTGGTGCATCCATATATCCACGGTGAGGAATGGGGCTGACCTCACTGGTGACAATGGCATCCCATACACAAACCATATGAAATCAAGAAGTCGCCTGATAAGTGGGCAGGTATTTGTGGATCCAATGTTAGGCTAGCCATTGGAATGTCTTCATGGGCTAGACTAAAAGCCTTTAAGCCACAAAGCAGCCACAGTGATTCTAATGACTGCCCTCATGAATGGGGCGAGAATAGGCTTTAGACTCCCAGCTCAGGACACAGGCTCATTTGACTGCCAAAAAAACAGCTGGGGAGGCTTAGGCACTCCCAGCAAAAGAAGCTGGCCGGGTGCGAGCTAACCAATGAGCCTGTTCTTCTCTGCAGCTCTGAAAGCATGGGGCAGCCAATTCAAACCCCAGTCACTTTTCCAATAATAAATTGCTTGTTACAAAAGTTGGGTGCCTTCCCCAATCTCTGCAAGATTCCTGGGGGTTCCAGGCACTCACCCCGGACTTGTGTTACTTTGGAGAATTGAGGCACAGCAGAGACTGTTGTAGCTTTAAGAAAGATGGTTTATTCCCCTATTTACACCTTCAGTTTGCATGGAAGGAGTCCAAATCTTACAGCATGGCTCTTTCAAGAGCGCCTTGTACCCCCACAGCAGTGCAGCCAGCCTTCAGCTAGCCTGCCCAAGATGATGGCAATGGTGATTATATTTATACCCCACCCATCTGGCTGCGTTTCCCCAGCCACTCCAGGTGGATCCCAGCAGAATAGTAAAGACAGGATTGTTATGTTGAGAGTGAACATATCAGACGACAGAGTGGTTCTTCAAACAGCTCTTCTTTACTCACAGGCCAGAACAGAACTGAACTGAAGGGTTCAGCCAGCCTGCTTATATAGAGCTCCACTACAACACAACTGTAACAACTTTCTGTAACTATCCAATCACTGAATGTCACTTTCAATCCCTTATTTGCATATGTGGACATCTACAGTATCCCCCTGCTGGCCCAGGGTGAGAACTTCAGTACATAACAAGGATAAAACATCAAACACTAAAAACTTCCCTAAACAGATGTCTTCTAAAAGTCAGATAGTTGTTTATTTCCTTGACATCTGAAGGGAGGGCATTCCACATGGCGGGTGCCACTACCGAGAAGGCCCTCTGCCTGGTTCCCTGTAGCTTCACTTCTTGCAGTGAGGGAACCGCCAGAAACCCTCAGAGGAGGACCTCAATGTCCGGGCTGAGCGATGGGGGTGGAGATGCTCCTTTAGATATACTGGTCCGAGGCCGTTTAGGGCGTTCAGCACCAACACTTTGAATTGTGCTCGGAAACGTACTGGGAGCCAATGAATATCCATTAGGTCTAGGACATGTTAAATCAGAGGTCAGCAAACTTTTTTAGAAGAGGGCCAGTCCACTGTCTCTCAGACCTTGTGGGGGGCCGGATTATATTGGGGGGGGGGGATGAACGAATTCCTATGCCCCACAAATAACCCAGAGATGCATTTTAAATAAAAGGACACATTCTACTCATGTAAAAACACACTGATTCCTGAACCGTCCGTGGGCCAGATTTAGAAGGCGACAGGGCCGGATCCGGTCCCCAGACCTTAGTTTGCCTACCCATGTGTTAAATGGTCCCGGCAGTCACTCCCTTTCACCAATCTAGCTGCCGCATTCTGGATTAGTTGTAGTTTCCGCGTCACCTTCAAAGGTAGCCCCACGTAGGGCACTTCTCCTCTTCCCCAAACCCCTTGCTACCAGACTCCCTTTTCCTGTCACCTCACAACCCCCCAATCTTCCAAACCCCCCTGCCTCTGTTCACACCTCAAGGCAGAGGGCAAAGGACAGTTCTCTTGCATTGCCAGCGGCTCTCAATGGTCTTGTATTGTTTCTTAACGGCCCTGGCTTGGCAAGGTCATTTTGCATAAGCTAGCCCAGGGAATCCTACAGCTTGTATCTCTCCCTTCACATCCCAAATGATCAAAATCCTACCAGTTATTAATTTCTAGGGGTTTGGGGGTGTATCCCACAAATCTATAACAAGACTTACTGAAACGAAGTGACTAGTTCCCAAGACATAAAGGTAAAGGGCGCCCTGACCATTAGGTCCTGTCATGACCGACTCTGGGGTTGTGGCGCTCATCGTGCTTTATTGGCTGACAGAGCCGGCGTACAGCTTCCAGGCCATGTGGTCAGCATGACAAAGCCGCTTCTGGCAAACCAGAGCAGCGCACGGAAACGCCTTTACCTTCCCACCGGAGCGGTACCTATTTATCTACTTGCAGTTTGACGTGCTTTCAAACTGCTAGGTTGGCAGGAGCAGGGACCGAGCAATGGGAGCTCACCCTGTCGCAGGGATTCGAACTGCCGACCTTCTGATCGGCAAGTCCTAGGCTCTGTGGTTTAACCCACAGCGCCACCCGCATCCCTAGTTCCTGCGATATACAGAGGGACAAAACTGCTTGTTTGAAAAGTGTCTTAACCTAATGAGCTGATCGTGCCTTTGGTTAAACTCACTTGCATGGAGTGTGTGTCTGTGTGTGCTTGTGACACTATGCAGTGGGAAGCCATCCTTTTCTGCTATGTGCATGACCATGGGTATAGCTGGGGAGGGGCAACTGCCCCCCCCCTAAAGTAAAACAATAGAAATACTTAACTAACTGACCAATCACATCGGTTCTGCCCCCTCTAACAAAAGTCCTGCACCCCCCCCCAACAAAAATCCTGGCTATACCCATGTGCCATGAAGATCATGGCCACTGGTCCCATCACCTCCTGGCAAATAGAAGGGGAAGAAATGGAGGCAGTGAGAGATTTTACTTTCTTGGGCTCCATGATCACTGCAGATGGTGACAGCAGTCACGAAATTAAAAGACACCTGCTCCTTGGGAGAAAGGCGATGGCAAACCTAGACAGCATCTTAAAAAGCAGAGACATCACCTTGCCAACAAAGGTCCGTAGAGTTAAAGCTATGGTTTTCCCAGTAGTGATGTATGGAAGTGAGAGCTGGACCATCAAGAAGGCTGATCGCCGAAGAATTGATGCTTTTGAATTATGGTGCTGGAGGAGACTCTTGAGAGTCCCATGGACTGCAATAAGATCAAACGTATCCATTCTTAAGGAAATCAGCCCTGAGTGCTCACTGGAAGGACAGATCGTGAAGTTGAGGCTCCAATACTTTGGCCACCTCATGAGAAGAGAAGACTCCGTGGAAAAGACCCTGATGTTGGGAAAGATGGAGGGCACAAGGAGAAGGGGACGACAGAGGACGAGATGGTTGGACAGGGTTCTTGAAGCGACAAACATGAGTCTGACCAAGCTGCGGGAGGCACTGGAAGACAGGAGTGCCTGGCATGCTCTGGTCCATGGGGTCACGAAGAGTCGGACACGACTAAACGACTAAACAAGAACAACAACATACCCATGTGCATGACCCATGGCAAGCCTTAACCTCACCCACTCCCTTCTCCTAGGTGACACTGGATGGCTGATCTGATTCTAATGGACGTTATGCACACACCCAGATCTGCTTCCTTCCTTCTTTTGGGGGGATAGTTTATCATAAAAGAGGCCACCAAGCTCTTCCTCTGCACCAGCCATGAGCAAGCTTTTAGTTTACACCTTCCCTGACCCCCTCTTCCTTTACTATGTGACTGAGAAAGAAACTGGAGGCACACACTTCTTTTTAAAAATAATAATGCTTTATTATTCATTTTCCATATATATACACAACACGTAGTCATCTTCATTTTGATCAATCCAGTAATAATATCACAAGAGACACATACAGTTTCAACTATGTGCTTTCTACATGAATCTATGACTTCCCACCGTCTCCATGTTTCCTTTATATTAAACATCTTGCTTTACTTAGTTTTACTTATAGTTTAAAGTCAGTCGCCGCCATGGGTGTAGCCAGGTGTTTTAGGGGGGCAGAATATTAGTTAACAATGTATTTTTATTGATGATTGGGGGGAGCAGCTGCTACACACTACCCGCTACACACACGATCACCGCTTCTTGTTATAGTTTAAAATCTAGCACAGTCGTACCTTGCAAGTCGAATGGAATCCGTTCCGGAAGTCCGTTCGACTTCCAAAACGTTCAGAAACAAAAGCATGGCTTCTGATTGGCTGTAGGAAGCTCCTGCAGCCATTCGGAAGCCCCATTGGACATTCGGCTTCCAAAAATAGTTCATAAATTAGAACAGTCACTTCCAGATTTGCCATGTTTGGGAGCCAAAATGTTTGAGAACTAACCAGTTCGAAAACCAAGGTACAGCTGTAGTTCGAACTAGCCAGGATCAGATTGTGCTTTAGAAAGTTGGCTTGGTTATGACTAAGAGTTTCAGCGAACCGATGGTCCCCGAGTTGTTGTTTTTCTTCCATTAGGGAGCTCTTTAAATGCAACAGGATTCTAGTTTAGAAGTAAGGAAGCTAGTAAAAGTAATTGGATATTGCCATCCAGTGCTCAGTTTGTGTCATTGCAACTAATGCTTAATAAAAGATTGGTAAGGTGATTTCCATACCACAATGGTGCCTCTGAGGGCTCAGCCGCACTCCTGCTTTCCCAGTGCCTAGAAAGCACAATTCCAAGTGGTTTTTTGTTCATCCGGTGCTTTCTAGGCACAGATGTGAGCAGTTTGCCCCTCCGCTTTCCCCTGGAAAACCCACCCTTTAGCTATAAACTGGAGCAAACATCAGTGTGGAGAAAATATTATTGATGTTTGCGCTGATTCTGCAGTAAACAGCGGGTTTTCAGGGGGGGTATAGGGCAAGCAGAAGCATGGATGAACCTAGTCAATGCCAAATTTGGGTTCTGTGCAGCACATAATTTATTTCCCTAAAGCATTTTTCCAGCTAATTGTATTACATAAAACTCATAAAAGCAAGAGAGTCCATAAAGGTAAAGGGACCCCGACCATTAGGTCCAGTCATGACCGACTCTAGGGTTGCGGCGCTCATCTCGCTTTACTGGCCAGGTACAGCTTCCAGGTCATGTGGCCAGCATGACTAAGCTGCTCCGGCGAACCAGAGCAGCGCACGGAAACGCCGTTTACCTTCCCGCTGGAGCGGTACCTATTTATCTACTTGCACTTTGACGTGCTTTCAAACTGCTAGGTTGGCAGGAGCAGGGACCGAGCAACGGGAGCTCATCCCGTCACGGGGATTCGAACCGCCAACCTTCTGATTGGCAAGTCCTAGGCTCTGTGGTCCTAGGCTCAAGAGAGTTCTTACCTATAGGCTTATAACCTAAAGGATGTGGCAGAAAAGGAAGAAGGTGTGAGGATAGAGGAGGAAAAGGAGGAAACACAGGCAGCATATTAAAAAGTGATATAGTATTTCTTATAATGGCCGGTGGGAATGGAGAGTGTTTAGGGAGAGGAGGAACCAAATACAGCGGTACCTCAGGTTAAGTACTTAATTCGTTCCAGAGGTCCGTACTTAACCTGAAACTGTTCTTAACCTGAAGCACCACTTTAGCTAATGGGGCCTCCTGCTGCTGCTGCACCGCCGGAGCACGATTCCTGTTCTCATCCTGAAGCAAAGTTCTTAACCTGAGGTAATATTTCTGGGTTAGCGGAGTCTGTAACCTGAAGCATATGTAACCCAAGGTACCACTGTACAGGTGATCTCTGAGCTGAGCAGATGGAAGTAAATGTGCCCCTAAAGGACCAGGTGTGCAGCCTGGGAGTCATTTTGGACTCATGGCTGTCCATGGCGGCACAGGTGAATTCTGTATCCAGGGTACAACAGCTGAATCCCTGCTTGACTGCACTCTGTCTCACCAGAGTGGTACATGATGTGGTTATCTCTTGTTTGAACTACTGAAATGTGTTCTATGTGAAGCTACCTTTGAAGGTGACTCAGAAACTACAACTAATCCAGAACGCAGACTGATGACTGGGAGTGGCTGCCAGGACACTCGTCCTAAAGGATCTACACTGGCTCCCAGTACATTTCCAAGCACAATTCAAAGTGTTTGTGCTGACCTTTAAAACCTTAAATGACCTTGGCCCTGTATACTCCATCCCCATCATCCCACACTGAGGTCCAGGTTTGAGGGTCTTCTGGCGGTTCCCTCACTGAGAAGTGAGGTTACAGGGAACCAGGCAGAGGGCCTTCTCAATAGTTCCCTGTGGAATGCCCTCCCGTCAGATGTCAAGAAAATAAACAACTACCTGACTTCTGTTTTAACTGTGTATTGATAAAATGTACTTTTTTTCTGACTGACGGTCGAATAAAAATGATGATGAACTACCTGACTTTTAGAAGACATCTGAAGGCACCCCTGTACAGGGAGGTTTTTAATGGTGTTTTAATAGTGAGGTTTTTTTGTGTTTTAATATTTTGTTGGAAGCCGTCCTGAGCGGCTGGGGCAACCCAGGCAGATGGGTAGCATATAAATAATAAAATCAGTGGTATTTTTCTAGAAAAAGAGGTGCTGGAACACACCACGAACGCCTCCCTCATTCTCTTAGAATTGCAGTGGTATCCACCTGAGAGGTACCAGAACTAAGTTCCACTGAGATACAGCTGAAAAAAGCCCTGAAAATAAAATAATAATAATAATAATAATTAGTAATAATGATGATGTCCCTGATCTAGTTAGTACATCTGTTTTTAATGTGAAGCTATCATCCATCATCCATCCATTGACATCCTGGGCATCAGTGAACTAAAATGGACGGGAATGGGCGAATTCAGTTTGGATGACTATCATATCTACTACTGTGGGCAAGAAACCCGTAAAAGAAATGGAGTGGCCCTCATAGTCAACAAAAGAGTGGTGAAAGCTGTACTGGGATGCAATCTCAAAAATGATAGAATGATCTCGATACGAATCCAAGGCAGACCTTTTAATATCACAGTAATCCAAGTTTATGCACCAACTACTGGTGCTGAAGAAACTGAAATTGACCAATTCTATGAAGACTTACAAGACCTTATAGAAGTGACACCAAAGAAGGATGTTCTTCTCATTATAGGGGATTGGAATGCTAAAGTAGGGAATCAAGAGATAAAAGGAACAACTGGCAAGTTTGGCCTTGGAGATCAAAACGAAGCAGCGCAAAGGCTAATAGAGTTCTGTCAAGAGAACAAGCTGGTCATCACAAACAATCTTTTCCAACAACACAAGAGACGACTCTACACATGGACATCACCAGATGGGCAGCATCGAAATCAGATTGATTATATTCTCTGCAGCCAAAGATGGAGAAGCTCTATGCAGTCAGCAAAAACAAGACCTGGAGCTGACTGTGGCTCAGATCATCAGCTTCTTATAGCAAAATTCAAGCTTAAACTGAAGAAAGTAGGAAAAACCACTGGACCGGTAAGATACAGTCTAAACCAAATCCCTTATGAATACACAGTGGAAGTGAGGAACAGGTTTAAGGATTTAGGTTTGCTGGACAGAGTGCCTGAAGAACTATGGATGGAGGCTCGCAACATTATACAGGAGGCAGCAATGAAAACCATCCCAATGAAAAGGAAATGCAAGAAAGCAAAGTGGCTGTCCAACGAGGCCTTACAAATAGCGGGGGAGAGAAGGCAAGCAAAATGTGAGGGAGATAGTGAAAGATACAGGAAATTGAATGCAGATTTCCAAAGAATAGCAAGGAGAGACAAGAAGGCCTTCTTAAATGAGCAATGCAAAGAAATAGAGGAAAACAACAGAATGGGAAGAACCAGAGATCTGTTCAAGAAAATCGGAAATATGAAAGGAACATTTCGTACAAAGATTACCATAATAAAGGACAAAAGTGGTAAGGACCTAACAGAAGCAGAAGACATCAAGAAGAGGTGGCAAGAATACACAGAGGAATTATACCAGAAAGATATGGATGACTTGTACACCCCATGTAGTGTGGTTGCTGACCTTGAGCCAGACATACTGGAGAGTGAAGTCAAATGGGCCTTAGAAAGCACTGCTAATAACAAGGCCAGTGGAAGTGATGATATTCCAGCTGAGCTATTTTAAATTTTAAACGATGATGCTGTTAAGGTGCTACACTCAATATGCCAGCAAATTTGGAAAACTCAGCAGTGGCCAGAGGATTGGAGAAGATCAGTCTACATCCCAATCCCCAAGAAGGGCAGTGCCAAAGAATGCTCCAACTACCGCACAATTGCACTCATTTCACACGCTAGCAAGGTTATGCTTAAAATTCTACAAGGCAGGCTTAAGCAGTATGTGGACCGAGAACTCCCAGAAGTGCAAGCTGGATTTCGAAGGGGCAGAGGAACCAGAGACCAAATTGCAAACATGCGCTGGATTATGGAGAAAGCTAGAGAGTTCCAGAAAGACATCTACTTCTGCTTCATTGACTATGCAAAAGCCTTTGACTGTGTCGACCACAGCAAACTATGGCAAGTTCTTAAAGAAATGGGAGTGCCTGATCACCTCATCTGTCTCCTGAGAAATCTCTATGTGGGACAAGAAGCTACAGTTAGAACTGGATATGGAACAACTGATTGGTTCAAAATTGGGAAAGGAGTATGACAAGGCTGTATATTGTCTCCCTGCTTATTTAACTTATATGCAGAATTCATCATGCGAAAGGCTGGGCTGGATGAATCCCAAGTTGGAATTAAGATCGCCGGAAGAAATATCAACAACCTCAGATATGCAAATGACACAACCTTGATGGTGGAAAGTGAGGAGGAATTAAAGAACCTTTTAATGAGGGTGAAAGAGGAGAGTGCAAAATATGGTCTGAAGCTCAACATCAAAAAAACGAAGATCATGGCCACTGGTCCCATCACCTCCTGGCAAATAGAAGGGGAAGAATTGGAGGCAGTGAGAGATTTTACTTTCTTGGGCTCCTTGATCTCTGCAGATGGTGACAGCAGTCACGAAATTAAAAGACGCCTCGCTCCTTGGGAGAAAGGCGATGGCAAACCTAGACAGCATATTAAAAAGCAGAGACATCACCTTGCCAACAAAGGTCTGTATAGTTAAAGCCATGGTTTGCCCAGTAGAGATGTATGGAAGTGAGAGCTGGACCATCAAGAAGGCTGATCGCCGAAGAATTGATGCTTTTGAATTATGGTGCTGGAGGAGACTCTTGAGAGTCCCATGGACTGCAAGAAGATCAAACGCATCCATTCTTAAGGAAATTAGCCCTGGGTGCTCACTGGAAGGACAGATCATGAAGCTGAGGCTCCAATACTTCTCATGAGAAGAGAAGACTCCGTGGAAAAGACCCTGATGTTGGGAAAGATGGAGGGCACAAGGAGAAGGGGACGACAGAGGACGAGATGGCTGGACAGTGTTCTTGAAGCTACCAGCATGAGTTTGACCAAACTGTGGTCAAGGCAGTGGAAGACAGGAGTGCCTGGCGTGCTCTGGTCCATGGGGTCACGAAGAGTTGGACACGACTAAACGACTAAACAACAACAACATCATCCATCAGAAGAATAGGCTACCTCTTAGCACCAAACGCAGCTTCTCAACTTGCCAGTGCTGACACAATGCCACTTTTGCTCAGCTTCCTGTGAAGCACTTCAGTCATTCTTCTGCTAATCAGCATTTAGTTCAGCAAAGAGTAAGCCTTCATTTTCACAGATATGTTTTCTTTTAGCTTGTAATCAAAGCTTCGGTTGCGTCGCCTTCAAAAGCCAATTACCAACTAATGAGGGAGCACTTACAAATTATTTCGTTGTCAAAAACAATTTGGTTTCGGCTTAACACCAAACCTTGCTTGACAAGGTGCAGCAGCCCAGGTAGGATAAGGCTGCTCCAGTGCCAGAAACTGAACACCACTGGATTCCAGTTTTTTGGGGGGGCACAAGTGGGGAGATCTCTGTGATGCTCAGTTCCTGTTTGTGGGTTTCCCAGAGGCACCTAGTTTGCTACCATGAGAACAGGAAGCCGGACTAGATGGTCCATAGCTCAGTGACAGAGCATCTGCGAGCAGAAGGTGTGAGGTTCAGTGCCCAGTGTCTCCAGGTGAGGCCCTGTCTGAAATCCTGGAGTGCCACTGGCAGTCAGTGCAGACAGCACCAAGCTAGTTGGGTCAATAGTCTGCCTTGGTTTAATGCAGCTTCCTATGGCAAACTGAATCACAAAACTGAAAGAAGCGCACGTTTCCACAGATAGCTGTACTTTATTCATCTATCAGTTTGGGAGAGCGGTATCACATGACTTGCTTCCAGACCTGTGATCGTGTATCAAGGAGGTTTATATTGGGGGGGTGTGTATGTGAATTCCAAGGCCCCACCAATAACCCAGAGATGCATTTTAAATAAAAGCACACGTTCTGTTCTACTCATGTAAAAACACCAGGCAGGGCCCACAAATAACCTAGAGATGCATTTTAAATAAAAGGACACATTCTACTCATGTAAAAACACGCTGATTCCTGGACCGTCCACAGGCCAGTTTTAGAAGGCAATTGGGCCGGATCTGGCCCCCGGGCCTTAGTTTGCCTACCCATGATTGTGATCTACTTTCAGAATTAACATCTGCCAGTGATCTACCCTCATTTTTTAGGGGTTCAGGTCAAAGTTGTTGAGCTTTTCTGGGAGGTGTTTGTTGGGGTTCCATGGGGGGGGATTTTAAGGGGGAAGGGGATTAGTCGCTCACAAAAACAGCGTTGTGAAAGCATTTTGCCTCACATCAAAAACTCTGTCTTCTGTTACAGGCAGGTGAGAGGGGCTGGGGCCAGGTGCTCTTAGGCAAAAGCAAAGGAAAATGAGCACGCGATCGACAGCGATCGACTGCAACCTCCCGGGGATCGACCAGTCGATCCCGATCGACCTGTTGGACATCCCCTGATCTAGTGGAAGAGAGAGGCCGCTTGAACCAGTCAGACCCAGTTTCTTTGAAAGAAGCAGTATGGAGAGGATTCTGTAACAAGGAAATTCTTGTGCCTTCCCCATAAGGCCAGCATGGTTTCACCCAGGATATCTTTCCATCGACTAAAGTAACTTTCTTTGGAACTCGCCATCTATTCCTTGAACAGAGGCAGATTTAGGGAAGGACGACTGGTTTGGTAGAATGGACTGTTGTAGGATGGAAGGCAAGGGGGGAGGGGCACCAAATTTGGGCGTCACACAGGGCACTGCCGAAATTTGAGACCCCCCCAAGGTCCACCACTTCCATGAACTTCTCTTGAGTTCTTTGGCTGCATCAGGTTTGTGTGTACTCTGCATGCGTTAAGAGCCACGCTTGCCCAAGTGCAGAAACTGAGCCTGCACAGAACTGAATGCAAGGGAAACAGCTCTGAAGTTGTGAAAGTGAGATCTTTTCAAATGCTGACAAAGGTATATGAAATGACGGATCACGGAGGACAAAACTGTGGGTCGGTGTGGCGATCACACAGGGTCCCCAGACGTTTAACGGTCTATTGATCCCTCTGCCACCACTGTGCCCGCTTCCCCGCTGCCACCAACCCATTACTCTCGGGTACACACTGAATCCAGACAGTTGTTTAAATTGAATCAAATAAACAAGTTTATTTTATAAGTATTAACAAGTTTATGGTTTCTCAGATAATATTCTTGTCAGTTTCTTAACTTTAGTTTCTTTACCAGCCTATACCTTCCTAATACCTTCTGACTGATTATCTCAACTGTTTGACTGACTCCTCTTAACAGATTCTCTCACTCTCCCACATCAGAGTAGCCCAACCCACAGACTTATTCTCTGTCCCTTCTCTAACTCCAGACTGACTTCTCAACAACTCTAACTCTAACTCCTCCCCTTGGGTTCCTATTGGTTAGTCATTTTACAATTAGTTAACCCGTTCCTTATGACCCAGTATGATGTCACACACCTAGGAGGGCAAACGCCACAGTCGGTTATCTGTCTTTTCCCATATGAGACCTGACTAAGTCATTATTTTCCTTCACCTTGGTTCAATGGTCTCAATGCATTTGCCATTTTCTTCTGGTAACATAAGCAATACGGCCTAATTTGGCACCCTCAGCCTAGCATAAGTCTCATAGTTTTTGTGTGCCTAGAGTAAGTCTTAGCCCAAGGGACACAATGTTTAATGTGAAAGAAATGTGACCTAAATCCAGTCCGTCTGTGGTCCTTATCTTTGCAAAAAAATAATAATCCTTAAATAACCTCAAATAATATTTATGAAGTTGAATAAAACAGGAAACTGGCATGCACGATGGTAAATATATCAAATGCAGGGAGGGGGAGGGGGAACCGGACTCCAAAAAGAGAATATGCTTAGGGTAATTATTAATAGCCAGTATCAACACTTAAAATACTCAGTAGATGTCATTACCGTGTGATAAAGAAGCACTTCCTTAATAACAGCCTTCAGTAAAATAAATTATGTGTATAATCAAACCATAGTTAAGCAGTTTGAAATGGCCTTAATTTCGGTGGGATGACTTGGCACATGGAAAGTATCTCCCCCGTCAGAATTAATGGCATTTAGCAATGCTTAACACTGTGTGTTCTGGGCAGCTATGCTGACCTTGGTCTGGGTGGCACTAGTCATACTGCCTCCACTCCTGGCTTGGGAGGAAAATAGGGCTTACTTCCAGGAAACTGGGTTGCACTCCTGTTTACTCTGCACCCAGTGCCCTCCCACAGCTGCATTTGAGAAGCGTTGTCCATACAACATTAGCCACAACCCCTATTTATCCTGCATCCATCCGGTCGCTTCTTACGAAACACTGTGTTTTCCTGCATTTCCCTTGAAAACTAGCTTTGATCAGAACTGAGAAGAAGAATGACCTAGACTAGGTACACATTAGTGCTTAAAAGGCCACGAGGCCATTTCCTTCCCTCTGTGTTTCCAAGTCGCTTGCCTTGACGTTGCTACAAACTCCAGAAAGGCATTACCTGACTTGTTTCACTGCACCAAAGTCCTCTTCAGTGAAACTGTCGCCTGCACATGGGCAGCAGCTGTCTCAGATGCCCATAACTGTGGCTTCTGTTTTCAAATCAGATGGAAACTGGTTGGAAGGGAAACAAGTCAATTAGCAGTATCGGTTGTGGCTAACGCCATGTGTACTCGGCTTCAAACACCAGTAGCGGGACTACACAGGAGCCAGAGTAAATTGCATACCCTCCAACATATCTCCGATGAAAATAGGAACATCCTATTCCATTTGTGGGATGTGAAACACAAGAGCAGTCAAGTAAAACATTCCTGGAGTGAACATGTTTACACATAGGGAGGAATGTTGTCCAGCCAGCAGGTAAACTTCCTGTTTCCTTCTGGGCTGGGACAGACTTCCTCTGCATGTGACTAGAGGTGGGTGTGGCCTCACCTGTGCAGGTAACAACAAAAGCACAGGGCAGGGCAGCCATCTCTCTCTCTTTGACTACATGCATCGAAGAAGCAACATCTGCTTAGCCAAAGTTGCTGTCTTCCAGCCAAGAGAGGACAGAGGGACTGTCTCCTTATGAGATAGTTTCCAGGTGTATGTTACTTTTCTAAGATAAGTCTGCTTCTGTGATTGAATTGTGAACAGAATGTGAGTAAAATCTTTTTATACTTTTATAGAAGACTGTGTCGTGTCTTATCTTTTATGAGGGAATAAGGGGGAAATACCAGAACAGTTATTATAGAGGCTTTAGCGAGCCTGAGCAAACACATCCGCTGTGAGTTTAAAAAGGGGGATGTTACTCTGCTAAATTGTGAACTTGTTAACACAAGTTGGAAAGGCTATAATCAAACAATATATCCTCTCCTGCATCCCTGAACATTCCCACACCATTATTATTATTATTATTATTATTATTATACCCTGCCCACCTGACTGGGTTGCCCCAGCCACTCAGGGCAGCTTCCAACATATATAAAAACAGAATTAAACATTGAACATTTAAAAAGCTTCCCTACACAGGGCTGCCTTCAGAAGTCTTCTAAAGGTTGTATAGTTACTTATCTCCTGCGATTGGGAGTCGCATAGCTCCGTTACCCTTTCTCCAGTGAAAATAGGGACATCTGAAGTAAAAGCTGGACATTCTGGGATCAAATAAGAAACCGGGACAGCTTCTGTAAAACCAGGACTCTTCCTGGAAAATCAGGGCACTTGGAGAGTTTGAAATGGTAATATAACACAGCCTTAACTGCGTTTTAAGTTGGCTATGTACAGTGGTACCTCAGCTTACAGACGCTTCAGGTTACAGACTCCACTAACCCAGAAATAGTACCTCAGGTTAAGAACTTTGCTTCAGGATGAGAACAGAAATCGTGTGGCGGCAGCGGGAGGCCCCATTAGCTAAAGTGGTGCTTCAGGTTAAGAACAGTTTCAGGTTAAGAATGGACCTCCAGAATGAATTAAGTACTTAACCCGAGATACCACTGTACAGGCCTTTTTTCCCCAGCCAAAGCTCACCAGAACTGAGTTCCGGCACCTCTCAGGTGGGTGCCATTGCCATTCTAAGAGAATGAGTGAATTCATGGTGAGTTCCAGCACCTCTTTTTGTAGAAAAAGAGCACTGGTCATGTGTACTCAGCCTTAGTTGCACCCCACCATTGCCCAGTTCCTTCATTTTAATCCCCACCTGGATTTCTTAAAGAGCTTTCACTGTAGAAATACCTGGGTGCTGTAGATACCTTACAATCCATGAGGGTATTTTTTTACTGCCCACGTCCTCCTGACTTTCCATTCAAAGCCTTATAGCCTTTTCCATTCAAAGAGAAGTTTAATCACTGCTAGGCAGGGGCTCATTGATTAAAAATGTCACAAGTGATGAGAATGTAAAAGATTGCTTCCACGCTTGATGAATTACACATGCAAGTTCGCATACGCTGCAAAATGAATAAAAAATGAAATGAATTAGAATCTTCTGATGAAATGAACAAGCCTATATTTGCATGCAAAATTTATTAGGTGGAGGAGATGTGCTTCCTTTTAGGAGAAACAGCATGTGCAAATCTTAGAATTTACTAAAACGACCTGCACTTATCGCTCATTAGAGCATACCGTCTGTACTGTTGATGTGTGCAAACAATTCCAACGTGTTTTAAGAAAATGAAACTGCTCTGGCAGCTTCAATGAGATATTAGTACATCTTTTAAATGCGTTGATCTCACCTTTGCAGCATAGCTGGTAAAAAGGATTCTTTGGGGTAATTGAGTTATTAGCTCCTGCTCACAGCTCAAACATACATATGGGGTTCTGCAAGGATGCACACCAGGTCTAAAAAGTTTCAGGGAAGCATTAGGGTTCTTTCAGATTCTTATGGGGTGGGGAGGGCAATAGCTCAGTCAGCATTAGAACATACGTTTTGCATGGAACACGTTCATACCATGAAATTCCAGAAAGCTGCTGTCCACCGGTGTAATGGTGTGGTCTGGCTTGGTTTGGCAGTGTTCTAAATTGGCTAGGGCGCACTCTGCACATGCTTTAGAAAAATACCTGCTCTCAACCAATCCCCCATCCTGCCATATGCAACGCTCATGGGGCACCGTGGCTGCCACTTGGGTAGGTCACCAAACTCTTACCCCTTTGTTCCAGCCTATTGGCAGGCAGTGCTAAGGATTCTTGCCTTGCCCCGGGGCTGTGGCAACCCATGCTACACCACTGTGCTGTTGTGTACGTGTGTTTGACGGTGTATAATATATGATGAACCCACATGGCTGCCTGAATTTTTGGCCTCTCCCTGGGAGTGTGGCTGTGGACTTTCTTTGGGGCATGGCCAGGGGTGGTGTTCAATGATGAGCTCCTGTCCTTCAAAATCTACTCCTACACCACTGCCAGGAAGAGCAGGTGGAAGAGAGGAAAATGCTAAGCCCTCCCTCATTCATGCTTCTCTCCCTGAAGCTGATGCTTTTTCTTCTGGTTAAGGTCCAATACTAGAAACGGCACACAGTAGGAAAAAGAAATACAGCTGGAGAAAGTGTTCTGTGTCGCACAATAAGTTCCCCCACCCCTGATATTAAGAGTCCCGTGCTCTACCGACTGAGCTATGTTGTGTAGGAAACCTGCACGGTTCACTTTCCGTCACTTGCGTCATGCCACGAAAATGTCTACGTTGCCCTAGAATAAAACTGCTTGAACAGTGAAACTTAAAAGCTATCTCACTGTTTTTATGTATTATGGCAGATTTCACCCATTCCGCAAACGGGCCAGCACAGCCGCCGGCTTTTTTGACAGGTTTCAAGTGGAATCTAATGGTGCCCTCTAGAGGAACAGAATTCGTATTGATTTCTTATTGACAATGAGAATAATGGCTATCACTTAATTTCTAATCTGAATTAGGAACATAAATCCTGTTTTGGCCGTTTGCTTTGCAACGAGGAATCCTCTTCTTCGTTCCTTGAAGCGCCTGTTCAAGAGCCAGAACGTTTTGTCTTCAGCGACATACCTGCTGTTTTGAAAACACCTTAGTTTTGAAAATTATCCTGCCCCTGTGATTGCTCTGCATGTTGAACAAGTTGTGCTGGTGAGGACAATGTTTTTCATGTTCTTCACAAACTAAGGCATGAAGTAGAGTTGCCCGCTGGTTCTTGTTGCTTTTACTGCCAAATGTGCAAAATTACTTTTAACCTTTTTAAATAACAATTAATGTCACTGTCTTTCAAACAGAACCATGGTGAGAAAATGCCCAAACCAAACACTCCCAAAGGATAACATTGTAAGCACTTCCCAGTACTTCAATAGGGCTTTGAAGTAAAAAAAAGGTTGGATGCTGTTTCCCCAGTGTTGTGCAGTGATTCATATACACCTATAATAGCAAGAGACAGCTGTCTCCTAACGCAAGCATAAAAACATCACATTGCCATCTTCAGTGGGGCTGGAGGCAGAATGCCCCAGAATTAGATGAAGGATGTAGCTGACCAGGTGTGTCAATATTGGGGGGGGGGCAGGTAAGCCATTTGAATAGCAATACCCATCAACTTTGGAAGCCCTCTCAAATATTTTATTTAGGGGGACCAGGTCACCCCCATTGTTCAGCCCGGACACTGAGATCCAGCGCCGAGGGCCTTCTGGCGGCTCCCTCATTGAGAGAAGTGAGGCTACAGGGAACCAGACAGAGGGCCTTCTCGGTAGTGGCACCCACCCTTCAGATGTGAAGGAAATAAGTAGCTATCTTATCTTTAAAAGACATCCGAAGGCAGCCCTGTTTAGGGAACTTTTTAATATTTAATGCTGTATTGTTTTTAACACTCGATTGGAAGCTGCCCAGAGTGGCTGAGGAAACTCAGCCAGGTGAGCGGGGTATAAATAATAAATTATTATTATTATTATTATTATTACTACTAAGGTTTTGGTTGCTATGTAACTGGCTCTCCGTATCTCATTTCCACAATCCCAACAGATAACTGTTGTTGGCGTCCATCTGTCTCAAGAGACAATGGAAGAGTACGCCTTTGGGGGGTGAAGTCAAACTGTTGGAAGGTTGCAGCGCCTGCTGTGGCTGTAGAGACCGATATGGGAGAGACATGTTTTTCTGCAGCTGGGGCAAGTGAAGGTGTCCAGTTGTGCTGGTGCATGTGTCCCAGCAGTCATTCCTCCTCCGGTCACTGCTATGGATGCACAACCCGACTGTCACTGCAGTCATCTACAAGGGATTCTCACAGGGCAAGGTCAATGTTGTCAGCCTTCATGTCCCTTTGCATATATCTTTGTAGCAGAGTTGGTCTGCCAACGGGCCTGGTGCTTGAAGACAGTTCCCCATAACAGCATATCCTTGGGGATCCTGCCATCTTCCATTCTACTGTCATGACCGAGCCAGGGCATAGATGTCGCTGAGACAGGAGTACAAACATGCTAGGATTGTGGGCTTGGGAGAGCACATCTTTGTTCGAAACTCCATCCTCCTATGTGGTACCCAAAATCTTCCCTGCAGATAGCTGCCAAAGAAACAAGAGGCAAGCTATCCTAGGGAAAGTGGCCCTCTCTGTCCGACCATTTTGAAAATATAATAGGCATTTGTCCTTTTTTGTTTAATTCATGATATTTGTTCAGAATTCTCCGATGCTTTTGCTAACAATATCAATTTTCTTTTCCCAAAAACCATCCACAACTTAATTTTCCTTGGTTATCTTCCTTTTGTCTGTATTTACCTCTTGTGCTCATTGCAATATTTAATTCTCAATCTTCTCTTGTGTATTTACTTTTCTTTAATAGTTTTATACAGTTTTAAGAATACAGGCCTATGAATAGATGGCAGAAAGTGATGCAGGGAAGGGGAGGCAAATCTGCAACTGTAATGCAATCTAAATAAATGATGTATCCTGCAATAAGGAACTATATTATTAATAAGCATGCAAAGGAGACCCAGTCCTTCAAGCAATTAGCATTTGTATTGCATCCAGGAGGTTTACCATTTTTTAAAAAATAGATAATTGCTCTTCTGGTTTTAATTCTGCCACATACTCCAATCCAGACATGGTTAAATACTTGGTATAAACTGCCAATCAAAAAGTTAAAATGTTGGTTGGTTCGTAGGCAGGCAGGTTCCTCTGTAGAAAGTTGCTCATATCAAGGGAGACCAGTGTGAAAATCAGTCACTCACACAGATCATCACTTGGAATAGAAGGATTTAGAAAACAGAATTTGGGACCCCCGGTTTAGTTAGATGGATTCCAGTTCTCTTTTCCCTCACATAAAAAGGAGCTTTGTAGCTACAAATGAAGAAAATGCAGCGGGCAGGGGAAGTACCAATCAAAAAAAAAAAAAAAGATTGCCTTTATCCATCCATCCCTTCTCCAGTGCTTTCCTGAAAAACCTCTTCAGAACTTCATGAGCTTTAATATGATATGGAACATGATGGACACAGCAGCATATAAAACAAACCGCATAGTATCCCCGGCTAACGTTTCATCTATTGCAATCACCTATCCTTAAAATGGGACGTGGGTGGCGCTATGGGTTAAACCACAGAGCCTAGGACTTGCCGATCAGAAGGTCGGTGGTTCGAATCCCCGCGACAGTGTGAGCTCCCATTCCTCGGTCCCTGCTCCTGCCAACCTAGCAGTTCGAAAGCACGTCAAAGTGCAAGTAGATAAATAGGGACCGCTCCGGCGGGAAGGTAAACGGCGTTTCCGTGCGCTGCTCTGGTTCACCAGAAGCAGCTTAGTCATGCTGGCCACATGACCTGGAAGCTGTATGCCAGCTCCCTCGGCCAATAAAGCGAGATGAGCGCCGCAACCCCAGAGTCAGCCATGACTGGACCTAATGGTCAGGGGTCCCTTTACCTTTACCTTATCCTTAAAATACTCCCCAATTTTCTACTTTCTATTCTGAGTGAAACCCTTCTCTTCTAAACACGTTATTTAACAGAGTTGGCCTTTGTGAGCGTTGACAAAAGGTGCATCCAATAGACAACGCATGTGTCAGAGCTGGCTCCAGGTCCCAGCTCACAGAGGACCAACGCTAGCCGGCAGTAATGTACAAAAGTCTTTATTGAAGTACAGTTTCCATTTTCAAGCCGGAGCGCCCCAGCTCTACGTCTAGGGGTTAGATCGGCGAAGCTCCATCTGAGTCTCCGCCCCCTGTACACCAGTTTAAGATTCTAGCCTTACTCCACCTCTTACGTCTCTCCTTTCTCCTCTGGGTCCTGCTACCCCCCGGGGGGGCTTCCTTCCTGGGTTCTTCTGACGCTGACCCCCTGACTCCTCCCCTCTTTTCGGCGGGCTTTGGGACCTGGCTCCCTATCCGGGCTGCCAACTGCGCCGCCCTCCTGTACATTTGAACTTGCGCGCGCGCCCAGCCTTCAACCTTCCTCTCAACCGCTTCCTCGCTCCCCGATGGAGGCGTGGCCAATCCTGACTCATGTCCTCCCACTGGCAGTGCGCCGCCTGATCCCGATGCCTGGGACTCCTCCCCTTCTGCACTCTGGTGTGGACGCTGGTCCTGATTTCCAACTGCTGCTCTCTGAGTCCCCTCTGGCCCCTTCTTCCTGGGGTGTCCCCTCGGCACCCCCTTGCTCTGACCAAGGGAGCCCTTTCTGTGAATCTTCCGATTCGCTGGAAAGACTCAGAGACCTCGGACCGCTGTCATCGCTAACATTTCCTTCGGACTCCTCCCCCTCGCTCTCTATTTCCTCCCTTTCCTGTGCCTCTGCTCCTGAACCCCTGACAGCATGGTTTTTAATTCGACTGCAACCTGCCACAGAATGTTCCAGCATGCAATGCCCTTGTTCAGTGTTGCTGCCAATCAGCCATGCCTTCCTCTTCCGGAATACTCCATTCCACAACCACCCCAACTGTCAATCAACATTCCGTGACCATGGAAACATGCTCATTCCTCATTGGAGTATTTGAGGGGAGAAGAGGTTCTCTTCATTCTGCTCACCCAAGATTTTTGGTACTTCTGCAAATTTAAGATTCCCCTGAGCATGTTGATACGTCCCTCATGTCCATAGGCAGTCCAATTTTGTCTACGTAAGAATAGGTGCTCAGGGACTGCATCCACTATTTATACATAGCATGATTTTGTCTCTAGGAGGGGAAAAAAGTGTGCTGTATCAACATTCATGTGTCATTCTTTGCAGGAGTGTGGCAAGGTAGTCTGAAGGTTAAAAAGAAAAAAATCTGCAAAAACCTGATTTTCTAATGAATCCAGAATCTTGGGTGCACAGTGAGTACAGAGTCCCTTTGAAAATCAATCTTTAAGAGACCAAAAGGGGGGGAAAGGTTCCCTAGCCAAACATTTGTGCTGTTAGAAATGTCTCCTTTTGCAGAACGCCAGAGTCAGATGTGTAGCTCGATGGCAAGGAGAAGGGGGGTATCAGGCGATCTTCTTTCATGTATTTGTATAGGCTGCTTTTCAGAAATCCTGTTTTGATTAAAGCAAATACAGATGAGTTGTCATAGAATATACTTTTAATAGAACAAATAAGGAGGTGAGAATCAACAGCATTTACCCACATAAAGATACTCTGCAAACGTTCCTCGCAAGCATCGCCTATGCATAGAAATTTGATTTGTAATAGAATTGCTTAAATTAAGCCTTGATTTCAAGCAGATAGCATAAGAGGAAAGAGACTAGTCCGAGCTGCTAAAAAAAAAGTGGTGTCTGTTTAAATTTTAGCGATCTCACACTGTCTTGGGAGAAATCAAACGATATTGACTTTTTCTCTCTTACATGTTGCACAGAGACTCACTATGCACAGGCATATATTAGCCTCTTCAGGGTTTATTCATGTATGATATGCAGACAGTGTGCCCTGAATAACTGAGACTGTTAGCAGCATGGCTACACTACAGCCTTTTAGCATTTTAACAGTCGTGTCCTCTCCCCGTGAAATCTTCCTATTGTAGTTCTTCTTTGAGGGACGACAGACAGTTCCTAGCACTGTCTGCAAGATTATTTGGGGGAAGCAAAGACACAAAACTGATATGGGTTCATAGCTGAGATATGATCTAGCGATACTTTCACAAAAACAGGTTTGTGGATAATCAGAGTGCCAATTACTCCCCCCCCCATAAGGACCCAACCATATGATATTGTTGCACACCAGCCCAGTCTCCACAGGGGTTCCTGGCATGCTTTGCCCTGGGTTTGTATTTCCTTTTAGAAAATGAGGCACAGCGGAGACTGTAGTGTCTTTATGATCATAGAATTGTAGAGTCAAGGGTCAATGAGTCCAATGCCCTCCAATGCAGGAATCTCAGCTAAAGCATCCATGACAGATGGCCATCCAACCTCTGCTTAAAAACCTCCAGAGAAGGAGAGTCCGCGACCTCCTGAGGGAGACTGTTCCACTGTCGATCAGGTCTTACTTTCTGATGTTTAGTCAGAATCTCCTTTCTTGAAGTCTGAAGCCATCTTCCATGTGATAGCCCTTTGGGCATCATTCAGCAGTACCCAATGGGCCTTTAAAAGAAAAAGAAAAAGCAGCTCAGAGGCTCTGTTCAAGTACATACAGTGGTACCTCAGGTTACATACGTTTCAGGTTACTGACGCTTCAGGTTACAGACTCCGCTAACCCAGAAATAGTACCTCAGGTTAAGAACTTAGCTTCAGGATGAGAACAGAAATTGCACGGCCGCAGCAGGAGGCCCCATTAGCTAAAGCGGTGCTTCAAGTTAAGAACAGTTTCAGGTTAAGAACAGGCCTCCGGAGCGAATTAAGTACTTAACCCGAGGTACCACTGTATTGCCAGTCCAGACATGATCTGCACCAATTTCCTTCTGAAAATTGTCCCTGCTGCGATTTCTCCCCAAATTTGCTGACCATCAACAGCACCCTCAGGGACAAGAGTCAGGGGGGTGCTCCTCAACAGGAAATTGGTGCAAGACCTCAACCTAGACAAGGAGCATGTTTCTGGATTGGGATCCTGCAGTTGCTTTTTCTTAAGAATAAATGGAGCCAGTTAAGACAGTTTTTTAATAAACATCAATCATGCAACATGCAGTTTGCCCCTAAGACATTAAAGAAAAGCCAGAAGATTGTTAAGAAGGGGAAACCACAATCTCCTTGTGGTGACTTGCCTGTGGTTCCTGGGACATCTGCTCCTGAAATGTCATTAGCCCCATGATTTGGCAAGGCTGTCAAATTCTTCATACTTGGTGTGGGACAGATTTCCCCTCATAAAACTTAGCTCTCTGGTCTAACCACTTGGTTCAGAAGTAGCCAACATGTTGCTCTCCAGGTCTGCAGGACCATAACTCCCATGAGCCCCATCTAGCATACCCAATGGGCAGGGAAGATGGGATTAGTAGTTCAGCAATGACTAAGTTGCCCCTGACGTAGTTCAGCCTCTGGCCTGACCGTTCATGCTTTGTTGTAAGATTACTGTAAACTGCTTTGACAGGTTGCCTACATCTGAATAGTAATATATAAATGTTTACTTGCTTGGAAAAGGACCGCTCCCCTTCCAATAGCTGCTTGTCGATATGGGTGATCAGAATCAGCACAGGAAACATACCAAAATTTGTGACAGTAACTCTAAATTCCTGCAACAAGAAATACATCTTTAATTGGAATGGGGTCCTTAGTATGTTCCTAAGCTGCCACTTGATGTTCTCTGGGTTCCTATCTACTGACGAATTTTTACTGTTTCCACATTTGGCATCATGCATTTTATATCAGAGAGTGTCTGTCAGGTTTTGTTTTGTTTTAATAGAAAAAGTACATTCTCTAAGGCTGTTAAAAACCTGTGAAAGAAAATATTATTCTGCACATCCCTGATAGCAAAATCGCCATTGCCTAGTCTTCGTACTAAGAATTCAGTGAGACGCAGTAAGAAATCAATAAAAACACAAATTGCTCCATCAATACGTGCATTCATTTATACTCTTCAAGGTTATCTTTGCAATGTTGGTGCAGAGACGCATTTTCTCTGTCATGCATATTAAACCAGGCAAAGAGTTATGGAAAGGGAACCCAATCTATCAGAACAAATCTAGTCTAGCATACACAATAGATAGGTGGAGTGGGTTTCGTTTCTCACCCCCTCCTCCCTGCCCTTTTTAGCTGGATGTAGCTAATATTTTGAAATGTGCAAGGACCGTTTTATCAGTACAGTACTTCTAAGCCACTTTCATCTACATTTATAATCAATATGTCCCAAGGTTGACGTGCTATTAGCAGGCAATGGGTCCATATTCATTTTAACCACTTACCATGCCAATTGCCACAGGATTTACTCTCCCGATGTGAATGAATTTCCCCCAGCAGCTCACTCTTGCACAAGAGTTTTCCCTATGCACAAAATAAAAGGGGAATCAGGCGACCCTTATCTCTGAGCATTCACCTTGGCCGAAAGAGAGTGACTGGAAATCAACTCTCTCACCAAAGAAAACACCGCATTACGGGAGGAGAAAAGGCAGCTGCATCCATTGTTGGGAGGAGTGATGCAAAAATAACCTCTTCTCATCTCTAGCTGTCAAATTTTGAAGGGAGGAAAATGACAAGTATTCACACATTCATACTAATTTCAGCCTAGAGCCTGCTAGACATTGGATTTGGGGCTGGTTCGTGTACCCAGTAGCTTCCACACTACTGTCCCCAATATTATTCCAGGTCACCAGGGTCACAGCTGGTAGGAACCGATGCCCCCATTGTGACCACTGAGATTTGCATAAATATGGTGGCTTAGAAAAAGGAGCATCATGGCAGATACATGGGTGCTCCCAACTTGGAGGCTCATTAAATGGGAGGCCCAGTTCAATCAAATGACACTTGTGTGTGCAGTGGTCCAGTTAGATTTTGTTAAACCCTGGATTTAGGAACATAGTAAGGTGCCTTATACCAAGTCAGAACCATGGGTCCGCCTAATAATAATAATAATTTATTTATACCCCGCCCATCTGGCTGGGTTTCCCCAGCCACTCTGGGCGGCTTCCAACAGAATATTAAAACACAATAACCTATTAAACATTAAAAGCTTCCCTGAACAGGGCTGCCTTCAGATGTCTTCTAAAAGTCTGGTAGTTGTTTTTCTCTTTGACATTTGGTGGGAGAGTGTTCCACAGGGCAGGTGCCACTACCGAAAAGGCCCTCTGCCTGGTTCCCTGTAACTTGGCTTCTTGCAATGAGGGAACCGCCAGAAGGCCCTCGGCACTGGACCTCAGTGTCCTGGCAGAACGATGGGGGTGGAGACGCTCCTTCAGATATACTGGACCAAGGCCTAGTATTGTCAGTGCTGATAGGCCATAGTTTTCCAGGATTTCAGACAGGAAGCCTCTCCCAGCCCTCCCAGTTCTAACTGGAAATGACTCTGAGACCTTCTGCAATCAAAGCACAGAGCTGTGGCCCTTCCTATAACGGTGTTTCTCAGCCTTGGGTCGCCATCTGTTGTTGGACGACTGCACCCATCATCCCTGACCACTGTCCCTGCCAGCTAGGGATAATGGGATTTGTCGTCTAACAACAACTGGAGACCCAAGATTGAGAAACAGTACTATAAGACTTAATGGTCTTACAGGGGGCACTTCTTTAGATAGCATTGCTTGCATAGCTCGAAATGTAATGTCAGGCTGCTGGTTAAAATTGCACTGCTCATCCCCCTGTGTGGGACCCTACCCTTTGCCCCCAAAGTCCTGCCCTGCTAGCATCTCTGGCTGTGTGTCCAACCACAAACCAAGTAATAGCCCCATAGATTCCAGCCAGTGATAGCTTGATAGCTGCATAGGCAAACCAGATAACCGACATAAACAGCTAAGAATCTCCCAATACGTAGTCTGGTTTTTCGGGGTTAGATGTTCTCAGTATTTAGTTCATATGCAGGCAACTCCCCATTTACACAGGGGTTATGTTCCAAGGCGCTGTGCACGTCAGTGAAATTGCGTATATTTGAAACACCATTGAAAAAACCTGCCAACGTCCCGCCTCTGCCTGCCCCATTCCACCCGTTTTTGTGACTTTTTGTGATGTTTTTAGGTCACTTCCAGGTCAGAGTTGCGCGCATGACATCATAAGTACGCGCAGTCGCCCTCCCCATGTTAGGCAGATCTTGGCACTTCTGGTCTGAATGACACATTCAGAACTCTGCCTGGCCTGTGATCTTGTATCCAGTGAGGGTTAGAATCTAGTACCAGGGCGTCCAAACTTTTTTCAAAGAGGGCCAGATTTGATGAAGTGAACATATGTGAGGGCCAACCAAAGTTGTTGAGCTTTTTCTAGGATTTAACTTGCTGAGCTTTTTTTAGGATTTTACCCCAGGACTTATACTGCCACGGGGGCCGGATTAAATCAGATTAGGCCCCTGAAACGGACTTTGGACATGCCTGATCTAGTAGAAGAGGATACTGAATGACAAGTTTCTCTGTAAGTCAATGGCCTTAGCTGGCCACTTAAGTGCTCTCATCAGCAGCTCAACGGATGAGCTAGGCTGCAATAGCTACAAGAACAAGAAGCCAAAGGGAGGCTGGAAGCTGGAGATGCAATGACATGTTTGCTCTGTGCTGGACTTTTTGGGCTCCCCTGGAAACCTAAAGGGGAAGCAAAATCTATGAGAGGGTCAGTGTCATGAGCTCCTCCATCCAATGCTCAGGTTGTATATATGTGTAAATAAAGCAATATATCCTAAAAGCACCACAGTCTCTGCTGACCTTTATTCCAAGGAAACCAAACCCGAGGTAAGCACTTGAAACCCATAGAGCAAGCATGGCCAAACTCGGACCTCCAGATGTTTTGGGACTACAGTTCCCATCATCCCTGACCACCGGTCCTGTTAGCTAGGGATGATGGGAGTTGTAGTCCCAAAACATCTGGAGGGCCAAGTTTGGCCATGCCTGCCGTAGAGTCTCTCACCACGCAGAGATTGGGGTGGCATTTAACAGTATCTACAGTTCTGTCGGGACGCGGGTGGTGCTGTGGGTTAAACCATAGAGCCTAGGGCTTGCCGATCAGAAGGTCGGCGGTTCGAATCCCCGTGACGGGGTGAGCTCCCATTGCTCTGTCCCTGCTCCTGCCAACCTAGCAGTTCGAAAGCATGTCAAAGTGCAAGTAGATAAATAGGTACCGCTCCGGCTGGAAGGTAAACGGCATTTCCGTGCACTGCTCTGGTTTGCCAGAAGTGGCTTAGTCATGACCCAGAAGCTGTACGCCGGCTCCCTCGGCCAATAAAGCGAGATGAGCGCCGCAACCCCAGAGTCAGTCACGACTGGACCTAATGGTCAGGGGTCCCTTTACCTTTACCTTTACAGTTCTGTCTGAGAAACAACTGGAGCCAGTGATGCAATATGTTTCCAGAAGCCCAACATTATGAATAATGAACTTGTGGTCCATGCTGAAAACAGTATTATATTAAAGCTAGAGTCACACAGATACCTTGGCTACAAGAAATGTTTCACTATCAGGCTGGGAGAGTGATTTGCTTGTTTGTTTCTGTGTACCGACTGCAAAATTTGGAGGTGTTTCATCCCATTCGAGGGTACCTTCATCATGTAACAGGTTTTGTTGTTTTGGGGCATTCAGTATGGAAATGGCCTTGTTGCAATTACTATAATGATCTAGCAACCTCTCCCTTGTATTTCGAGTTTTGAGCCAGCAGAGGAACCATAAAGCAATGTGATTAACTCTGATTGTAAAACGCCCTCCACATAACAAAGATATAAATTATTGGCTCTCTTAACAACTGCAAATCACTCTTATCTAGCAGCATTACAATGTATTTGCCTGCAGTTTGACTTTTGTGGGCTATTATCCGCCTGACCTTGTGTGTGCAACACCAGCGCTATGTTCCTTCTTCTAGCGCTCAAAAAACATGCGTTCTTCCATTGCTAGTCGGATCATGAGTGCTTTTGCCTGCTAACTGCCTACTCCTGAGAATCTTGATCAGTTAACAGGTGTTAAAATAAGTTACATGCACCTAATGGAACAGAGGAAACTACTTTGAGTAACAAGCACATTTTTTGTTGGTTTTTGCTGAAACAGGCCCCATTGCTATAAGGTGGGCCAATATTTTTATACCCATATTGCAGATGGAAAACTGAGGTTGTCAAAGGGCACCTAGGCTGCAATCCTACACCAACCTATCCACTTGCCTTCAGCAGGACTTACATTTGAATAGACTTGCATAGGGGTGCACTGCTAGACTGCATTCCTGTATACACTCACTTGAGAGAAAGTCATATTTAAGGCAATGGGGCTTCCCTCTGAGCTAGCATGTAGAGCAATGGTGGCCAAACTCGGCCCTCCAGATATTTTGGGACTACAATTCCCATCATCCCTGACTACTGGTTCTGTTAGCTAGGGGTAATGGGAGTTGTTGTCTCAAAACATCTGGAGTCTGGCCACCACTGATGTAGAGACTTGCCCTGGCAGCTGAAATTTTAAACCTTGTTAAGGGTCATGAACACAGTAAGACTTGCTCCCAAGTAAAAATGAACAGGACTGAGGTGTTAGTTAGCCTGTGACAGTGGCAAGTTTCAAAGAAAATGGACTTTCTCAGTGTCTTAAAGGGCAATCCTTTGCCTGTCTACTCAGAAGTACCATAAACTCAAGTATAAGCCGACCCGAATATAAGCCGAGGCACCTAATTTTACCACAAAAAACTGGGAAAACTTATTGACTCAAGTATAAGCTGGTTCACCACACCACAAACCTGGTGGTGGCGGCAGCGGCGGAGGGCTGCTCGTTCCTCCGCCACCGACAGCGGCAAAGGCAGAGGAGGAAGAAGGAGCAGCCCAAAAGAACCCTCACTCGAGTATAAGCCGAAGGGGGCTTTTTCAGCATAAAAAATGTGCTGAAAAAGTCGGCTTCTACTCGAGTCTATACGGTAAATGCCACTATGTTCTTTGGAACTTACTCCCGTGTAAGCATGCATAGGATTGCAGCCTTAGCCAATATGCTACACCAGGCCTCAATATAATACAAGAGGAAGTCAAAGCAACGTTGAGGCTGGCACAAGGTATAATATCAAGCATAAAGACCATATTACAGTGGTAAGTAGTGAATCTCGAAACTCTTATTGGCTTTTTATGGCTATCACTTATGTGGTCTGCAGCTTAGAATTATTTTTCTGCTGCACTTTAACAAAGTGATTTGTATGATGAAGGGCTTTTACATCAGTGGAGGAGGAGAAATGATGGAACTCTTAACTGGGATAGGGTTATATTCAGCTGGAAGCTTACCAGCTGCACTGAGAGTACAGTAGAAATTAAGACCATCTCAGAGCTAAGATTATGTAGTTTATGTTCATGCAAACTTACTCTTGCACACCAGCCCAATCTCCAGGTGGTACAAGATTCCAGACATGCTTACCCAGAGTTCGTGATTCCTTTTGGAAATGAGGCACAGCAGGGAGTGTGGCGTCTTTATGATATATGGTTTATTTACACATATAGACAGCCTGAGCCTACAATGGAGGGGTTCACAGCATTAAACACCCCCAAGAGGGTCTTGCTTCTCCCACAGCTGCAGTCCTGGATCTCAGCAAATATCAGGCATGGCTCTGACTCTCTCCCTTCCCAGCTTGCTACTTTTGCATCCAGCTTCTAGCCCACATAACTCAATTCTGGTCTTTTGTCTTTCTAAGTAACAGACCATTGAGGAGGGAAGGCTTACCCATTGGCCCTCTGGCACACAGCCACTCCTTTTGTTCCCTTAACGACCCATATTTAGCAGGCCATTACCAGGCTGACTTGGCTATTCCAGAAATTGAATCTGTGCTGGAACTAGGAATTAGAAGTAGTGCTCAGGAATACAGCCTACCTCCCCTCAAAAACTCAACACTATTAACAGTGCAGTCTGAAGCACATCTGCTCAGAAATAAATCCCAGTGGCTTTAACAGCCATGCAAGTCTGCCTAGGATTGCAGCCTCATTTAACGCCCTGTATTCTTCCTAGCACGGGTGGCGCTGTGGGTTAAACCACAGAGCCTAGGACTTGCCAATCAGAAGGTCGGCAGTTCGAATCACCCGACGGGGTGAGCTCCTGTTGCTCGGTCCCTGCTCCTGCCAACCTAGCAGTTCGAAAGCATGTCAAAGTGCAAGTAGATAAATAGGTACCGCTCCGGCGGGAAGGTAAGCGGCGTTTCCGTGCGCTGCTCTGGTTCGCCAGAAGCAGCTTAGTCATGCTGGCCACATGACCCGGAAGCTGTACGCCGGCTCCCTCGGCCAATAAAGAGAGATGAGTGCCACAACCCCAGAGTCAGCCACGACTGGACCTAATGGTCAGGGGTCCCTTTACCTTTACCTTTATTCTTCCTGGCACTCAGACCGTGTCCCTTAATTCCTTGATTCCCTGGGCTGCATCCTACAGGCAATTGTGCAAGGTACAGGGCTTTTGCAAGCATGAGAGAGGAAGCTTACACTAGGTATCCTCATCAGTATGAGTTAAACTTGAAAAGGAAGATTCAGGTAGGTAGCCGTGTTGGTCTGATCTGACGCAGTCAAAATATATCAAAAAAATTGTCCAGTAGCACCTTAGAGACCAACTAAGTTTGTTCTTGGTATAAGCTTTCGTGTGCATGCACACTTCTTCTGAAGAACTTAGTTGATCTCTAAGGTGCTACTGGACAATTTTTTTATTTTTTGAAAAGGAAGAGTTCACCATTGGTTTTGAAAAACAGCTAAACTAAGTTCTTGTTCCCAGGGGATGGTTGTGCTTCAATTTGCTCCAGCCGGAGAGGTGGCCAGTCTCCATGGGATGGATGACTTCTCCTGCCTCCTCTAACAGCCCTCTGTGTTTGTTATTTTCCTTTGGCTTCTTTGGGAACCTACTACAGAGGACACAAAGCTGTGTGTCCATTGCTTTATTCACCTCAATGGAGGCAAGAGATCAGTACACTAATCTGATCATGAATATCAGAGGATGAACCTCACGGACGTCGCTGGCAGACTTTCATCAATTTTAGTGGCTGCAAATTGCATCCAGAGGGAATATTTACGGTATGTTATTTAATTATACTTATATCCTTATAATTATACTTATATGTGGAAGAGCAGGGAGCCAGTGTGGTGTAGTGGTTAAGAGTGGTAGTCTCGTAATCTGGTGAACTGGGTTCACTTCCCCGCTCCTCCACATGCAGCTGCTGGGTGACCTTGGGCCAGTCACACTTCTTTGAAGTCTCTCAGCCCCACTTACCTCACAGAGTGTTTGTTGTGGGGGAGGAAGGGAAAGGAGAATGTTGGCCGCTTTGAGACTCCTTCAGGTAGTGATAAAGCGGGATATCAAATCCAAACTCTTCTCTTCTTCTTCTTCCTGCCTTTTAGATAATTTTGATATATCCAAGGAAGTCTAGGAATTGAAGTCTGTTGAGGGAGCCACGTTCCCTAGTCTCCCACCCATGCTACAGTTCCAGGATGTCTTGTGGAGAGAGAATAGCTGCTAAACCATGCTTAGTCCAATGCTGTCACAAACATGGTGCCCATGTTTGCGCATGAGCCCATAGAAACATTCCCTGTCACTTATTGGGTCCATACCAGAAAGAAGCAACCTAATATAATAGGTTGTGGTGTGTGCTTGGTTACAGACAGTGTAGGCTGGCTCCTTTGATTGCCCCACCAACCTTAGTTTACTCTCCTACTAACCCCCCACCTGCTGCTTTCTTACTTATAAGCAGTCAGGGGGTGGTTCTGCCTGTCATTGTTTCTGGCTTAATCTACTGTTGGCCTGCCTGGCTTCTGACCTACCAGCAGCAGCCACCATGTGTGTAGCACCCAAAACAATTTCTCCACTTTGCACACATGCCCAGTGGCCCAAAAAGGTTGGCAACCCTGCACTGGATCCACAGGAAAGGAAACGTGGGCGACAAACAGATGCAGCTTGGACTCTTAACAGGCATAGCTAAAATGTGGCTCCACGAGAGCAACGGGTGGTATGCCAATGAATTTTCACTCAGAGTAGATAAAATTGAAATGAATGGAGCTAAGTTAGTCATGTTCATTCATTTCAGTGGATCTTTTCTGAGCAGGACTACCCTGTGTTGGCCTTTCTTCTAACGCATACCATGCCAAACTTCATCCTAGCCGGCATTTTTAAAAACCCAACATTTCAGAGGTAATGAATGACCCAGTAGATCCATTTTCAAGGACGTTTCCCGACTATCAATTTTTCCGCACCTTGGTATCGCATCAGAAATGCCAAAGAAATAGAATTGCTGATGATCAAGCCAGACAGCAGCAATCAATCTCCATACACTGGTTTGCATAGCATTTTCAGATATTTTCAAACCGAGCCGTCTGGTTTAAATTCTTGGCAAAGTCACAATAAGAAGAGTACTTAGTGTTTGTATAGCACATTTCAAATGCTGCAAGTGCTTTACTCACATTATCTAAGTAATCCTGACAGCAGTCCTGTAAGGTAGGCTACTGTTGTTGCTATCTCTCTTAGGTAACTGGGGGGCAGGGAAGGGCAGGAGGAGTCTACAGCGTTGTCTGTGCATGCACTGTTGGGATGCAGCCAAGGAATTGGGGGCAAATGGCAGACCCCCAGCTGGCTCCAGCCCACTGGCCGGTGCGCCGGGCGATCTCCAGTCCTTGGTGCAGCATCAGTGACTCGAGCATCAGAAGCTAGAGCACGCTACTCAGCAGAGTAAACACTACGCAACAGAAGTGGCAGGGAGAGGCTGTGATGAGCATATTTACAAGCAGTTTATTCAGCATACATCGGGACAAGAGGTAAACATGTCTTCTCTTCTTCGGGTCCAAGCAAGCAGCTAAAAGCGAAAGCTATACACAAACGGGTGGGACGCGGGTGGCGCTGTGGGTTAAACCACAGACTTGCCGATCAGAAGGTCGGCGGTTCGAATCCCCGCGGCAGGGTGAGCTCCCGTTGCTCGGTCCCTGTTCCTGCCAACCTAGCCATTCAAAAGCACATCAAAGTGCAAGTAGATAAATAGGTACCGCTGCGACGGGAACGTAAACGACATTTCCATGCGCTGCTCTGGTTCACCAGAAGCGGCTTAGTTATGCTGGTCACATGACCCAGAAGCTGTACGCCAGCTCCCTCGGCCAATAAAGCGAGATGAGCACCGCAACCCCACAGTTGGTCACGACTGGACCTAATGGTCAGGGGTCCCTTTACCTTTTTATACACAAACGGAAGTTCCCAGCAAGCTGTGCTGGGGTGTAAACAGGCATGTGACACACAACAGTCATGCCTGTACTTAAGGTGGAACAGAATATCCTAACATGCACAACCCCCTCCCCAAACCCATGGGGATTGAGGCTAGGCATGAATGCTCCCCTTATGCTGATCATGAACTCTGGAAGTGGAGATCAGCACATAGGCATGAGCTCACAGCCACAGGGGCTTGGTATTTGGGCTGAAGGGAAGCAAGCAACCTGCCACTGAAGGGCAGTGGCGGAACATATGCCCGCACTTCTCAGGGCAGGCATGCTCCCAAGGGGTGCGTGGCATGGAGGGTGCCTGTGCTGGTCCTGTGGGCTACCCGAGAGACGAGGTCCAAGTCCGGTTTGTGGTCAAAGGTGCAACATGGAGGCCGTCTGTAGTAGCTGAAGCTGGGTGCAGGGCAGGGAGTCGGGTGAAGTCAGGAACAGGCTTGCAAGCAGAGAGCCAGGGCGGGTCAGGAGCTCCGGCAGAAAAGCAGAACAGGGTTCAGGCAGGAACTAGCAACCAACAATGTTGCTCCTGCAACTTGGGACTGGGGCTGGCTGGCTTTTATCTGCCCCGAGGCATGGGGCAGCCCCGATCCTCTGGTGACTCGCCTCTCCTGGCCTGGAGGCGAGCACTCCTCCTGTGGGAACTTAGTTCCCCCCGCCTCTCTGCCCTGAGCCTCTGCAGCTCAGGAGAGGGTTACCAGACCCAGAGGCAACCTCAGCTTCCTCTGACGGGGCTGAGAGTGGAGCACCTGCAGGCAATGGGTCCTCCATCACCTCAGGAGCCAGAGCAGACTCAGCTGGTGCCTGCACCTGAGGATCCAGCACAGGTGAGGACCCTTCAGGCTCATGCCCCAGCCCCGGCTCAGCTGGTTCTGGAGGCAGGGAATCCTGTGCAGGCTGGGATCCCTCAGGTTCAGCATCCGAGTCCAAATCCCAGGCCATCACACTGCCCTCCAGGCATGGGATAGGCGCTTGGGTGCCTGGAGCGGCGCATGCACCCTGCAGCCGGGAGTGGAGCGAGCCGCCCATGATGAACGTTCAGTGCACACACAAACACCCCCCGCGACTCCCAAGCCTCCCCCAGGCTGCCAAAACGAAGGGGGAAGGGAGGGAATGCTGTTGGCAAAGCGGTGCAACTCCTGCCCCATACCCCAACGGCTCGGGGTAGGCTTGGGAGTCACTGGTGGGCAGCATGCCGAATGTCACCCCACTCAGTGAGGGCACCCAGGGCGGTCTGCCCCCCCCTTCCTATGTCCCTGCTGAAGGGCTGTCTATGGATCTCCAAGCCTTTCTGATTCACTTTTTCCTCTGTAGGATTCCTTATGGTGCAAGGCAGACTGCAGGATGCAGTGGAGGGGAAAGGGCTCTGGTGTGCAATTGGAGCTCCTTCTTCCGCAAGATTCCCTGCAAAAAGATCAAAGGAGAGGGAGAGATGTCTCAGCAGCAAGTTCCTTGCAAAAATATAAAAAGTGCCCGTGCATTGTGCAACGGCGCGCATATTGTTTTGGGGGATGCAATGGCATTTTGCATCTTGAGACTTTGAGGAAGTGTGAGGCAGAGCTTGCAGGACAGCTGTGCGTTGACACTGCTTGTGTTCCCAGGGATTGCAGTTTTTGTTCTGTTTGTTGGCCTTTTGCATAGCCAAGGCAGAAAAGGGGTGTTGGATAACTTGTCAAAGAAACTCTGAATAAAATATCTCATTTATGGCCACTGAGACACATCGCAGGTGAACATCACATCATGAGTTATTCATCGTCTTTTGCCAGGCCTGAATACATCTACTCAGTTGTGGGCACTGACCCTTTGAGGACCACTGTTTCATATCTGAACCAGTACCATATGTCTGGTTTATTTAGAACTGGCCACCTTCCTTAACAACGCTATTCTTTTTACTGATAATCCAGAATACATGCACAAATCCCTTAATTAAATCAAGTGAGCGACAGAGAAGATAATGCAATAATGAGTGAACACAATCATAGCCTTGAGCCACTCTGTAAGTAAAAATTACTAAAAGCAATTAAAACTGTGTCACCTGCATTTTACTTTGTTTTATTTGGGAATGACATTCTGGAGGCTATCATTTCAAAATCCATAGGCATGCATTGTGATATCTGTTTTCATTTTTGTTTTTCCTGTGACTTTACTAAGGCAAATATGAAATACATTTCAAAATAGAGCTATCAACTCATTTTCTACTAATTATAACTGCCAAGTGGTTCAGTAAATGCAACTCACTATTTTTCTTCACACACACACACACACACATTTGGGTTGAAGCTTTCTGATGTTCGCCAGGTGAATTCCATGCATAATGTAAGACAGGCAATGCTGTTTGCATAATAAGCTATTTTCTACCCCAGAAGCAGAAACATTTTATCACTATAGAGAAAACTCAGATTATGAATACATTTTCCATATATATAAGTTGATTTATGTGAAAATTACCAATAAAAGCAGAGTGTAGCCATCAACAAAATGTTTACTCCCAGCTTAATGTTCTCTGAAAGTTACAAATAAATATTTACTGCACCCCACTAAATGCAATATTTTTAATAGGATACAGTCTGCAGAGTGCAATTGCATTTGGTGCCAAGTGCCCTCCCAGCTCAGGGTGCCTCACACCTGACATGTCTTTCCTGCACAGAAAACCTGCATTTATTTCAATACCAGAACATAGTATGTTTCACACTATGGAGAGAAGTTGCGGTTGGCCATTGCACCAGATGTACAAACCAACGCATGGTGATCCACATTTGGGCTTCATACATTACAAAATTATAATAATAGCAGGATGGAAGCATCCCATTGTGGCGTTTGCCCTCCTAGGTAGGTCATAAGGAAAGGGTTAAATGAGTGTGTAGTGATTGGCCAGTGGGAACCCAAGGGGAGGAGTTAGAGAGAGAGTTGGAGGTGTTGGAAAGTCAGTTGGGAGTTGGAGAAGGAAGAGGGAGGATAAGTCTGTGGGTTGGTCGAGTTGTGTTGTGAGAGAGTGAGAGAAACTGATAGGAGGAGTCAGATAGACAGTTGGGATAACCAGTTAGCAGTTATTAGGAAAGGTATAGGCCGGTATAGAAACTAAGATTAAGAAACTGACAAGAAAAATTATCTGAAACCATAAACTTGTTAAGGCTTATAAAATAAACTTGCTTATTTGATTTAATGTTAACAACTGTCTGGACTCTGTGTGTACCCGAGAGAAACGGGTTGGTGGCAGCGGGGAAGCAATCACAGTGGTGGCGCAGGGATCAATAGACTGTCAAACATCCAGGGACCCTGTGTGATCGCCACAAAAGTGTCAGCAGCGGTGGGATAACATCAATACCTGCCACCACAAAAGTGGTATGCAAGTGTTGGGATCACATCTATACGCCGGTGGGATCCAATCAATACCCTGTGGTGGGATATTTAGATTGTTGCTAACTAGCCATCACAAAAGCGACGGCAGCAGCGGGATCCAAATCAATACGCTTCAGGCGGGATCAGATAGATACGCCTGTGTTGGGGAAAACAATACACCTGGAGGGTCACAGCTATGATCAGGTGACAGCCAGGAGCCAATCATCTGCCAAGGCTTGCTATTAAAGCTCCTATCCCTCACTTGTCACTGCAGGACGCCACCAGTTTATCCCTCTGCATCTCCAGACTTTGTGGCTGTCTGCTGCAAGTGCTTGCTATGCCCCAGACCTGGCCGTGCCCCAAAATGGGATTCAGAAGTGATGACGGGTGATTCCCAACTAAGTCATACTCACTAAATTAATGGACTTTTAAGTCCATTGACTAAAGGCTGCAAAATATGCTGAGTAGACCTGCTGAAATTAATGGACAGTGGGTCTGCTCTGAGCACAGCTAAGGCTGGAGGTCACTTGCAGTCTATACACTGCTGGGCAAACATGGCAGCTACCAGATCGTAGAAGGTTGGCAGAACGCCTGTTCTCCACCACAGCTACTATAGCACTGAGCTTCCCCCCTTTTAAACGTCAAAAGTGGACCCGCTGCTTAAATGCAATGCCGCATTTATGCAGGAAAGGCCAACTCGATGTTATGTGACGGCCATTAATCAATCCTTCCCCTACTCCTAATTAACTTGACTGGCTTTACCGAATGAAGAGCGAATCATAGATCATCTATATATTTATTCAACGTCTTGGCTCTCACGGCTTCTCTTGGAGATTAAGGGAGATCACCACAGGGCAGCTGTTAAGTTGCAACTTATCCTTGCAACAGGAGTGGAGGAAAGTTAAGCTGGCCCTTCCCAGCACTGGCAAAATGGCTGCTTCATTCCGAACGAGTTTATTCGGACAATATTTTCACGAGACACTGGGACATTATTGCATCTGTTTGGTTTTAGCACTTTGCTCTTGGTTTTCACCTTTGACCTCCAACTGCTGTCCAAATGCTGAAGATGTACTATTGCCGTTTATGCTGGGAATGGTTACCGTATTTTTTGCTCCATAACACTCACTTTTTTCCTCCTAGAAAGTAAGGGGAAATGTCTGTGCGTGTTATAGAGCGAATGCCTGCGGGTGGCAGGGGGGATCTGCTGCAGTCATGAGCAGAGGATCCATGGTTCCCCTTCCTTCCCTCCTCCGTGGTGACAAACCATGGATCCACATGGATCCTCAGGATTTTTGCACTGGGCTACTCCAAACTCACTGTCAGATCACATGTCTGTGGCCACAGCATGAACCACAAAAATCATATATCCACTATTTCGTTTAGAATATTTTTTTTCTTGTTTTCCTCCTCTAAAAACTATATGCGTGTTATGGTCTGATGCGTGTTATAGAGCGAAAAATACGGTACCTCTTCGTAATCTAAGGTTCATGCTTTTCATTATACAGTGGTACCTCGGGTTACATACGCTTCAGGTTACACACTCTGCTAACCCAGAAATAGTGCTTCAGGTTAAGAACTTTGCTTCAGAATAACAACAGAAATCGTGCTCCAGTGGTACAGTGGCAGCAGGAGGCCCCATTAGCTAAAGTGGTGCTTCAGGTTAAGAACAGTTTCAGGTTAAGAACGGACCTCTGGAATGAATTAAGTACTTAACCTGAGGTACCACTGTAACTTTGGTTTTAACAATGAAGTACGGTTATGATGATGAAGTGCTTGCTTAACTGGTGATCGGTTGAAGGATCCAAGAACTTGGAATGCAGGCCAGGATGTCGTCTAGAAGATGTGTTTTTTATGTATATCATGGACTGGCTGGATGAAGGGGGGGGGGAATCTAGCCAGTGAACCCCCTTGGGAAGCTTCCTCCTCAATATATACATGATGATTAAAGGTAAAGGGACCCCTAACCATTAGGTCCAGTCGTGGCCGACTCTGGGGTTGCGGCGCTCATCTCGCTTTATTGGCCGAGGGAGCCGACGTACAGCTTCTGGGTCATGGGGCCAGCATAACTAAGCTGCTTCTGGCGAACCAGAGCAGCGCACGGAAATGCCGTTTACCTTCCCGCCGGAGTGGTACCTATTTATCTACTTGCACTTTGACGTGCTTTTGAACTGCTAGGTTGGCAGGAGCAGGGACCAAGCAACGGGAGCTCACCCCATTGCAGGGATTCGAACCGCCGACCTTCTGATGGGCAAGTCCTAGGCACTGTGGTTTAACCCACAGTGCCACCTGCGTCCCTTACATGATGATTAGGGCTCTGGAATTTATAAAAATGCCCCAAACCGACTTTTGCTCCCATACCAGCTAACATCTATGCAAGGTGATGATGATGATGATGTGATGATGATGATGATGAGTGCTTTTTTCTGGGGGTACTCAAGGGTGCTGGCACCTTTTTTTCTAGAAGAAAAACACTTATAATTATTATTAATTTAGTTTATATATTGCGCTATACCCGCAGGTCTCGGTATACACAGTGGTACCTCGGCTTACATATGCTTCAGGTTACATACACTTCAGGTTACAGACTCCGCTAACCCAGAAATAGTGCTTCAGGTTAAGAACTTTGCTTCAGGATGAGAACAGAAATCGTGCTCTGGCGGCGCGGCAGCAGCAGGAGGCCCCATTAGCTAAAGTGGTGCTTCAGGTTAAGAACAGTTTCAGGTTAAGTACAGACCTCCGGAACGAATTAAGTACTTAACCTGAGGTACCACTGTATCTGCTTACAATGTTCAAAATTATCCTGTTTGGTAGTTTAGAGTGTGTTTAGCAGCTCCAAGAAAAAAATCACTCTGATATTCCAGTCTATTCTATTTTAAAACAAGGGTAGAATAACCTGTGGCCCTCCAGATGTTTCTAGACTCCAGCACCTATTGTCACAGACCACTGGCCAGGCCTGCTGAGGCAGGGGGGGGGGGCGTGAGAGCCCCACAACCCCTGGAGGGGCACAGCTTCCCTATCCCCTTTTGAAAAAGACCACCTTTAAATATATGCCAGGATTAAGTGTGCCCAGCTTCCAAGCCTACCATATCATTGCTAGTTACTGGGAGCATACAGTGCAAAGATATGTAATATACTGTGGATGAAATAATGTGAATCAAATGATTTAAACTCCATACATCATGCAAATTGTTCGTTTCTGCATATATTACAGCACAAAGCCTGAATCTATTATCATATATAATACTGACCTGCATGAACGATAACAGGATGTAACCATATTCTGTTTGGAGCGTTTGTTTCCTTATCCACGCTGTCTACTTCCAGACTGCATTTCTTTAATTTTGCTGTACAAATTCCTGTGATTCCAACCCCGCCCCCGCCCCTGTTAAAATGCTGAAGCTAGCATTAAAAGATGTTGTCATAAATAAGCTCAAAACGGTGAGATTCAGAGTGATCCATCATGTGTCAGAAAGGGACGCATTGCATGTAGTCCCTTCTGAGCTGCTGCCACAGCCACATTTTTGTGGAGAGAGCTGGGTGGCTTAGCTAGTGGGCATTGTAGTACTTTGCACACATGCCAGTTGAAGGGGCAGAGGCAAAAAATGTGGGACGTTTGCATTTTTTGGAAGTCCAGCAGTCCAAATAATCAGTGGGGAAAGCCTGTAGCTTGATGGTAAAACATCTGTTTGGCATTCAAAAGGTGCTGTAACTATTAGCTGATTCGTTGGTTAATTAATCAATTTAAAATCATTTGATGGATTAGAAAAGTCTTCCCAATGTATCATTTCATGATTCTTTTAAAAACATAAGTACTCACAAAAGCCAGAGGTTAGATGCCATCCACTAGGGTAGGAATTATTATTATTATTATTATTATTATTATTGAAAAGCCATCTTCCCACCACCCTTTCTAAGATACAGTAGAGAATTCCATTCCCTAAGTTAGTGTCTGCTGAGTTATATGTTGGTAGCAAAAGAGCATGCTTTTTCCTTCAAAATTACTTCTTATTCACGTACAATATCATGCAGATTTATTCAATTACTCACCTAAAACCGGTCTAATTGATCGGTGAAGGATATACAGTGTTATGTAGGCTAATGTGGAAATATAGCCCATTGAACCAAATAAGCATGACAAGGCCCAAGATGCACAGTTTTTTTCCTTGGGTGACACAAAATATTTGGAACGCAAGGTCCGAAACAACCTGTTGTCACTATTTAGTGCCTTGTCTCGTAGCAATTCATGGATCTGTAAGCTGAGAGAAATCGAAGGCCGATTTTTACATGGTTAAATTTCCAGCATGACTGAATTAAATAATTTAAGTCTATTTTGCAGTTAAACATAAAATGAGTAAACAACATCAGGCAAAATCCACAAAGAAGAAGAAGAAGACTTTCCCCAGCCATTCTGGGTGGCTTACAACATATATAAAAACATAATAAAACATCAAACATTAATTAAGATTTGTATGTAAGCCCCATTGAAATGAATGGAAGCTTCCTATTCATGATGGATTGTGCCCATTAGCCCTGTGGTTCTGGGGCCTTTCCAAGGCCAAAGCCTGGGTCTTGAATAATAAATTAAAATGTAAATCACTTAACATTTTAAATTTCAGGAACATCAAAACCTCACTTTGCATGCCTTTTCCTTTGCAAAATTTGTCACCAATTCCTTGAGGTCACGTGCTGATGCCCTGGGCATGTTCAGTTGATAATAGTTACCAAGTCAACGAATCTCTTTTGCAACTTAGTTGAGCACATGTAAGTTTGTGCTTTGAGAAACTAGTTTGCCACTTGCCACTGAAAGTGTGAGAAGAATCCTTAGAGCAACAGAAACATTTAGGCACATTATCCAGGAGTTTTTGCTGTCGGTACAAAGAGACCTGACCTTTGTGGCAGCATAGATTTTGGAAGTCTTTGAGATGTTGCTATAAGTTCACAGCACAGATCTTCTGCATCAATATATTTATTTCCATTGTGCATCAATGATTTTTTCCAAATTCCTACAGATACATCTTCAGTAGATTTTTGTTATTGAAGATGCTATAGATATCATAAGGATGCAAATAGGGAATTAGATTGTTGTAGCTGCTGAAATCTTTCTTCAGCAGATTGGATGGCCGTGTCTAAGTATAGCAGAAACTTACATTGATTTTCTGCTATGGATCTTGCAGCGCCTCTTCTTAGGCCTCATACACAAGCTGCCATTTCTTTCTTCCCCCCCCCCCTAACTTATCCTGTCTCAAAGGTTTGTGGTATTTCTAGCTCCTTTGCAATCACAGTAACATCTATCAAAACTTGTCGAAAACCCTCATCACACTTGCAGTTCACAAGGTAATTCTTGGTCACTTGCAATTGGCTTCTAGCTGAATTTAAATCAGAGTCCTTATTTTGTAGTAGCTTGCTTGTAAGATTGACTTCCAAACGGATGTTGTACAAACTGCCAAAGGATGTCACAAGCTTGAACTTACTAATAGCTTCAATATTTCCATATAAACCTTTTAGGCTTGCATCATCGAAGATTTCCATCAAAGCACCATATATACTACCAAGATGATATCGCAATGATTCCAAAGAATAACTAGAAATTGGCTGAGTTTGCATGCCCTAAATTTTTCTGCTTTATAGCACCTGCTAGAAGCTGTATAAGCTCATTGTGGGTATCTTTTCCTAAGTAGTGAACCATTGCATCTTGATCTTTAACTCTGTACAAATGTTCATTTATGATAGGATTAAAAAAAATGGTTAGGTATTGCACAAACTTTAAAAAAAACACTCCTTTGTTAGCGCTGTCCAACTCATCGGTTGTACCATGTAATGCCAACAATTGCATGCCAAGAACTCTGACCAAAGCGATAAAGCATTCCAAGATTTGTCACCAATGTTGTTCTTCTTGCCTAATTTTCTGCTGGTTAAGATCATCTATTGGTCCCCCCCCCCTTTAGATAAGCACAATTCAAGTTATCCCCGGGTCTGATAGTTTTCTCAATGGTCAGTATTCCTTTCATGTGAAGACAGAATTGCTCCAATGTTCTTCCAGTCTTTTGAACCTATTTCTTTTTGAGTTGATGCACCTTTTCTTTTTTGCTGAACAACTTTCAGCAAAAAAAACAAAAACAAAAACACCTCCACAACTTTTGAGGATGAATCTAGCAACCATTGGCGGCACACTTATTCACCATTTGCTAGTCTCCTCTTGTAGCACATAGGAGAAAATCTTGTTTTTTGAGTCTTTGGGGAAATAATGCGATACAGCCTGTTGTGGTCCATGTTGTATTGCAAATTATCGCTGCAATGGTTAGGCCAATTAGCAGGGTCACTGTAATTCAAGTCAGGCACAATTCTTTTGCAGACTTTGCAGCACTCTCACTTTTCTTGATACCTTCTTTTTCCTCTGGGTTGTTTTCCAGAATTATCTCCAATATGTGAAACTTCCATCTTAGAGTTTATCTCAGTTGTCGTAGCAGCAGCAGCAGCAGCACCACATTTAACTCCCTCGGTACTAGTTTCAACAAGAGTATGGCCATAGTCTTGTTCTTCAATTGCTTTCTGTGTACAAAGGCATTTCAGGAAGAACCCCTCTTGCATAGCGTGCTCTTCAGCTTTTTCTGCCTTATGTTTGCAGTACTGAGCTCCAGATGGTTGTTGTTTCATCAGCCGTTGCTCACTAGAAAAATGAAGACGTTTTCTAAATAAGATTAAGATGTGACTGTAAGATTTAAAATTAAGTGCATTTTTCCATATGTACATAAAGAAACCATTCTAATGCATGAATTACTTCAAAAACGATAAAATTATTCAAAATATGAAGTAGAAGTAAAAGCTAATCTGTATAAAACTGTGCCCTTCTGAGGTCTGTGTCATAGGTGGCTGCCTAGTAGCCTAATGATAGTTCCACTCCACCAATCCCTTTATGGACTTTGGAGGTCTATATAGGGTCAAAGCCATAATTTCTTCATCACAGCCCAGACACAAATGGATTCTTTTTCTTCTTTGGCGATCACTCGTAGCCAAGTAAGATTGTCTTCCATAAGAACACTTTTAACAGTGAGTCCATAAGTGACTGTGGAAGCCAATTTTGAATCCACACAGTGGGGACATAGGTTTCCGGACGGGAGTTGATCATAGTGAGGGTTTCTCCCTTTCATCCTGAGTTCAAGTGTCTTCAAAGCCCATGACACCTTTGGTAAAGGCTGTTCTCCAATTGGAGCACTCACAGGCCAGTGTTTCCCAGTTGTCTACATTTTTTTAGATTTGCCTTGAGGGAGTCTTTAAACCTCTTTTGTTGACTGCCAGCATTACGCTTCCATTTTTAAGTTCGGAATAGAGTAGTTGCTTTGGAAGACGATCATCAGACATCCGCACAACATGACCAGTCCAACAGAGTTGATGTTGAAGAATCATTGCTTCGACACTGGTGATCTTTGCTTCTTCCAGTACACTGGCATTAATTCACCTGTCTTCCCAAGTGATGTGTAAAAATTTCCGGAGATTCTATTGATGGAATCTTTCAAGGAGTTGGAGATTTACATATATTGTCCATCTTGCCCAACATTTGTCAACTCTTACATGGCAAATGCTCTCCAAGGTGTCAGCAGAGGTGGTTTGGGGGCAGTGTGACCGGTTCCCTCGCACTGGGCACCGAGTGGAGAGGGCGCCCAGTAAGCACTTGCCTGGCGACAGGAAGAAGGCATGAGGGCTCTGGCAGGGTCCTTGTGCTGGTCTTGAGGGTTACCACGCAGCGAGGTCTGAGTCCAGTCCGAGGTTGAGGGTGCGGTATGGAGGCTGTCTGTCAAAGCTGAAGCGGGGTCCAAGGCAGGGTGTCAGGTGAGGTCAGGAACTCTGGCAGAAGAGCAGGACAGGGTGCAGACAGGAACAGGCTACCAACAATGTTGCTCCCGCAACCTGGGGCTGGCTGGCTTTTATCTGCCTCGAGGCATAGGGCGGCCCCGGTCCACAGGTGACTCGCCTCTCCTGGCCTGGAGGCAAGCACTCCTTCTGCGGGAACTTAGTTCCCTCTGCCTCTCTGCCCTGAGCCTCTGCAGCTCAGGAGAGGATGGAGGGTTACCGGACCCAGAGGCCACCTCACCTTCCCCTGACGGGGCTGAGAGTGGAGCACCTGCAATGGGTCCTCCATCACCTCAGGAGCCAGAGCAGACTCAGCTGGTACCTGCACCTGAGGATCCAGCACAGGTGAGGACCCTTCAGGCTCAAGCCCCAGCCCCGGCTCAGCTGGTTCTGGAGGCAGGGAATCCTGTACAGGCTGAGATTCCTCAGGTTCAGCCTCCGAGTCCGAATCCCAGGCCATCACAGTCCTAGAGTCTTCCAACCTCCTTCCCCAAGCCCAGCTGGTGCTTTCCCAGCTTTGGGAAGGAGGTTGTAGGGCTCAGGGACCCTTCCAGAGCCCTCTCATCTCCTTCCCAAGGCCCGGGACAGTGCGAAGGCTGGTGGGAGAGGTGCCAAATTTTGGGCTAGCTCAGGGCCACATAATACTAATGTCCTCCCCTGGTCTCAGGCACCTGCTACCAGATCCTCTTTAGCTGGAGATGCCAGACATTGAACCTGGGCTCTTATGCAGGCAAAGCTTGTGCTCTACTACTGAGCCACGGTCATCTGCTTAAATAATAATAATAATAATAATTTTTATTTTTACCCCGCCCTCCCCAGCCAAGGCCGGGCTCAGGGCGGCTAACAAGCAATAATGAAAACAAGTTGAATGAATACAACTTAAAAACAAAATTAAAATACAACATTAAAATATTGAAACATTAAAATGTAGCCTCATCGCAGGAGGAGAAAGGAAAAGAAAAAAGAAAGAGAGGGAGGGAGGGAATCAAATTGGCTCCAAGCCAAAGGCCAGGCAGAACAACTCTGTTTTACATGCCCTGTGGAAAGAAAGCAGATCCTGCAGGGCCCTGGTCTCATGAGACAAGAGCGTTCCACCAGGCCGGAGCCAGAGTTGAAAAGGCCCTGGCTCTGGTTGAAGCCAATCTAACTTCCTTAGGGCCCGGGACCTCTAGGGTGTTGCTATTTATGGACCTTGAGGCTCTCTGTGGGGCATACACATATGTGTTTGGGTGCAGTGCTTACAGAGGCAAGAACTTTATCTGCCTTTTTCGTGATGTTTTGACTGGCCGGCAGCTTTATTAAGGAACATTGGAAGCTGCCTTATTCTGAGTCAGACCATGGGACTAATATTGCCTACAAAGTCACTCCCGACATAAGGAGGAGGTGGAGTTGCAGGCTCAAGCCCCCAACATATGTGCGGGGCTGGCTTCAGCCCCGCGCGACCTGGGGAATCCTCGGGCCGCATCAGCCCCAGGGCCAGCCAATCAGCTGGCCGCAGGGGCGTGGCCTGGGTCACTTAAGGCCGGCGCAGCCCCGGGATCTCCCCTTTCCGTCCTCGCCCCAGCTGCGGTTTCCCACCCACCCACCCTCTAGGTTTTCCCTCTGACCTTGCTATAGACCTCGGTTGGTCACCGCAAGGGGCCTGGTAGGAATTTTTCCACTTGGCTAATTGGCTCTGAATCAAAGCCATTTGGTTTTTTCGCCTACCTCGTAGCAAATTGTCACAGTGCCTTTGGTTTTGGCGGTTAGGCATTGGTAGGGGTATTATTATGCTGATGAGATGGGGGGGGAGGAGTGCTATCACCTCCCCCAAATATTGAAGGGTAGTCCGGTAAAGGATTCTGGGGGGCGTTGCCTCGTCCGAAACCTATGGAGGCTAGGGCCTAAAGCGCGCCCCCGAGTGGTGACCCCTCGGGGAGTGCCTAGGGATGTGCATCTCAGGGGCTCCCCCCTGCTGGTGTTAACCCTTTCTGGTTCTCATGCCGGATACTCTGATAGGACCAATGCCTAAAGCCAATATCGCTCTTACCTGTAACCAATAAAGTTGTGGCCATTTTTCGCCCATTAACCTAAAATTACGGTGCCCTGTGTCTTCATTTATTCCAACTGGTGGGAGGCGGGAATCGCCACGCAACGACTGGCAGGGGCACTCTAGGGTTTGGGGAGGAAAATATTTCCCAGCCCTACCTGGAGTTGCCGGGGATTAAACCCAGTTGCTCTGCCACTGAACTACGGCCCTTTCCAAAAAGGATCCAATGGAAGCCTCCTCACCCCAAGTTTTCAGAAAGGGCAGGAGCTCCAGAGTCTTTGCCACCCATGAATCCCTTGCCTTCCCTCTGTTCTACCCCAAACACCACACAGTGGTACATTAGAACAGTGTCAAATTTATTTAATTTTTGCCCTTACTGTCCAAGTATGCAGCGTCTGCCCTGGAGCCTGGCATGAACCGTCCTCAGCCACCACTTTGTTTCATTTAGCCGAGTCAGGTTCTCCAGATTCCAAGCTGCATTTTATTTGCCGTCTTTCGATACAATGAGCTTTCCCATATGTTCACAATTGGATCCCTTAAAATATTCATCTCCCGCCCCCCCCACCCCCACATCTGGTGTCAGAGCCATTACTTCTTCCCTGCATACCCTTTTGACTATTTTTAAATAATTCATTCATCCATTCGTCGGTTCTCAGGGGAGCACGCTCCTCTTTTCCTCAGACAACATGATCTTTACAAACACACAGTCTCGCCTTCTCCTTCCATTATTCTCCTCTGCTTTTGTTTACTCCGTCCAAGTATTCGATTTGCTACAGTTTCAGGAAGAAGAAGAAGAAGAAGAAACAACAACGAAAAAACACACTCACGCATTTAAGGCCAGATTGAGTTACATTAATTTACCTGTATGTGATGGCTTCTTGTCAACTGAGAACCCCACGGGAATTAAAAATATCCCCCCAAATAAAGGTTACATTAATCAAAGCCAAAGAGGTTTATGTGGCAAAGAACTAATAGAACTACCCCCAAATGCTGGCCTTAACACCCTGAGCAGGAGCCAGGATTCTGGCTCCGACCAAGATGACAAGGGAGGACCAGAGATATGCAAGACCGGACAGAGCACCAGAGGCAGAGGTGCTGGATTAAAATGCCAGACCCCAACATCATGACAGTCTGAACACAAGCCTATCCATGCTTTCTGCCATGAATGCCAGTACTGGGGTCTGCAGAGTCAGAAACAAAAGAGAATGTATCTCAAGGTTGTGCTTATTCAGAGGTTAAGCAACCTACAGAGATCTCTGTTAGGTAGTTCTCCTATATACATTAACTGATTTCCAAAGTCAACAGCCTCTTAGGGCCAGCTCTACAATTAGGTAGTGTGAAGCAGCTGCCTCAGGCAACAGATTTGGAGTACAGTCGTACCTTGGTTTTCAAACAGCTTAGTTCTTGAACGTTTTGGCTCCCAAACGCCACAAACCCGGAAGTGACTGTTCCGTTTTGCAAGCTGTTTTTGGAAGCCGAACTCTGACAGGGCTTCTGCGGCTTCTGATTGGCTGCAGGAGCTTCCTGCAGCCAATCAGAAGCTGCACTTTGATTTCCAAACATTTTGGAAGTCAAACGGACTTCCGGAATGGATTCTGTTCGACTTCCAAAGTATGATCATATAACAAAAGGATATCAAATGGTTAATTGTTTAATCTGTCAAATAATTAATCAGTGTCAATCCACTGAATGATTGCAGAAGAACGTTGCTTCAGGAGAGTGAGGAAAATTCTCAGGGATGATTCACACCCTGGCCGGCACTTTTTTGATCTCCTGCCCTCGGGCAGAAGATACAGAAGTATGATTAGTTGCACCAACAGGGTAAAGAACAGCTTCTATCTGTGGGCTGTCAGGCTGCTGAATGAAAAGATAACAACAGGGCAACTGACTTTTGGGTTTGGTGGGTATGCGTCAGTAAACGAGGGGAATTAAGACTAAGAGAGCTGAGTGGGGGGTGCTCATGTAATCTCACTGTATACAAGTTGTACAAGTGACAATAAAGTGTTTCAATTTCAATCAATTAATTTGACGCTGCTGCTGCTGCTGCTGCTGTTGTTGCTGTTGTATTTTTACTCCAAAGGAGAGGCACTTGTGGAATTTTCTCTCTCAGTTACCAGAATAACTTGACTAACCTTGGTTTTTCGTTTGTTTGCACCTTGACTTAGATAGGGGGAGGAAAACTCCTGAGAAACCCCTTCTCCACACCGTCAATGTAGCCTAGAGGTAATCAACAAACGAGGGAAGTGTTACTGGGCTGCTGGTCAGAGGAGTGCTTTTTTAAGTCATTCCACTCTTCAGAAAAGGTCAGGAGGCTTTGAGAGGGTGATTTGGCCCTGGCAGAATATAAAGTTTATCTTCCTTTCCAGACCTTGTCTGGCGAAGCCGCTCACTTGGAGCTCTCCAAGGTTCTGCAGCTGCCCTTCCTGGTTGCCTTGTCATGTCCTGTGGGCTTCTGGTCCAGGAGAGGACAGATAGGCCCTTTTTTCTTCTTGCTTGGAGGGATGGACTGAGAGTGCAGGAGGTTAACCCTTGTTGGAAGATGGCAAGAACGGAACTGATCCACTCCTGTTCCTCCCACCATTCCTCTGCATCCAACCGGTCTATGACAATTCTCTACATCGAGTGGGATTGATGCTGGGGATTGAACCTACATTCAAAGGAGATGCTCTACCACTAAGCTATGGCCATTTCTCCTTGAAGCTACAGTTTCCAGACTGTCTTCCAGGGCAGCCCCACCAAGAGCAGATTGCAGCAATCAAGCCAGGAACAACTTGGACATATATAACAATGGCAAGACCCCAATTCTTGCAGAGGATGCGATTAGTATGACTAACGCTTAACTCCATTCCCCATCTCTTTTCTCCCAGAACATGCTGGCAAACAACGCAACTGGGCAGAGGGTAGCGATCCCAAATGGAAACCTGTATAAAATATTGAAAGGGGGATAATGCTTAGTTCAGGTGCATAACCCTCTGGGCTTCACAGTTACCTGATTGATCCAATCTCCAGTGTTGCCTCATAGCTTAGAATCGCCAATGAGGTTAAAAACAGAAACAAACACTGAATAATCTGTAACCACAGGGGATTTGGGGGGGGGGAGGAATAGAATTGCTGCATCAATCTCATTTCCTTGTTAGGCTCATTATCATAATTGAAGGCCTATGGTTTGGAATGCCGCTCTTTGATACCATTTTATGTCTATCAAGAGCTGCTGAAATAGTGGATTCTGCAGTTCATTTTCTTTTTGATCCTCCTGACTATTTTTGTTTTGTGATTAATAAACAGGAGCAACTGGGCTAGGCTTCAATTAGCTAGCGAAAGTTAAATGCTTCAGGAAGGGAAAGCCGGCTAGTCTGCTCAAAATCCATCTAGATTACAAACTAGGATGGGGGGTTGGAAGCAGTTGCTGATTGCAGCGTCCATCACACTTGCTAAATGCAGCCTGTAACAGTGACATCTTGGGGGTGGGGGGCAAATCATATTTGCCCTCTGTACTCCATCAGCAGTTGAGGATGGCATAAAAGGAGAGAGGTTTACCCACTGCTACGAAGGTAGAGATAAATGGCTTTTGTTCTTTGAGTACTTGCTTTGTTCTTTGAATACTGCACCTCCAGACACTGACACATTTCATGATTGATAGCCCATGTCTAGACTGGGTCTTTTTCGATCTACTACAAACATGTACTACTTCATAATATTTCCTAGAAAGATGAAAGCATATAAAGCAACGTGGCTGAATT